GCTTTTTGTGCGTGTCTTTGTGTACGTACCGCATCTGAAGTCCCCGGAGCCCCTCCTTCCCGCGACCAACTCATCGTCTTTCCTCTTGCGCATTGTGGCCTCGACCATGTCCCTCCTGCCTTCGACCGCAGGTTGGTTCCTGCATTTCATGCCGTCCTCGAACTGCAGGCGCCTGCTCTGGCCGCACCCGCGCCTCACTTTGTCATCAGATGAACACCACGCAACGCACCTCTCAAGGTTCCTCGCCTTATGTAATTAATCAACTGCCTCATGCATCGTGAATGGGATTTTCCCTCTTCCATCAAAAAGCTCCAACTTCAGCCTCTTCTCCTTGTCAGACTTGATTTCCATGGCGGCGTTGCCCCGTCTGGCTCATGCCCCCACGCCTTGGCCCCCAAGTGTCATCTCGCACGCGCCAGCGCAAAGTGTTTGCGTCTCCATTGACCACTCATTTCGAGACACCGACATCTTCGAGAGTTCCATCCACAAATCCTACCCAACGACTGACCATGGTGTCACGCTCGGGCCCTCTTAGATACACCATTTGCGTCTGATTGTGTGCTAAGGAGTAGAGGCATGCAAGCACTTTGTGCCTTATCCAGATATGTTGCTTTTACCATCAGGAGGAAGCATCTTCCCCATTCCATTCTTCAGCAGTACTGATGCCCAAACAGGTGCCATCTTTCTTTCTCTCTTCCCGGACCCCATGCTTCTCGGCGGTGCCAAATTCGCTCCAGATCTACATCAACTCTTTACCCACGAACATGCTCTGGGAGTCCACACGCAACGTAGCAATCGATGCTAGAATTCACTTCGACGCCCGCGCAAGATCAGAGTCGTTCAAAGCGCAGACATCCTAAGGATGTACAACGCAGTCGCGCTATTGATGGCACGGATGAAAGCCACGACGTCTGCCGCCGATAGCCCCGGATGTGGCTGAAAAGCTGGAGCGTTCAGGCCTTCCGCCCGGAGCGCCGAAATGAGACAGATTCCGGACCCACCCTACCATCACCGATCGGGATCAAGACTAGAGCCTCTACTCCCTTCTGGAGCAAGCTATCCAATATCTCTGGCGGCTCTCGGACACTTCCCACCCAGCTAAGATGTACATTCATCGCATATACCGAGGCTGCACCAATAGTCATCATCGTTCTCATAGTAGACCGTTTTCCATCAACATGAGAGCAAGGGGACGGCATTTCCGATCGCCCGGCGAACCCAAGTGCGGTCTGATATCAGTCGATGCCTCTCAAGCCACTCTCGGCTCGAGCCGAACACGTGGCGCTGACGATACCGGACGTTTGTGTCTCGAGTCTCTTGACATGATATCCCTGGGGCAGTCTTCTTCAACAGATCGACATGGGGATGTCACACTATCGATTGCTCCATTAGTTACTTGTAACTCGCCCAGGAACGGCACGACAACGCTGCCTGCTAATATATGGGTGATCAGAGTTCTCAATGGATCCCCTGGGAGTGCCATATCGAGCCACATAGTGGCGGGGCCGCGCGTTCAGTCGATTCATTAGTTCGCTCAGCTCTGATCCTCAACATCATCGAAGCCGGTGGATGCATGCCTTTACAACATGCGAAGTTATCGACTACAACACCTGGCTGTGAGAGTAAAGAGCTGGCGAGCGGAACCCATGGTCGAACTTAACACTCTGGTCACTAGATGATGCAATCGAAGACCGTTTTAAGTATCTACTCCGTACCTGCATAATGGTTTCGAACCTTTTCACAGCCTGTGTCGGTCATCTTGGGCTCGGATATGTATCTGTTCGCGACTTGACCAGAGCAGCGCCTTCCGGTCGAGCATTTCAAAGCAAGAGACTGTTCAGACAATCTGCGCCGCTGTGTGATGGATCACTGCCAGCCCAATATCGACAAATCCGGGACACTATGAGATGGTATTGATCATCTTCTCCGAAATCCAGTTGATGGTCTCGTGATCGTCTCATTAACATACATACATGATATCGGGTTTTCGGCCTCGTGGTGGTTCTTTCCGGCTTTTGGGGTGCAAAAGATCGATCTTGACGTAATCTGACTTCAAGCAAATCACAGGACAACGCGATACTCGGGCTATGCACCAAGCTCGTGCTCAACTCAGTATGGTGGTTCTAAGCCGAATAACACGATCCAATACGAGATGGTGGGTAAATTGCCTGTAGAGATGGCAGGACCGGCCGGCAAGGTCAATCGCAGAGGTTCTGAACTCTAAGGCTTGCAATTGTAAGATCTGCTCAGATGGCGATCATTGAGGTGCGGATTCCCGAACGTTTTAAGTCTTTCTTCGACTTGTTGAGATCCACATAGACTCGGTCACGGCCTACGCGTTCACCCTCATGAAGTTGTGACGATGTGGACAATAGTTCAGCCTGCCAGATGCTACTTCCGGTGATACCAAAAGCTCTTTCACTGTCGTTTTAGGTTCGCTGATCCCTCCTCCAGCGATAACAATATGACTGGACGGTCGTCTTGGGCACCAAACATGGTAGTCAACAGACATGGACTACGCATTCGTGGTGCCCGGAATGAAAGTTCATTGTTTCAGCCGACGAGCTGACAATGAAGACTCCCTTCTCAAAGGACGAATAGCCCATCGTGCGAGACAGACATTCTGTTGATGGTCGGTTCTTCCCCTGTGGTCCGTTGAGGCCGCAAAGGTTGCCTCGATCAGATATCTGCGGCGCAAGGGACTGCTGGACCAGCCAGAGCGGAAATCTCGACGTGACTCCAACAGACTGCTTAGGACAGAACATAAAGGAGAGACGGCTAAACTATCAACGAATTTCCGCAACTTATCTATACTTCCGCGATTCGTCACCTTCTCTGACGGGGACGAAAAACTATTTCATCCGCATGGGCTGGGTTGTCAGACTCTCTGTTACCATCGATTCTCACACCTGCCGGGAGATGTTCGACCTGATCCACCGGGACCACCAAGCGTCACATGTCAGATGCTGAAGGTCCGGTCGTTTCGCATCTCCATGACCAGCAGTGCTGTTCGCTGGTGTAATGCGGCGCCAAAGCACTTACAGAATGTTCCGTCCCAATTACTTCGGTACAAGTCCAGCAGTGAAGCGCCACAGAAGTCGTTCGGATGTTGCTGTGCTGCTCTGCACAAGTGGCACACGTCCTGAGTCCTCGGCCGGACGGAGTCGGCATGGAAATCTTTTTACGCAAGTCGGCGCCGAGGAACGGGAGTTTTAGTTACCGATGCCGGGTCAATGTGTCGAGGGTTCAACAATCCGGAGGGGGCGGAACGGAGCGGGCAAGCTCTCCGACCTCCCAGGATTCCTGAACGGGTATAGCTGGATGGCAAGTGCCCGCAAGAGCCGGCCGGGATTGGGCATTTCGCCGACGGTCCAACAGTCGAAATTTCAAACACCATGCTGGCTTGCTGGTGGTTCGGTACCCGCCCAGCAGACGTCGCGAACTGTGGCCTTCGGTAGCATCCGGTGACGATCTGCAGGGCTGAACGAGTATCCGTACGGGATAGAAGCAATACGCGGGATGGCCGGGTTCATCGCATAAACGCGGAAATGACAAAACAGCGTGAACGTGCCCAATCCGGACTAGGTGAAGTCGCCGAACGACGTTGGCTGATGTTTTGCACCGAGACTTGGGGTAAGTTGAATAACGTTTTGTTCGGGGAGGTTGATAAACACCATCATTGGCGTCAACTGCTCAGATGTCACGAAAAGCCCCGGCTAGAGATATCTGCCTTAGTACAAAGAAGCTTTGCTAGGCGACCAAGGTCAGCGAGGCAGTACGACCTTATCAACCATCACAAAGCTTTTTTCCCTTCCCTTGTCAGTCTCGCTAGGAAATCGCCGAGCAAAGGATGGCCCGACCACGGGGTCGGCGATGGCGGACTTTGATGATGTATGCCAAGACAATTTGTCCAGCTCGCATTGAAGGGCGGGTGCGCCGGCCCCTCCCATCATCAATGAAGCCACCCTCCCGCAGAAGCATGCCACCGACCATTGAAATTAAAGTCGGGTTGTCGAGAATTTTCATCACTGGTCTAAGGCAGACTGAGCATGGCGGCGGCCTCTCCTTGGACGCCGACATCCCGTTGGAAGTGTGGGAAGCGTGGGGGAGAAGGATTGGGATTCGGCCAACAGTTCTGTCACCACCTGTGTCACCCATCCACCGCTTTTGTGTCCATCTGTGATCTGCCAGCTAGTCTCTCAAGCGCTTGCTCGACAGTGCTGGCGACTTGGTGACATGCAAGACGTTCCTTATCTTAGGGTGCGGAGACGTACGAAAAGGCATACGCAACCTGCAAATTCAGCAAATTCAGCCATGGTGGAGGTCGCGTGTTTGTCAAACGAGTCCGGTAATGAACGTCTCCCAAGAATACCTAGGAAATGGAAACCCCAACACGCAAGCCCCTGAGGGGGCAGGGTCATCCACCATGGGAGCGGAGCGGAATTCTAGCGGCGGCACGCAGCAGAAGAGCCAATTTCCATGACAAGGGGGATCTCTACGGCGTATTGATACACAGCATCCGTACCGGTAATCGACAAAATTTGCGACCTCTGTGCTGGGTTTTTGTCTTTCTTTTCCCGCCGTTGAACACGAGGGAGGAAAATGCCTGCAAGCGGTGGACTGTGAACGGACCCGTCTCCACGAACTCAAGAAGGACAAGACGGTTCTGTCGGATGTCGCGGATGCAGACCACTCCACCATGTCGCCCGATCCCCTGTCTGATTGGTCGGCTGTCAGCTTACGGTGTCGTGTGCCTCGTCGCATGCCCTCCGTCATCTTCGATCCCTCCCCGACGCCCACCTTCCCTCTAGCGGACGCGCGCCTGATTGATAACAGAGCCGCGTTTCCTAAGCGGACGTCGGAGAACATGTTCCCCCTGAAGGGAGTACATACAAAGTAGGTACGAAGTCGAGGCAAAGCCGCAAAGGCGTGAAACCACAGCGAACCTCCAGAGAAGCTAGAGAGCACCGAGGGGGAACACAAGGGAGAGTACTAGAGAACGGACCTGGGCTTCGAAGCATGACGGAACGGTTGAAGCGCAGGAAGAAAGAGACTTTGTTTCGCGGTTGGACGTGCTTGACAGACCAAACTACCTACGTCAGGTAGCCAACCTCGGAACATGCAGAGCTAAAAGCATAACCGCACCGCAACGGTGAGCTGCCAACAACTTGGAGGGAGCACGCGACATTTCGTCTGTTGTCTTCTATCTTTCTCTCTCACTCTGCTGCTCCCTCCCGAGTCCACAGGCCTCGCTCTTGTCTCATCCCATGCTGTTGGCGACCGACAACACACCCAAGCTAGAGTCTGAAAGGACATTCTCTGGGTGCGAATTGGATTCCCGGGTGCGCCCACACACCAACCAAGCCAAGCAGAAGCTCTCTCATCTCACACAGGGCCAAAGAAAGACGCAGCACACAAAAAGGAAGATGTAACCCTTGGCGCTCGCGGCACTTGGCGGGCGATTTGTCCACGTCAGGGATCCCAGCCCGCCCGCCCCAACAGCCCACAACCCGCTATTGGCTACAGATCGGAATTCCGTGTCATGGACAGGGTTGGTCACGGGCAGCAGAGCCTTTCCCACCATCCACAATCCACTTTGGGGCCATTGCGAGAGGGACCAGGGTGGGTTCGAATTCGACATGCGGTGCGCGGCTTGACCTTGAGTTCCTCACTTTCCTCCCCAGCACCTCGGAGCCATGCGGAGCCCGCTGATGTGGACTGTGGCGGGTGGTGGGAGTGCGAACTTTGCGAGCAAGAACGAGGAGGGCGAAGACAGCCTGGGAGGATGCGCAAAGCATGGCATGGGCCGCTGGATTCGCTACCTTACCTTTACGCAAAGTGCAAAGGCCACCAACCCGGTAACTCTGTATACGGTCGGTCAAGGTCCAGCTTGGTGGGTTGTGCCGAGCCTGGGCTTTCTGCTCAAAGTGTGCCGAAAGTCCATGTTCTATTACGGGATTATTAACAGATCCATCTGATCCATGCTGCGTGATGAACGTCGCTACCTCGAGCTCCCCCGTTTGTTGTTTGCCTTTCGACCTTCCCGCTCGACAGCTCTACCTCCTTCTTAATCTTGACTACTGCTCCTCTGCTCACTTATCCATACTCCGTACACTACTCAATTTAGATCTTCATCAGGAAATCCCCGGTAGTTCAGGAGACATTCAAACTTGGCCCCTTTGACACGGACAATCTTAAACTCACATCCCCGACCTTCCGGTCGCCTCTCTCATTGGACCTTGACCCAGCACACACCGGTGGACTGAGTCCGTCAGATCCATCCCACCCGCACGCATCCAGCCTTCGGGACCTGTGGCCCTTGCCGAACCTCCCGCGCCCTCAAATACCACACGGCAGCAGTCACAACTGGAGTAGCCAAGTTTCTCCAGTCTCCTCATACCTCTCTCACTAATCGCCGTCTCCATCGTCGGCTGTTTATTCCGTCATCAGTCAGTCAGTCAGTCAGTCACACGAGGCAAGGAAGAAAGACACAAAAGGAAATATGGGTATCGGTGCCGTGGCAGAGCCCTTGGTGGTCATCACCCTTTTGTTTGGAGGAACGTGGTTCAACCGCAACATTGGCGACACCAACGCCTACGATAACCTGGGATGGAAGGGAGCCGGCCTCGATGATGCCGAGCACAAGCGATCTGACGAGCGCCGTTCCGGCAACTCGACCCCGGACTCTGAAGAGTCCCTCCTCTCCCTCGGCGCCTGGAGCTCATCATCAACGTTGACACCGCAAGAAGAGCCCCCGCGACGCTCTCGCAGGATCAAGTTTTTTGGATACCAGCGCATCATCACGACACCAAACACCAGAGTCTACAAGGACAGACTCCTCAGCCGAGTCCTCCGCAAGTTCCCCTTCTTGGTCGAGGCATGGTACTGGGCCCTGATTTACTGGGTAAGTGGGAAAACTCCTGATGGCCGCCCTTCCAGTAATTATATTTGGACCATTCTAACACCATCAAAACTATAGGTGTACCAGGTCGGCCGCGCCTTCACCGCGCTCACCCTCAATGAGGGAACCGTCGACGTGGCGCGCAGGCACGCACTCCAGCTCATCCACCTCGAGCAGCGCCTCCATGTCTTCATCGAGGTCCCCGTTCAGCAGTACTTTTTACAGATGCCCACCGTGATGCACTGGATCAACCGCATCTACTCCTTCATCCACATCCCGGGCACCATCCTCTTCCTCGTCATCCTCTACTTCATCACCACCACCCGCAAGCGCCGCGCCGTCTCCGCCAAGCTCGGCGGCAACGAGAACATTCGCTGGAACTCGGCCGGCCCCGCCTTGTACGAGGCCCGCCGCCGCACCATGGCCACCTGCAATCTGCTGGCTTTCGTCGTCTTCACCCTCTGGCCCTGCATGCCTCCCCGTCTCTTGAGCGATCCCAACTACAACGGCCCCGATGCCGGTGAGGCTAAGAGCTTTGGGTTTGTGGATACCGTGCATAGCTCTACCGGCGAGAGCAGCGTCTGGACGACGAACAAGTTTTGCAACCAGTATGGTGAGTTTTGGACCTCCAAATCGCGTTTGCAGCCCCCCTACATTGGATTCCTCACTGACAAAACGGAACAACAGCCGCCATGCCCTCCCTGCACTTCGGCTACTCCCTCCTCATCGGCCTCACCGTCGCGACCCTGCCTCTCCCGTCGATCCGCTCGCGCCCCTGGAAGCGCTTCGCCATCGTCGCCGTCGGCATGGCCTACCCGGCCCTGATCCTCACCGCCATCGTCGCGACCGCCAACCACTTTGTCCTCGACGCCGTAGCCGGTGCCATTGTCTGCGGTCTCGCCTGGAACTGCAACGGCGTGCTGCTTAACCTGCTCGTCGTCGAGGACTACTTCCTCCGCATGCTGCGCATCCACAAGCCAGTCAACTGGACCGATCCCGAGGCGACGATTGATACCAATGAGTGGAAGCCCAGCACGGTTCTTGATGAGATCTAAAAAGCTACGAAATTTTAATGCCGATCTTTCTGTTTTGCAAACGGCGCATTATGCTTTTGATGGGGGAAGGGATGGGTTAGAAACTCTTTTTGGGGGGTTGTAATGCGCCCATGGCTTGGATTACATTCTTCATGCGTTACATTTGCGTTGAGAGAACAAAAGAGATGCCGATTATTGGAGGCATGTGTGCGAATAGTACATGTTCTCGCATGATGTGGCGAGCATTTTGGGTTCAAGTGGCGGAGTTCCGTGGGCTCTTTTTATTTTCTCTTTTTAACGCAACAATGCGAAACCAATCCCCGTTCAGACAGCGTGGATAACTTGTTCGCTTGGGACGATGTTAAGCTTACGAACACAAGAGCAAAAACATAAGCTCATATAATGGAATCACCTTATAAAAAGCCCACTTCTCTCCTTTGATGTTGTTGATTCGGCAGTACCCTTTTCCATATGACGGTATTGTGGCTAGCCTCAGGAAAGATTATTGTGCTTTAGATTGCCGAGGTCTTTGCCTTGCCAAGCCGGCAGTGAAAGACGTTTAAGACGTTTCCCATTAAGTTGCTCGGTCTTTTTTTGTTGGTCTTGAATGTTTGTCGCTTTGACAGGGTGGTTCGCACGGATACGATGACCGAGCGAACGTTTAACGACGCTTTTTGTTTCCGTGGGCGGCAAGAACCTTATTTCGGCGTGTATGTCGATGTCATGCCGATACGCCGGTCGGATTTAGACATGTGGCTGGGTTCGAAGTTTCAGTAATTCGTCTGGGTGGTGGTGGTCGTCGTCGTCTTATTCCTCCCGTTCAGACTTGAGACGATGTTCTCCTAGGGAGCATGGGAGGCGGTTTTCGGCCTAGGAAAGCGAGGTTAAGAGAGGGGATATTGGTTTGATGTAGGAATAAGCAGGTAGTACTAACAAAGTAACCGAAAAACCCTAAATCCCACAAAGCTCGGACTGCCATGTGGTAGATTTAACAGACTTCAAGGGGAGGAGAGGAGTTCCCAGAGGTCTGGGTGTTGAAATAAGATTCTGGGGGGCATGCAAGGTCAGCATTTTGCAGCGTCCTGTCCCAGACGTAAGGAAAGCGACCGTGACAGCGGAAAATGACAGTCTTCGATTCGCGTTCCCGTTCCTCCACACCCCCCCAACCGTGCCAGCCTAGCTCTTGGAGGGCTTGTTCTCGGGGCGGGAGTGATGGCTACATGGCGGTGCCGTTTGATCCGAGTGTTTGCGGCGGGCGGGGCGGACGGGGTATGGAGGACACGGGGCCCCACTACCGCCCGGAGGGTTGGAGCCTACGGAGTGGAAGTGGTGCTGAGTTGGACCCACTCTGGATGCCGCGGGCGCCGGGTTCCCGTGGAGGAATTGCGGTGTTTCGATTACCCCGCCGCGACTCCCTTATCTGATCCTCTCCTCCCGCCTCTCAACGGCTCCGGGGATTTAGTTTAGCTTGCGGTCTTCAGCTCCGTTGTTAAGCGACCACCCGGGGCCGTGATCGAATTCGCCGCCCGTCACATGGTGCCGGCCTTCCCCTTAATTCTGTGGCCCTGGCCGGTTTGGTGACATTCGGAGGCTTGGCGAGCGAGCCCATGCTGGGCGTTCGAGGGCAGATGCCCCGAGAATTGTCGCTGACCGGGGCGAGATGCGATCAACCGGAAACGTGACCTAGGCCTTTGCCTCCCCACGCTCCCCCGGCTGGGGAACCGCTTCGATGGGGAATGGGGACGACCATCATTGCTCAAAGAAGTCCATTGCAACGTCGTTATATTTTTCCGCCTTGGCGGTGCATGATGCAGTGCATCATCGAGCTGCCCTCCTCTTTAACCCCCCTCGCTGATTCCACCAACAGGTCTTGCGAAATTCCTCCACTGAGAGGTGTTTTTGGGTCCTGAATTCAGGCAGGGTCTTTCTCTGGCCAACTAGAGCGCTCAATTGGACGTTGTCGAGGCGCAGTTGCTTGCATGTGTCATGCACTGCGGATGTTTATCGGCGCACCGGAGATTGGGGGACGACTGAAGTCGTCATGAAGGCCTCTAGAATTTGTCCATGGTGCGGTTGTACGTTGCGGGCAGCGGACAAGGATGGGTGATGGGTATGGCGTTACGAAGAGGTATATAGGAGAGCAAGTCCATGGTAGTGATTCCAACACATCTGGTCCTCCCACCCAGTGTTCATCTCGTACATTGGAGGTTCACTGCTAGACTCCCTGGGCTTCTTTCGAACTCCTCTCATCCTCCCTAGCACCCAAGATGCGCGCCTCCGCTTCCCTCTTAGCCCTCGCGGGTACCCTCGCCCTAGCCCAGACCCCCTCCCGCCCGTACTCGACCTGGCTCGCCTCCTCCTTCGTCGCCCGCAAAGCCCCCATCGACGCAGGCTACGGCCCAGCCGTCCTCTACGAAGGCATCGCCCGCGCCGCCGCCGCCGCCAACAACGCGACCCTCCTCCGCGCCGCCGAGACCGCCGTCTCCTCCCTCGTCTCCGACGCCGGTGTCCTCGACGGCTGGGACCCGGAGTGGTACTCCCTCGACGACATCCGCATCGGCAATAACCTCCTCTGGTTCTACCAACGCAACACCACGGCGGGAGCGAAGTACAAGATCGCGGCAGATGGGCTGCGGCAGCAGCTGAACCGGTGGCCAAGGACGCCTAGCGGTGGGTTCTGGCACCGCGCGCCGATCTACGAGGATCAGATGTGGTTGGATGGGATTTACATGGCCGATTCGTTTTACGCGACGTATGTATCGCTGTTTGAGAAGGGGAATACCACGGCGTGGGGGGAGATTGCGCTGCAGTTTGATCTGATTGAGGAGCATACCCGGAACCACACGACAAACTTGCTCGTGCACGGGTACGACGAGGCAAAGGACGCCGTTTGGGCGGATCCCGTGACGGGAGCGAGCCCGTTGGTGTGGAACCGTGCCGTCGGCTGGTACTTCATGGCGCTCATTGATACGCTGCAGGTCTATCCCAAGAACCTTCCGGGATACGCGCGGCTGCAGAAGTACTTTGTCACACTTGCGGACGGGCTGGCGAGGAGCCAGGATGCGTCGGGAGGATGGTGGCTCATCATGAACGAGGGGTACCAGACGCGCAAGGGCAACTATCTCGAGTCGAGCGCCGCGGCCATGTTTGCGTACGGACTGCTGCGTGGTGTTCGGGATGGGTTCCTCGAGACCAAGTACAAGGATGTCGGGCTCAAGGCGTACAAGGCGCTTGTGAGGGACTTTATTCGGGATGACAAGAATGGGCTTGTCAGCTTCACGGGGACTGTTCAGGTTGGGAGTCTGAACTCGAACGCGAGTTTCGAGGTAAGTCGCTGTTGTTATCACGCAGAACCCCCATCTCGAGAGTTGCTTTGCTAATTGGATTTTCTAGTATTACACCAGCATCCCTATCGTCGAGAACGATCACCGTGGTAGCGGGTCTTTCATGTTTGCCGCTATTGAAGCCGAGTTGGCGAAGTAGACACTGGACCGAGAAAAGATCATAGAACCGAGTCCTAGAACAGAAATAAAGCTTCCATGTGTGGCGTCGCAGCTTCAGCCTAGCTTCGTGTCAATGCCCTTGTGTGACAGTAAAGACCTGGCTAGGCCACGATAAAGCCTTGTGCGGCGACGTGCCGCCCTGTCCCTCTATACAGTGTTCAGAGGGTTCCTCTCTCTGAGTCTTTGCCCGTATCGATTCAACAGAAGAGGGATCGGAACCATGGCCAAACTGACAAAGCCAAGCACCGAATTGCCCCATCCTAGGCCGAGGTTTCTGTATAGAGTAGGCCCAACCAGAGGAAGAAATCCACCGATGAGACAGCGAGCCGACGTAACGCAGGCGTACGAAGAGGATGCATAAGGGCCAGAGGCGTCAATCAAGTAAGCCTGAGAAGAGGCGTTGATCCCAACCTGAGCAAAGCCAAACGGCGCCAAACTGATCAAGGGGACGATCCAATGCGTCCTCGAATACGTTGACCAGCCGTACCAAAAGAACGTGACGGGGATGAACAGGGCTGGAATGAAGGCGGTAACCAGTCTTATCTCTGGCTGGTACAGGCCGCCATTCTTCTTTGCGATCTGTGCGGCGATGAGGTCGGAGGTTTTGGCGAAGAGGAGGAGACCGACTAGACTTCCGAAGCCGAGGCCCAGGTAGGCGAGTCCAGCTGTCTCGAGGGGCCAGCCGTAGACTTCCTGGAAAAAAGAGGACGTGGACGTGAGGAGGATGTATAAGAGAGCTGAGATGAAGCCCGTCATGATGCAAAACACCGGGACCAGAGGTGAGCGGAATAGCATCTTCCAGGGGCGGCGGAGTGCTTGGCCCAGTGTCTGAGGATTCTTCTTGGACGAGGTCCCGACCTGGTTGTCGTAGAAGCTCAGCAAGTCCGTCCTCCCTGTCTCCTTTCCAATCCGCAATGCCTTCCGACGCAGGATGATGTGCGCATTCGTCTCTGGCGTGAAGACGTTCATGAGAACCGTCACCATGGCCGATGCGATGAGAAGCGTCCAGAAGATCCAGCGCCAGCCTGCGCGTTGCGTGATGATGCCCCCAAACAAAGGCCCGAGCACGGGTCCGAAGAGAGAGCCCGTCGTGATGACTGCGTTTGGTACGCCGCGTTGGTGGACATCGTAGAGGTCTGCTAGCATTCCGCCTGCGACGGAAAAGCATGCTGAGGCGCCGAAGCCTGAAATTGTGCGGAAGGCGAGGAGGCACCCGATGTTAGGGGACAGGGCGCTGCCGACGTGGGTGAGCGTGTAGAAAATGTTGGCGTAGTAGAATACTGGGCGTCGACCGTAGAATTCGCTGAGCGGTGAAAGAAGAAGAGGTCCGACCTTGAAGAAGGGCTGATGAGTACGTGCATTGTAATATCGGAGTTGTGATTGTAGTTGCTTATACTCACAAGGTAGCCAAAGACGTAGATAGTTGTAACCATTGAAGACACTGTAGATGAATCATTATGAAACTCAGAGTCAATGCTTGAAGCAGCTGGTGCGATGATTGAGGACGTCAAGAAACTATCAAAAACATGGCATCAGCTGTTTGTTTTATACACTTCAGCATCTAGGCGGGACTGCGAACCTGAGCACTATCATGCAGCTAAGCAGAGCCAGAATGGTAGATTTCTTAGTTGAAGTGAAGTTCCTGTAGGATGTGAGCATCGCCTTAACTAGAACCAAGACACGGAGTTTCCGCCCTGTTACCATGTAACTCTTACCTTGGGTTTTGGGTATCGTACTGGTCATCCCATGCTACCACCCCCCTGTCGAGATCAGACACAGGATCGGACCCGGCAAGATCATTGGGCGAATTGACATCAACAACACCCATTTTATAGATTAGGGGTAAAAAATGTACTTGAAAAAATGATAAGAAAGGCTCAAAGGGCAAGTTGATTGCTCATTCTCAAAATCTCCTTGAAATACTCTACTTCGTCAACACTTAGACTAAGGTAGGTTCACCCGATCGGCCGATCGGCCAAAATGGGGTACGCGGGGAAACCTCGGGAGGCGCACCGAACCGCAAACGCCATCACCATCTTTCCATTTAGCATGACTCTAGTTTACGACTCAATTTATCGAACTCATCCTACCGACCACAAGCTCTCTTCTCACAACTGCCTGGGTCTCAATGGAACGAAACTGCAATGAGTGAGCCAAGACGTCTAGGACCACGAGACCGTCCTTCTTGCAAGCCCTGCCGTGATCGCAAAGTCCGTTGCAATCGGGGCCTCCCTTGCTCGCAGTGCACTCGCTTACAGCTCTCATGTGTGTTCGAGGCCAGAACGAGAAGAGCCCCCGTAAATGCCCGATCAGTCAAGTCCTCTTCGCCATGCGATGCGAACGTATCATCGTTCTGCGAAACTCCTGCAAATCATCAAGCAGTTGAGTCATCGTCACAACCTCCTCCAGGGCAAACGATACAACCGACGAACCAGGAAGTTCTTGACCGACTTGCTCGAGTTGAAGGACTCTTATCCAATCTTGTCTCCTCTCTTCGTAATGGAGCCCCGGTGCAAGACCCAGGTGGACAGAGCAAGCCTGGGACGGACCCCATTCCGGCTCCACCGATCCTGCCATCACAAGAAGTCCTTGTCGGAGACGGGGAGAGAGGAAACTTTGTAGATGATTCAGTATTTGTTGGCTTATTTCTTGGGGTAATGGCTCGAGCAACTTCTAGTCTTGAGAAAACATGTTGATGTCTTCTAGGACCCGCCTCGACAACGACCAATAGCCGGTACGAAGACTAGAGATCCCATACCCAACGCAACAACTCAACACATATCTCCCCACTATGGCATAGCAGCCACGGATGTCTTTGGATCTGACCCGGAGACCATATCAGTACCTCCTCACGTCCTTACCAGGCTATGGATCGTCTATCTACAAAACGTTGATCCCTTGATCAAAATACTCCACATACCCACGATCCAGCCAGTGATGCTTGGTGTCGCAGCCAAACCTCAAGGAGCAGACAATATCACACATGCTCTTCTGTATACCACTGCCTTTGCGGCAACGACCAGTATGTCTAGCACCGAGGTTGCAACCCAACTAGGTGTTGAAAGGCTGGTCCTCTTGCGCCACTTTATGCGGGGAATAGATGGCGCATTCACGAGGGCTCAGTTCTTACTTTATCCAAACGTGCAGGGACTGAAGGCTCTGGCAATCTACTTAGTACGACAATTCCTGTTCCACAATTCATACATTACGCATTGCTGATCACGCATACACAGACTGCACTAAGAACCTTCGACACCGGACGAACCATCTGGACGCTCACCGGCCTCGCAATCAGAATAGCAGAATCCCTCGGCGTACACGAAGATGGCTCCCGTCTCGGCCTGGGCCCCTTTGAGACGGAAATGCGCTGTCGTCTCTGGTGGCATCTCACCGCCCTAGACGCCACGGCGCCCGAAAGCCATGGTTTCAACAACACGATGGCCGACCGCGGTAAAATATTTCGCTTACCGCTGAATGTAAACGATACCGAGCTATGGCCCCAGATGGACAACGCCCCTACCGGAAGAGACGAATGGACCGAGACGACATTTTCGATTATGAACCTCGACCTCTGCCGCAACCTACGCCACGCCGTCTCCGCTGTCGGGGCGGCGGACGAGCAGACGAGGGAGGCCAAGATCCAGCAGACGGAGTCGTCAATGGCCCATCGCTGGCTCCGGTTCGCACCGAAGAATAGTGACGTATGTCGTGCCGCGGAGTCTTTGCTTCGAATATCTGTAGCCAAAGCGCGCTTCATCTTGATGCTCCAGGCCTGGCTCTCGGCGCCGATGGAACAAGAATGTAGGTACCGTTACCTGCCCCATTCCCTGTTCACCACTGCCATCGAATTGCTCGAGCAAGGGTACCTGCTGCAGTCAGGAAAGCTTTTCCCTGGATACGCTTGGTTCTATCAGCAGCACCCGCAGTTGTACGCCTTGTTCCTCACGCTCCGCACGCTCGTCGATTCGCCCGAACGAGGGGAGGCGGAGCGCGCTTGGCTTGCGGTGGATAACTACATCGCCTGCCTCGCTGACTTTGAAGAAGCGAATGAGCGGAGAGGGAAGAAGAGTTGCGTGTGGGCGGCTATGGGGCCTTTGCGAGACCGGGCGAGGGAGTCGGTTCGACAGCGTGATACTACTTTTGAAATAGCGATACCGGTAGCGGCGTCCCCAAAGATGCCATCTGGGGAGAACTTTGGCACCGGAACATCGCAATCGTGGAATGCGATCGCGCTTGAGCCGCTGGCGTTTGATAACATTCTTACATGGCATGATTTCTCAGATCTGTTTGATGTCATATGACATCAAGGGGCAAACAATTTGACAATTTGCTTGCCAGCTTGTCCAAGTAGATCGAGAAAGATTACATCATAGGTCGTAAGTGATTAAAAGGAAGCCAATCTGGAAATAGAGTTTCTTCCACTCTGATGTTCTTGACCAATTCGAGTTTGTCAAGAAACACTCGAAGCAGATAGTCTTCTCGGTTAGAGAACAAGGTCAAATTACCCAACAGTAGTACATGGGTTCAGGATATTCCAGACCAAGACCTACTTACCATAGCGATCGTTTCGGATGAAGATCAAATCATGTACTTGACTCAAGTCTTAACTTCGTAAATCCCGTTTAGGTAAGGTAGGTAGGATGGCAGGAAGCTTTTAGGCTCCAGTCCTGGGCTTCAAATGGAACGCTCTCAAGGCTTCTTAGATGCATCGCGGAGCTTGATGAGGCGAACAAAATATGTGTGCGTTTTCCTAGTGGTCGACAGTATCTTGTTCATGGTCCTAAACCTTGGCTATCAACCCCGTGGCCAAACTCGACTGGTGTCAAGCCGAGGTTCGGGAAAGATACCGACAGAATGCGGATACCTTTCGCGAGGTCTAGATTTCAAACGTTGCGGTCCTAACGATGGGGATCGCTGCCAAGTCATATAGTGCCCGTGACAAGTTTCCAATGATTCATGAAGCTCCACGAATAATTGTATGTTGAGTCCTTCGATTTGGTTAATTGATAGCTGCCTAATCGCCTCCTTCTTGCAAAACTTCCCAATGGGGTTAGCAATCAACGAAAGCACAGTAAGCTGTACCTTGGTAGCACCTTGCCAAGTTGCCACATCTCAAACTAGTTAGATGCGTTGGGCTAAGCGGCTTTCCTTTGCCCCCCTCGATAACCATGCATACTGTAATGAGACAAATTTGCACCCAATCATTTGCCTGCCTCAAGCGATCTTGCACCGGTGCCCACTTCCAATGCAGGCTTTCTCTCAGCTGGCGACGTGGAACGCTGCACATATTCGTTAGTCGTCTTACACACCATCTTTCGTATTTCCAGGTAGAGAGAGACGTACATCCTGCTTGTGGAGAAAAATAAAACGTGGGTGGATCGGTGAGAACATGGTGGAGACCAACAGTTTGAGTCCGAGAAGTTGGCGATGATGCCATACAAACATGCTAGGTGACAAGCGAACAAATCTGTTGTTCATTTTCATGGAACATTGAGTTAGGCATTGCGCTTGTTCTGCTGGTTGATGTTGTTGTAAAATAGAGCCTGAGCGCTCATTCGTTACCAACATGCTGTCCAGTGCATCGGTCTTTCGCCTGTATATGGCTCTTACAGCGAAGATGTATGCAAGTACGAGCTTCCAACCGCATAGTATACCGGCCGTAAAGTCACCGCCGCTGCACGTTCCAGTGTTTTTCACTTGGACATGTGGCCTACCTCTAAGCGATTAACGATACAATGTTTATCATCGACGGGTGTCTCTGCTCTGCTGAAGCGGCGCCAACGACGATCATGGGCCGCGTATGCAGGTCGGCGTGGACAGCATGATCGTGATCAAGTCTGATTCATTGTAGTTTTAAACTCATAAATTTGCGATGGGACAAAACGTACGAAGTGTGACTTGAAGTACTTTGCGCTGTGTTCGAGGATATCCAAATTCAGTAATCCCTTCGCAATATGAATCTCATTGCCTGTTGTAAAACTCCTCCACTTCTTTGAGCTTGTGCTGTTATCAATATTCTTTACAGAAGATCTTCCTTCCCACGCGGAGATGCCGGGATGACATGCACTCAGGAACCGGTTGGTCTACCAGTCCGAGACCGTCAGGCCGTCAGCAATTGGTAACCCGAAATGGAACATCTCACGACCCAATTTTGTGGGAAATTCCACGTTGGGCGCCACAGCATTCCCCGAAACGCAGGCAACGGGTCTCGCAAAGGTGAAGGGAGAAAACACATTGTGCCACCTAATCATCCGTTCTGCACTTCTTTCGCACGTAATTATTGGGTGGCATGGGGGATCCGAAGAAACGCAGCCGTCCTCGTGGTGTGGACCTGCAGATATTCGGTAGGGCAAATGCAACAGTCTGCCCAACGAAACAATGTACAAGCAGAAGAACGGTGTATATATCCCCAAGCACAGTCCACCTTTGTACGCAGTGCGTGCTCTCTTGTTCGATATTACCAATTATCACCGTCAGAGAGGCGACGAACAATGAGAGGCCCATCCAAGAGCTGCTTAATCCCTTCTGACATGGAGCTCAACGTTGGGTCTTAGCTGCTTGGGCTAGCCGAACCCCCGGATCCACGGTCGATGCAACCCTCCACTGTCTGATATCTGGCACCCTAGAAGTAATACTAGTGGAGAGGGTTCTGATTAGGATCAGGATGCATACCAAAGAGCTGGTTATCCAAAATAAGTTCGGACGATCGGATAATGATGGGATTATCTGGCAGCTGCAACCTACTACTCTTTCCCTCCTTCCTTCCCGTTAAGTAAGTAAGGGCCTGCCTTGTTTTTATACCGAAATTCCTGCCCCAGATACACGCTGTACCTGCAGTATTCACAAACATCTCCAGTCAGACCAGCCCTACCACACTTATTCCTCTTCCTACCTACTAAGCCAATTCCTCTTTTCCCCTTGTATTATAATTATCCACTTACCCAACCCAATCGAGACTGGACTTCACCCCAACACCAACATTCCGATATTGGGATATTGGAGGTGGCCAGCATGGAGAACATTCTCGACAGCCACCCCGAATATGTATCGACTTCGCGGTTAGATGATCTGCGCGCTACCGAGTATGGCTACCTTGACGAGCAGGACCACGTCTACCTCGACTTCACAGGCGCAGGACTCGCCGCCCGATCCCAAATCCGAGCCCACGAGACTCGACTCCAGCAAACTCTTTGCGGCAACCCGCACTCCATTAACCCCACGAGTCAATCCGCCACTCACCTCGTCGAGCAGGCGCGAGCCCGCGTCCTATCCTACCTCAATGCCTCCCCTGAAGAGTACACTGCAATCTTCACCCCAAACGCAACAGGCGCTGCGAGGCTCGTTGCGGAATCATACCCCTTCACGAGACGAACCAGGCTCGTTCTCACCTCCGACAACCACAACTCCGTCAACGGCCTCCGAGAATTCGCACGCCGAAAACACACACGGACCACTTACGTTCCAGTCCGCGCCCCGGAGCTGAGGATAGACCCGTCTGACCTCATGTCAGCACTAAACCTTCGCAGAGGTGGCTTATTCGGCTCAGCTGCAGCTGCAGCTGCAAAACTAGCTCTGACCCCACGAACCACCAACGACGACGACACGGTCAACACCAAATCCAAAAAGAGAGGTCTATTTGCGTACCCTGCCCAAAGTAATTTCAGCGGCGTCCGTCATCCGCTGTCATGGATCAGCGTCGCGCAGAAGCAGGGGTATGACGTGCTCCTCGATGCGGCGGCGTACCTGCCGACCTCCAGACTCGATCTGTCCGCAGGATCCGGCGTCCAACCGGAGTTTGTCATCGCGAGCTGGTACAAGCTGTTTGGCTACCCGACCGGCGTTGGCTGTCTCATCGTACGACGCGATGCTCTGGCGAAGCTCGCCACCTCACGGCCTTGGTTCTCGGGTGGAACCATCACAGCGGCATCAGTTGGAATTCCCTGGCACGTCATGGCGCCAGATGAGGCTGCCTTTGAGGATGGAACGGTCAACTTCTTGTCAATACCGGATGTTACTGTTGGGCTGGACTGGTTGGAAGGCATTGGCATGCCGTTGATCGATACCAGAGTCAGGTGCCTCACCGGCTGGTGCCTCGATCTTTTACGGAATCTCGAACACAGTGACGGGTCGCCCATGGTCAGGATATACGGCCCGACGGATATGAAGCTGAGAGGGGGAACGATTTGCTTCAACTTTTTGGACATTGGTGGAAGGGTCGTCGATGAGAGACTGGTTGCCAAAGAAGCCTCTGTCGAGAACATATCACTACGAACGGGCTGCTTCTGTAACCCCGGTGCTGGAGAAGCTGCCTTTGGTCTGGACAAGAGGGCTTTGTTACCGCTCACCGGCATTCAGAGTGACTCTCTGGACGACTACGTCAGGCTTTTGGCACCTGTGGGTGCCGTACGGATCTCGTTTGGGTTCATGACGACGACAAAGGACGTGGATCGCTTGCTGGACTTTGTAAAAAGGAGATACACCGACAGGCTGACAACAGCTAATGGCCTTCCGCCACACGAACACTGTTGAAAATGATTATTATCTCAATAAACCACGTTTTGTTCAATGATAAACTCACTTATTCGTATTACGATACACTGCCCGAGTGCATCTACCTTACTCTGGGGCTCACCTACAAGTAGCCGCTATTGGCACCACAATACACTGTCCAAGTGCATCTGTCGCAGGCAACTTGCTACTAATGCCCTCGTCTCAATCTCAGCCATAAAAACACAACAGTCCCGAAAAGCACCAGCAACAGCCCGGGGGTTGTGTACAGAGACCCTTGATTCAGTGGGCTCTCGACCATACTAGGTCTGTAAATGACCTTCTCCGTCAGGCGGTGAGCTGCTTGCGGGTCGTGAGCAGGGAGCAGCACAACGTTTTCGCTCCTGGCGAACTCTTTGATTTTCCTGAGAGAATCTACTGCCAGCGCCGGATTGCTGTTGACACCATCCGTAAGCTCCTGGTCGAGTAGGTCCTGATCATATGTCGCATCCCCAAGTAGGAGATACGAAACATCATCAGCACGAACAATGACCGAAAGATGTCCTGGCACATGGCCGGGTGTGTCGACAGCCACGACCTTTCCATCTTCAGTGATGGGATAGCTCTGGTTCCATGGACCAATTGGACCACCGGTTGGTTGAAGAATGGAAGGTTTGAAAGATGCTGGCCATTGGTTCGGAACGGCTCCTTCCATTGTAGCATGAAATGGCGTCTTGTACGCCTGCCAATGTTCTTCGGTGATCCAGACCGGTGCTCCGACGAGGTCGGGCAGCCCGTCACCATGATCATGATGAAGATGGGATAAAACGACTGCCTTGAGGTCACCTGGAGTAAGATTCTCTTGCTCAAGTCGGGAGCCAATACCCTCATCTTTTCCTACATCGATATCGACAGCAAGATGGAAGAAGGGCATCCAGAGTGGGAAATAACCGGGCTCCATACTGTGTGGCGACTCGCCGGAGTCGAACAGAATGGGCCCCTCTGGATGATCGATCAAGTACGTGTTGATAGGCAACATATCTGTCCAGGATGTGTCCAGCAAGACTGACAGGCGGCGCAGGAGTACAGCTTTATCGGCAGGCTGATGACGGTGGGAGGGGCGGATTCTTATCGACCCTGTCTGGAGAATCTTGATGCTGATGGCCATTCTGAAGTTACGATGGAAAGGTATGAATAAGTGCAGACGAGTTCATAGGACTTGATTCATACGGAAAAGAGACTGAATGGTGTTGATGTGGATGGATAGTATTTATGTAAGTCCGCGAGATATTGACTTCGGGCGTCTGAATGCAGCCATGTACTTTGTACCCCTGGGCACGATGAAGGCATTCATGCCGGTGGGATATGCGTCATGGACCAATCGCCTTAGACGCTCTGGCAGCACGGCGATTGGCGAACGCCGTTTTCCGTGATCGGAGGTGCTAGCTACCGACGTTCGACTTATGGTGATTTACATAGCATCATGTCTTTAGGCATCGCAGACGGACGCGCCAGTACGGCCCCAGGCTCATCCGATGCCCGACTTTCGTCTTGTGAAAGCCTGGCCTCTTCAACTCCGTCGTAATTGCTTGGCCGAGATCTCCCGGTCGCCGACGGAGACCCGCGACAGGGACGCTTCCATCAAGCAGTGCGTGTGAAGAATATAACTTGGAGAGCACGCCTCTTATGCGAATGAGAAGGACTGAAAGGTGGAAGAAGCGATAGCTATTCGGATCGCGTAACGCGCACGGGGTTTAAGGGAGAACGAAGGCGTCTCCTGTTCCACAAGTAGTGCAAGGAGGGGCAAATCTCAAGTCTCATGCATTGCCAACAATGACGTTGACCGTGTTGGTCCTGCACGATCCCACTTCCACGCCTACACTTCGCAGGCTTGGTAGTGGTTGAACCTCAGTAAGTCCGATTCGGGTCAGAAGTCATGAGAACCGGCTCTCCATCGTCTGAAAGCTCACCGTGCGACTCTTCCTTGCAGGCTATGGCGTATCTTTAGCGGCCGCGGCTTTGAGGGCCGTGCGATATTTCGGCATCTATTAGGCTTAGGAGTTTCCAAAGATTTATTGTTAAATTAATAGGTCTATGCTAGTTTCGAGCATTCCACGGCATTTACGTGTAGAGATATTTTCAAAGGAAGAGCTTTCTTACGCACTTACATGCTTAGAATCCTTAGAAGAACGAATCCTTAAATCATAGAATTGAAGCCATAGAAAATTAAGCAAAATGTCGTAGAGAAGATGGATGTGGGTAATATCGATCTTATGTTGTTCATTTCATGAGATTGAACTAGTAGGTACTCAAGTAACCTATACATAGTTCATGATTCGCGATAACAGAGCGAAATCTACAAAACTTGACGTGGCTAGGTGAAACTTTACTTCTTCGTTTTTGCTATTCGCCGAGCTGAGCTAAAGGATCTGCTCTATTCCTTAGACTTGGGCTTCAACCCTCCGGCAGGCACCCTTCCTCTAACAGCAAAGCTTTGGAATTCACAACCCTTCTCTGACAGCTCCTGACGAACTCTGGCATCGAGCGTGTCGAGTTGTTCGGGTGAAAATCCCTGAAGCTCTGGCAGGGCTGAACCTGACGTTAGTCTAAGCAAAGAAAACGGGCGTGCGATTAAGAACTTACTCCGGGCCATAGCCACGATCATAGGACCAGCGCCAGCAGCGCCATTGATGCTAGCTTCTTTGAGCTCAGGCTTCGCCTTAGCACCAACCTTACATGCCAAGACATCGACCTGAACGTCCTCGAGACCGGCCGCTTCCATCCAGTCCTTCAAATTGGGCCCAAAGTTCCCGCCCATCTTCTTGATGATCCAAATCTGCTCCAGCAACTGGAAGAACTCGCGAGCGACCGTGCCTTCGCCCAACAGACTCTGGTCGCAGTCAAGCTCGACAAGCTCAACCCAGCCCCCAGGCTTAGCCAACGCGCAGAGATTGGCAACAGCTTGCTCAAGAGCGAAGTTGCCGCAAAAGCCCAGCACCTGGCGCTGATGGACAACATCAAATGATTCATGCCACTCGACAGGCCAGGCATCGGTGATAGACTGTTTATGGAACTCGATGCCATCGGGTCGAGGATTGGGGAAAAGTGCTTCAACTAGGTCAGTACCGATGAAGGTTTGCTGTTCAGCGGCAGGTCCCGCTTGCTTCAGAAGGTCCTGAAGCCAGATGCCTAATCCGATGGTCAGCTACAACATGCAAAGCTGCATGTGGAAAAACTCATACCATCTGCCGTTGCGGAGTCCAAGACCCTGAGACCGGGCTTCTTCCAATCGATTGGAATGAAGGACAGCTTGCCACCGGCAGCATCTGTGTAGACGAGGTGGTTATCAGTCAAACGGGAGATTTCTTCTTCCAGGCCACGTTTTTTAGCATCTGCCATGAGTTCGTCCATGCCAGTGCCGTTGGCGATGCCGGCATCAAGCTCGGCTTGGGGAGGGGCTGCTGTGGTTGTAGTAGCCATGTTGATCGACGAAGCTTGGAATGAATTTAGATTTTCAAAACGATCTGTAAAGAGGAAGTGAAAATGTGGTGCGGAGCTGGAAGATGAACTTGCAACCTTCTCTGGTGATGTGTTCAGGCCATTACTTAATTATGTTTATTTCGTCATGTCCCGTTGTCTAATCTAGGCCATTACAAAAGCTCTAAGAGTTTGTATCTCAGACAGGCTTATCCTCAAGTCCCTATTCCATTTCCTGCCAAGTCTAGTATACATCAGGCAGCAGGTTATGTTCCGGTTAGCCACGGAGGATTCGCCAAGGTGAGACATTAGGGCGTAACAATATCGAAGTGGAACTATGATGGTGTGAACTTACGGATAGTTGCATAAATGACGTTGAGGGACTTTGGAGATACCCCTTGACACTTCGCCCCGTCAATGGGATAGCTCTCAACAACCCCCGCCACCACCCCTCTCTTATGCCCCGGTCCCAAAGGATCTCACTAGTCGCTTGCAGGCCATCCTTTGCCGCTCGGCCTGAAGGATGGAATATCCCAGTCTGTAGATAGTACGACGCACCCCTCCCAAGGTTGATCTTCCTCGTGGGGGCTTCGTAAAGAGTGGTGCGGGAACTTTTGACGACAGTCACCCTTTGTATCCATGGGTATCGTCTCTCATGCAATCATCTGACGATATTTTCTCAGACATTGCTCCCTAGTCTTCCACGCCAATTGTGTGATCAAATATCTCTGCCTAAATCAAGGCGAACATTACGCCGAAAGCTTAAGCTCGGCGACCGCTGGCCCGACTCATTGCCTTGTAGAAGCTATTTTTGACACCTTGGTCTAACGGCCGTATCCTTTTATGAATTTGAGTTGCGGTGGCATTATCCTTGAGCTTTCGGTCCTTCTGAGAATTTTTGGTGCCCCGAAACATTGTTTGCACTCTGCGGTGAACAGCTTCCATGATGGACTTCACTTGGGATTCACTAAGCATACTCAAAGCTTTGGTGCTACTTCTACTGCACTATCTTATTGTTGTGGTGGCCTACCGCTTGTTCTTTTCACCGTTGAGAAAAATTCCCGGCCCGAAACTTGCTGCAGTAACATTTTTGTACGAATTCTATTACGATGCCATCTGTCGTGGGCGCTTTCTCTGGAAAATCCAGGACTTGCATGCCAAGTATGGTCCCATAGTTAGGATCAACCCTCGCGAAGTTCACATCAACGACATTACATTTTACGACGAAATCTACGCCAGTGGACCACATCGACCTCGGAACAAGATTCGGTTCATGGCCACCCAGGATGAGAGCATGTTTGATACCTACAGCGCCGAAAGGCATCGGATTCGCAGATCGGCGCTGTCGGGGTCATTCTCTAAGCAGTCAATCCGTGCCCTGGAACCTCTCATCGTCCAGACTGTCAATCAATTGGCTGGTCGAATGAGTGGCCTTGCTGATTCTGGGGCGGTGATGGACTTCAAAGAGCTTTACAGTGGCCTCACGATGGACGTCATCGGCCAGTACTGTTTCGGCGAGAGCATGGACAACCTCAAACAAGATAAGTTCGGCAAAGAGTTTCTCGACTTTTTTCATGAGATGCCTCAAAGTCACCCCATTGGCCGCATGTTTCCTTGGCTCTTCGACTTGATCCAGAAAGTCCCGATCAGCGTCCTAGCAAAGATCGATCCCAAGCTTCAGCCTCTTGCGGACTATGACAAAAGGATCTCTGGGCAGATCATGGAGGTCCTTGCCAAAGACAAGCCCGATAAGATACGAACAGTGTTCCATGAGATGAGAGACAGCAAGCAGCTGCCGGAGTCTGACAAGACTCTCGAGCGCTTTAAAGCCGAAGCGGCGATCTTCTTAGGCGCCGGCACGGAAACCACTGCCGCCGCCTTGACGGTCTTGAGCTATCATCTCACGGAAAATCCGGCTATGCTTGAGACCCTCCGAGGTGAGCTCAAGTCTGTGAGCACACCTTTCACTGTGGCAAAATTGGAGCCTCTCCCGTATTTGGTCAGTTGTCACGTTCCATAATAGCGAGTAAGTCGCTTCTTCGCTAACATAAGAGTTCAGAGTGGTATCATACAAGAGGGCATAAGACTTTCTTTCGGAGTACCGGGACGTCTTCCACGGTATGCTCCTACAGAAGACCTAATGTACTCTGGCTACAGGCTACCTCGAGGTGTAAGTACAACACAGTCCAAACTTACTCTGTCTTATACTTACCAATCTTTGTAGACCGTTATGAGCTCTTCCTCATACCTCCTCCATACAGATGAAGCGCACTGGATCAACGCGAACCAATTCAACCCCCAACGTTGGATCGATGACAAAACGACGCTTACGCGCAATTTCGTGCCTTTTGCGCGTGGCAGCCGGCAATGTATTGGCATGAACCTTGCCTATGCTGAGCTTTATCTCACTGTTGCCACGATCTTCTCTCGGTTTGACTTCGAACTGTATCAGACTACACGGCGTGACGTTGAGCTTGCGCATGATTTCTTTGTCGGGATGCCTCCACTAGATTCGCAAGGCATAAGAGCTCGCGTCTCCAAGCAATTGTTATGAACAGAAGGAAACAACCGCAAGCTCGCTTGCAGGATACTGTAGTAATTCAAAATCCGTGATAAAGCTTTTCTGTATCTCCAAACATTCAGTCACGGAATTGACAACGTACATCTATGCTAAAAATGCAATAGCCAATTTCTCATGAAAAGGATGGGAAAAACCTGCAGAATAACTTGACGCATACTGATGATGTGTTGATCACATGTTATTCATCTTTGAACCTTTCAACCTTTAGAATCCAAGACCCAACAAGATCATGGCAGTACTCAAGCTTGATTCATGTTGTAATGTGGCAAAGCTATTTGATTGCTAGAACGAATGACTCAAAGACTCCATCAATTTCAATGTTGGCACTACATGTATCCTTAGGATAAGTTGGCATGATACCAGGATCCCAACATTTAAGTCGCTTTTTAGTTCGTCTTGGCCCGTTCGACGACTGCCATCAGAGGCGGCTTCGACCGTGTGCTATAAGTGAGTTGGCGATCCAGCCAATTCTCAGACGCAGCGTCTAATGTTACGTCATAGCTGAACAGCAGCTTGCACAGGGCCATTCGTAGAACATAGAAGCTTAACCTATCGAGTGTCAGTATAATTCAATCAAACTTTGAAACGAGGGCGGTAAGACTAACTCTTGGCCGAAGCACGACTGGGGTCCAACTGAGAAGGGATGCACGCTTCCTTTCTTATCGCCTAGGCAGTCTTTTGGTCGTCCTCGATCATCCGGGAGCCATCGATCAGGAACGAATTCCTCAGGCTTGGCAAAGTTGCGCTCCACTGAGTAGGTAACCTGATGCAGCATCATGACAACAGTATTCCCAGGTACGAACTTGCCCGCAATCTGAGCTCCCGATAAAGGAACGCAGCGATCTGTGCCAGTTGCCGCAGGCGAGTAGCACCGGATTGACTCTTGCAGACATGCCTCTAGGTAAGGCAGATCCTTTTGAGAACTGCTGAGTCTGTCCATGGTGATATCCGCTTCGGTTTTGAACACAGTTCTGACCTCCTCAAGCAAGCGATCCTTGATAGCGCGGTTTTCCGCACGTGAGACAAAATAGACAAATCCTGTGAGTACAGTCGGCATGGCCTCGCAACCACCAAGCATCAGGAATGGAGCAAATTCCCTCAGCAGCTCTAGGGGCATCGTTCCTTGTCGTCCGCCGGTTTCGGAGTCTCCATCCAAGACCATCTGTAGCATGTCGTGCCTCGCTGATGATAGGGCGATACGACGATCAAAGCGTTCAAAGATTGGAGCCATGAAAGACTCACGCTCGCCGCTTCCCCATTTGTGAACGGCGAAAAGTAGAATCTTGTGAAGAAATGGGAACCGGTTCAAAACGGCTAGGATTGTGACACCCTTGGCAAACCGGTCAAAAGAATGCACCCAAGGTACGAACTTCGGGTCTGAGAAGAGATGGAGAGACTCGCCGAGAAACAAATCCGCTATGAGGTCGCAAATCAGAAAGCTGTTCATGTCGCGCATGTCGATAGCGGCACCATTGGCGGACTCTATAAAGGAAAGGTACTCGTTGATGTGGCCATTGATCATGCCCTCGATCTTCTTGACGTTATCGCGCTTCAGAGCCGGCACCATTGCCTTGCGCATGAGGCTGTGCGTCTGTTGAGATCGTGGCTTCGCAGGGTCAGGATTGACGAGGTCGCCTCCCACGAGGGCTGCGAGACGAGGGTCTTTGGCCATGCCATCTTTGGCTGCCTTGGTGGCGCCGCAGATGTCGAACCAAGCACGCTCGTCTGTGAAGGTGAGGGCGTCGGGAGCGATGCGGACGACACCGCCGTATTGGTTGTGGAGTTTAATCAGCCATGGAAGCTGGCGTCCTCGAACTGTGGCAATGAGATGGGGAATCCGAGAGATTGCGCAAAGTTTCGGACCAGGGAATGACGATAACGGCGAGAAGTAGAGCTCTTTGACGATGGAGATGATGTACACTCCGATGCAAATGACAGCGACTGTGAATGTGAGACGCGATGTTGCAGTGAGAGCTTGCCAATTGGTAGTAATGTCGTCCCAAGTTACGCCAGGAGTAACTTGAGTGTGATTGACGTAGGGTTGGGAGGACATTTTGGTTCCAAATGAATTCTGGTGATGCAGTACGATGCGACTGGACCTTTGCAGTGCTTCAATCGTCCGCGAAGAATTACGATAATGGCATCGACAATGGTCCAGGTTTCAGTGATTGAATTTCTTTTAGTGCACCATCAGACGCACATCCCTAATAGGATCATGTACGAGAAGTAATTACTGACAGCTAGGTTTCCAAATGCAAGTGTAAAGCCAGCTGTTTGCTTCATCCACATGAAAGAATCTATCTGATGACGAATCCTGACTCGAGTCACCAGCATCAGATCCTGGTCTTTAAAGGAGTGATCCTAGCAATGCAAACATATCGTGCACTGAACCCATGAAAATGGCATGCTTCTGCCTGCGAATAGCCCGCATCTTCCGATGATCAACAGGTCGAATCATTGCTCTAAGCGATGGAGCAAAGGGTGTCTTGGCATGTCTACCAAGTATGACTGATTTCAGAAAGCATTTGTCTACTTCAAGTTGCCGGTGAATCCTTCGAGACATCCACTAATATGAACTTCTCCCAAAACAGGTATTCTTTTCGATCTTACCCTAAACAGACTCGGGGATAGGTGTGAGCATTGGCTACCCCTGTTACATGAATTCGGGCTGGTCTCTTGAACCCTTCAGACATGTGGGGTGCACAATCCTTCTCCTTCGCACCGTCCCGCTCGCGCTTACGAATTTCGCACGACCCGACGTGTCTATCCGGTATTCATCCAATCAAGTTGACGATATGTCAACCTGACAGCCACCCAAATGCGTGGCCTGACAAGGAACTAGGCGGGGAAATGCAGGTAGTGAAGACTAAAGTCCCAGCGGCAGCCTTATCTTTAGTTCATTTAGTGTGGTCTCTACCGCACGTACGGGACTTTGGGTTTGCTCCCTCACGCCGTGTAGATGGATCTAGCCCTGATCGACACCACACCCCCAGGGGTCACATCCTTGGTGCCTAGTTGCCAGTGGAAGTTTGGTCTGTGCGACCTGGGCTTCCGAGCAAGGCATCAAGTTTCCACAATTCATAGACCAATACAGTTGGAGTTTTACGAGATTTGTCTCATCCTTGGCGTGTATGTTCAAACTTCACCTAAGGATGAGAACCCTTGCACATGCATTTCTCAATGGAAAGCTGTTGAAAACCTGTGGAACACAATCTACATATTCTAATGAGGTAAGATTGATATGATTGACGTATGTCGCGGCGGCTGTTCTGACATCGTGGCTCGTCATGTTCCATGTAAGCAGCCTGGTATGTCTGGCTACATGTAGCTATGAACTTTAATGTACAGTAGCTACCTGAGAAAGGATGGTAATCGTTGTAGATGCATATCCAGATGACATAAATGGATGGCTCCAAGCGTAGGGTGAGTTTGTTTCTTGGTATACTACCACCACCTTTCACAACAGTGGATAGTCCCATCGATACACCCCAACTCCATCTTTTCCAACCCCTTATTCTTACGTGTAGTTTCTGACGAAATGCCTTCGTTACTTTCCGTCCTCGAACATAACGCCTCATTGTCAGCAAGGAAAGCAGGGTTCGTAGCCGTGTTTGCCGGAGCCACCAGCGGCATTGGCCTCGCTACCCTCAAAGTTCTCACCATCAGTCTTGTGTCACCGCGCTGCTACGTAATCGGTCGATCGAAAGCCAATTTTGCCCCTCAAATCGCCGCGTTGCGACGGAGTAACCCCTCCGTTAGCATCCATTTCATTGAGACCGAGATAGCGCTCCTTCGGAATGTCAGTGCCGTCTGTGAGGACATCATACGACGTGAGCCCCATGTAGACTTGCTTTACATGAGTCCAGGGTCGTTGGCCTTTGGGGGACCACATTGTGAGTCTATTCGAAATGTCGACTTTCAGCTTCGTTGCCTGATTTCCATCTTCACGCCCCTTCCCTGTTTGTGGGAGGCTAGTGGCTTCATACTGCAATATCATCCCGGGCTATTCGTAAGAGTCGATCTGACCATTGGCATCCTAGATACGGAAGAGCGCCTTGACATTTGCTTCGCTCTGTCCCACTACATCCGCATCCGATTGATCCAGGGACTCTTGTCTAGTCTCTTGAGAGCCAACGAACCCCGCATTGTCTCTGTCTTGGCCGGTGGGCACGAAAAGCCACTCTTCACTGAAGGAGGCGACTTGGGACTTCGGCTCGAGGGAAATTACACCGCGCCAAGAGCTGTCGACCAAGTCACCACTATTCACAGCCTGGCTCTCATGTTCCTCGCCAAGGCCCACCCTAGGATCTCGTTCCTTCACGTCTATCCTGGTTGGGTTTCTACGAGCTTCCTGTCTAATCTCTTGGGTAGTGGAGGTGTTCTTGGCAAAATGGCTGAGACGGTAGTTGGTCCCCTTTATCGAATGGTTGCTATGAGTGAAGACGAGTGTGGGCAAAGACAGGCCTTCAACGCAACCAGCGAGCGATATCCCAGCCGTGACATGATTTTGCGTGCCAAGATCAATGTTAACGATCAAGCTTTATGTCACGGGCCGTGTAGTGGCTTTTATCTGGTGCTGGCAGACGGAAGCACATCTCCTCGCAATGAGATTCTAGAGACTTTAACGTGTGATGATGGTTGGATGCAGAAAGTCATGGATTACACAGAAAATGTTGTCATTGAAGCAGGAGGTAGGTAGAGTGAATTGGACATCTAGTATTGGTAGAAATTGGGCCTATGTATCGAGTTTTCGGCTGGTCTAGAAGCCGCATGATGGCTTTGAGTTGCTTTTTGTTCCAGCGCGTAACTTGAAATCTATCGCGGGGTGACCGCAACCTTGACGCCGTGCAAGCTGCTTGGCCCAACCCTCATAACAGGAATATAAGGTCGATCATCTCTAGCTTCGAGGTTTTTGAACCTCTGGCAAAACCGCGTCAGAACATACGCTGTCTCTGTAGCCACGAGGATATGAGCTGGGCAGATGCGTGGCCCGCCGCCAAAGGGCACGAAGTGCCACAATGGCCTGATACTTTTCCAGCGCTCGGGGCGGAACTCGGCCGCATCTGGGCCCCAATAGTCAGGATCGCGGTGCATGAGATAGCGATTGCTGTGGACAATGTCGCCCTTGGCACAAAAAATGGGCTGTTTGCCGTCCGGGCCACCACCCCGTGGAAGGGTGGTGTCATGAGCGGCAACGCGAATCATCTGAATGCCGTTGGGCATGGTTCGATGCACTACGACGACGTCGTTAGTAAGATGAAGTTTACAACTCTTCGGAGCAGATTGCTTACCTTCGTTGATGACCCAGTTCATGTACTGCATCCCCCGGAGTTTGGAAAATGTGATTTCCTCGCTTTCGTCAAACGTATCCTTCACCTCTCTCTGTAGTCGCTTCCAGACTTCAGAATGACGAGCGAGAGCAAAGATGGCGTTGGAAATGTGGATGCTAGTCGTCTCATTGCTGGGAACCCAGACGGCGGTGATTTGATCTCGTAGGAGTATCTTGTCCTCTATCTGGTGTGCCATGTCCCATAGTAAGTCCGTACGCTCCGGCTTGTCGGCAAACTTGTCAGGGAACTCTTTCCGCTGCTTGAGTTCATCGAAGGCCTCGTCGATGTATTCGTTCATGAACTTGTGCACGAGACGAATGCTCTCATACCACTTTGGATCCCGGTGAAGGAACATGAACTTCCCCATGGTCAGTCGTACGCGAGCGCCACGCATAATGTCGACCATGGCGAGCATGACGTCTTCTTTTTCGGGATTTTGAAGACTGTCACGACTACGGCCGAAAAGGAACTCTGTGGAGGTGTCTAAAAACTGCAAAAGAAGACAGAATCATGATGAGCTGGGTGATTTTTTCAAGCAAGCTGGAGAAGGCACGACTCACCCATCTTCTGATCAAGACTTGGAAGTCAAAAGTGTCCCCATTCGTGGGTATCAAATCCAGCATTCGGTCGGTGAATGGCTGAAGTCTGGCAACGTTGGCAAAAGCTTGTCTCTCAAAGTATGGCTTGATAACGCCCCGACTGTAGTGCCAGAACTGACCATCAGAAGTGCTTACGCCCTTTCCAGTGAACGGAGTTGCGACGCCGTTGTCGACTCGTATGGGCTCAAGTACAAACTCTTCCCACTGGCTAGTGCTCATGGCCTTCATGTTTTCCATTTCGGAAGAGTAGACCATGCGCATGCCGAGGAACCGCGCCTTGAAGGTTTTGGTGCCCTGAGCAGCCCAAGTCTCCTCCATCCAGGACAACCATCTGTGCTCCTTGAAAGCACGGCTCATGGACAGCACAAAGTCCATGCCCCAAACAGGGTCCCAGTGGGAGTAGGTCCTGAGCTCGCCACATTTGAAAGCCTTAGTCTTTCGAGAGTAACTGATATTGTCCCATATCTTGTTGAGAAAATAGAGAATAATGAAACCGTATAAGGCTGTCAACGAGACGTTGAATAAGTGCAACATCTTGACCCAAGAAAGATGGTGGTAGCGGTACTGTGATTGCAAAAGTCGTGAAGGACATTGGACCAGAGGTTGTGAGAAGCAGCCAAAGGCAGATGTTGGAGTTGTCAACAAACAAGATTGAGTGCGGGGTGAATATGTGTGAGTTTGCTCTGCGATCGGAGCTCAGGGCGTGGAACTAGGACTGGTAATGGTGTATCTGCATGGAATTTGATTGTGCAAATTGATTATGAGATTTTCTATTCCAGGGATTCTTTCTTACCTAGATCTACCTTGTAAGCCACCTTCGGGGATATATGTCCGCGACTTGGGCTGTTCACGGACATGGATCGCATTCCCAAAGCATGGTAAACCGGCTGTCGTGGCACCTTGATTTACACTAGGAAGCTCTGGCCATGGATGGATCTGGCTTTCAGACATAGCCTTCATTGCAAGATAGTACGATGGCACGATGGCAAGAAGAATTGGCTGCCCTATTCAGGGATGAGGCAATGCCTGCATGCTCTGTGCAGTCCTTCAGGACACGGCGCGAAGCTACCGCAAGCGACTTAGTCTTGTGGGCCTAACCTGCAGAACTTCCAAGACACCTTACGAGAAGGATCTGTATCCAAGAAAACACCAGGAGGGATCGTCGATGATATGGAACCTTGGCTACTAGCCGAGCGAAAGGTCTCTGGAAAGGTGAGAGACATCAACAGCAGGTCTTGGCGAAGGAGTCGGATAAGCGCTTAACTCAGCTTGGACTTCGTACACTGCTAATTGCATATGAAATTATCCACTTCGGCCAGCGCTTGAAGGATTCCCCGAGGAGTGGATCGCGGCAATTGCTCGGCTCGTGTTGGGTGAGTGGAGACAGTGGCGCGCTTCGATGGAACTACACGCCTCAACATCCACACCACAACCCATCATCGCCTTTCTTCTCATCACGACACCCCCTCGTCCCATGCTGGCCAGGATGTCTTCCAGAACTTGTTGACGCCATCCTAGTGAGACCGCATCCATTCACGTCTTATTGCCCGAGGAACAATCGGCGCTTGATAGTGCTTATGGAAGACTTTCAATTGCTACAAACCCACAGCTAACTCGGTACAGACTCTTGTTTCCCGGTCCGAGAAGATGGCACTCCTCTGTCGATCATGCGACTGCTACGGGCGTAGCTACGCGGTACACCAACTTCTTTCCACCTGCTTTCCCTAACTTGACCCTTTCGGCTCCTTTCGCAACCCCTGCAAGTCCCTCGTCGCTCACTTCGATGGGGTGCGTCGTGATATCACCCGCATCCAACACCCGCTGAGTGATCGGCCCCCAAAGCTCCCCGAATGCCTTGTCCTTTGGCTTAGCATCTCGTCGATATGGCTTTTTCCAGTTGATCGGCTTGCCGAGAACCGTCCAGGAGATGATCCAGTCAGGACGCACGTTGCGACGCGTATGCCCACGGATGGGAAACTGGTCGAGGCCCACATATCGGCCACCATCGCTTCCGATGGCCCCGTAGCAGATCTTCATGCTCCCGCTGTCAGTGATGCAGTCAAGCACGTACGTCAGACGGTCGTTTGTGAAAGCGCGTATGTCGGAAGCGCAGGACGGCGAATGGTAGTCCCACACTTGTGCGGCACCGAGCAACTTCACCCGCTCAAAGTTGTGTGGCGAGCAGGTCGTGATAGGGATCATGCCTGAACTGCGGTCTGTGTCAGCCTCTGACTTGGCCGTGTAAATCTCATGAATTGCTCAGGTATACTCACAGCTTCGCGGCTTGAATGGCCAACGTGCCCGTCGCGGTTCCGCCACCGTAAATAAGCACATACTGAGGCTCGCCGTCACCAGAGGCTTTGTTGGCGTGCGGCAATGGGAGCTTCATGACGTGGTATAGAGACAGACCGATGGTGAGCATACCGCACCCTAGTGTGGCAGCTTCTTCAAAGCCCATCGAAGAAGGTATGTCGAATAACAAAGCTTCTGGGACGCTCACATACTCGGCAAATCCACCGTTGTGAGGGTCGTCAGCGCTGTTGCCCGGAGATGCGCCTGCAACTCGATCACCGGGCTTGAAGTGCTTCTTGCACTCTGTCCCGACACAAACGACCTGCCCAGAAAAGTCACAGCCCCAAGTTGAGCCTGGGGATGGTGACATATCCAGTGATTTCCAGTCAAACGGGTTGATGCCAATGCAGACGACCTTCACCAAGACCTCATCAATCTTTGGCTGTGGCACAGGACAGGCATCTTGCAATTCGACACTCCCTGCCCCTTGGACTTTCAGCGCCTTTTGCGTAGCTGGCGGCATGTTGCCGTTGTTCAATTTCTGTATCGCCATTGTCGATGGGCTCAAATGAGAGGAAAGGCACTGAGATGGTTGAGAATGAAGTAGTAGAGGTAATATGATCCACGGTAAAAGAGATGATGGGATTGCGAAGTTGAAGACTAGAAGGAATGCTCGTAGGTCTGAGAAGAGGTCTGTAAAAGCTGACCAAAGAGCAGATGTTCATGGAGCGCCTCCTCTGGTGAGATCAGCTCTTTCCGCCTCTCTCTCAAGTCCCAAGCGCCTGCAGGGTTTCTCGATGAGAGGCGCAAATACCCTGGCGAGGCACTATACTAGGTTCCATCGTTGCCTTCGACGGATTCGTATGCCCGTGCATTGCGCCATATCTTGTCAGGACTTTTGGTTTGCCGGTGCCTCCTTATGACTCGACCTATGCTCAGCCCTCTCGCCGAGGCGGATGGAACGACGGGGGGTCGGTCATCCAGCGCCGCTCCTGATGCTTGGTGAAGCGAATCAAGCATCCACCTCGAGCAAACCTCACGGCTTGTCAATCGTACAAATCAACTTTGTATCAGGCTTTGATGCTTGCTTGCTAACCTTACAAGGTACTGATCTCGCTTACGCATCGTATGCACACGCCCCAATGTGTCTTATCCTGGGCTTTGGGGGTGAGGTCGGAAAAGTTCGGTCCCACACCGGGGCAGGATTGTATACCTGTTGGTCTTATTCAGTTCTTCCGGTTACAACACCGCGATTCCCAATCCTGCCTATGCACATGCAAGATTGTCACCCCAGGTACACCAAAGTACCTTCGAAGAGCCCTGCAAGGGCTGTGAACATCGATCATGTCCCAGGTCTCATCCCGCTCCACTGGGTATCCACCTCGGCCCCCATCAGATCGATCATTCTCTTTCAAGCAGACCAGACGTGCAAGGAACTTTCGGGCATACGCTTGCTTTACGCCTCATGGATTACGATCTAGGGGGCAAGAGAATTGCCTCAGTATGTATACCTTGAGTGCCAGGCAACACACCAATCGAACACTACATGAAGCAATGTGTTTGCATACATCCAAGTCTTTGCAAAACCAACTCAAACTACCTAACTCGCTTGTAAGATTGACATTGTCGGGTGCCTTCACGAAGACTCTTCTCTCCAGTCGTTCTCATATCAGATGACAGCGACTTCTGGTCTCTCTTCTTGACGTTTTCGTTCAACACCCCCAATACATCCACCGCTCTCAACAGCACGTTGGTTGTACTTCTTCTAGCACCTCTAGCTAGCTTTATATCACCAAAAGTTACCAGGCTTTGTGACCATGCCTCCACAACAAGAGCCCATAGCCATCATCGGCTCTGCATGCCGTTTTCCAGGCGGCGCATCATCCCCTACAAAGCTTTGGGAGCTGTTGAAAGAACCCAAGGATGTTTTACGGGACTTCGCCAAAGATCGACTGAATCTTGAGGCATTTCATCACTCCGATGGTGAGCATCATGGCGCCACCGATGTCTGCAGCAAGGGATATCTTCTCGAGGAGGATAGCCGGCTGTTTGATGCCTCTTTCTTCAATATCAACCCAGCTGAGGCTGATGCCATGGACCCTCAGCAACGTCTCACACTCGAGACGGTATATGAGTCACTCGAGTCTGCAGGCTACACACTCGACCAAATTCAAGGATCCTTGACGTCCGTGTTTCTCGGTGTGATGACCGGAGATTATCATGACATTCAACAAAGAGACCCAGAGACCATCAACCGATACCACGCCACCGGCACGTCCAAGAGCATCCTTTCAAATCGCGTGTCCTACTACTTCGACTTAAGAGGCCCTTCCATAACGATGGATACAGCCTGCTCTTCATCCCTCGCTGCCCTTCACCTCGCCGTTCAATCTCTCCGTAATGGCGAGTCCTCCACGGCTATTGCCATCGGAGTCAACTTGATCTTTGACGCTGCCGGCTATGTCGCTGAGTCCAAGCTTCACATGCTCAGTCCAACATCACGTAGCCGCATGTGGGATGCAGGCGCGGATGGCTATGCTCGTGGAGAGGGAGTCGCTTCCGTCGTCCTGAAGCCCCTCAGCGCTGCAATTCGCGATGGTGATCATATTGAGTCTGTCATTCGCGAGACTGGCATGAATAGCGATGGGCGCACCACTGGAATTACTATGCCCTCCGCCGCCGCGCAGGCCACACTCATCCGCCGAACGTATCACAATGCCGGATTAGATCCCATTGTCGATCGTCCACAATACTTTGAAGCCCATGGCACTGGTACTCTGGCCGGAGACCCAGTCGAGGCCCGAGCCATCCGAGAATCATTTTTCTCTCCCGGAGCATCGTCGCCCGAAGACGCTGGAAAGCTCTTTTGCGGCTCCATCAAGACTGTCATTGGTCACACGGAAGGTTGTGCAGGTCTGGCAGGGCTGCTCAAGGTCTCTCTGGCGCTGCAAAATCACACGATACCTCCCAACTTGCTATTCAACACCCTCAATCCTGCGATCAAGCCATTCTACGACCGACTTCGTGTACCAACTACGTCTATTCCTTGGCCAAAGATCTCAAACGGACCAAGAAGGGCCAGTTTAAACAGCTTCGGCTTCGGCGGGACCAATGTACACGCGATCATTGAGAGCTACACCCCTGACGACTTGACTACCGGTGAAGACACCTTTCTGAATGGCCTTTCTAATAAGTTTGTTGGGCCGTTGGTGGTCTCGTCCGAGAGGGAGTCGTCGCTTGTGGAGACTGTCGGCAAGTACGCCGACTTCATCAAGTCCCATCCTGATGTCGATCTAGAGGATCTGGCTCTCGTATCGCAGACGAAGCGCAGCTTGTTCTCTACTCGGGCGTTCTTCTCTGGAGATACACGAGATAAGCTCATCGAGTTTCTCGAGATGGCTAGAGAAACCTCTCAGACCGGGGCTGAGATTGGCATCAAAGCCCCCAGTGCTTCTGCCGGGCCTCCTGCGATTCTTGGAATTTTCACTGGCCAGGGAGCACAGTGGGCGTCGATGGGTCGGCTGATGATCGAATCATCCTATCAATTCAGGCAATCCATCATGAAGTGCGAAGACGCCCTTAGAGATATTCCGGACGCTCCATCGTGGTCTCTGGTGCAGGAGCTTACGGCTCCGGAAGAGGTTTCGCGTATCGGAGAAGCCGCCATCTCCCAACCCCTCTGCACTGCAATTCAAATTGCCGTGGTTGACGTCCTGGCCTATTCAGGAGTTCACTTCGATTCGGTCGTCGGCCACTCTTCAGGAGAGATCGCCGCCGTTTACGCAGCCGGCATCATCTCCGCCGCTGACGCTATGAAGATCGCATACTATCGTGGTTTATACGCCAAGCTTGCCCTCAGCCAGTCAGGCGCACGAGGCTCTATGATGGCGATCGGCCTAGGGTTCGAGGATGCCATGGCCTTTTGCGACGAACCGCAGTTCAAGGGTCGGATCGGCCTTGCCGCTAGCAACTCCCCCACCAGCACTACTTTATCCGGCGATGAAGATGCCATTAATGAGGCCAAGGCAATACTGGAAGAGCAAAAGACATTTGCCCGCCTCTTGAAGGTAGATACGGCCTACCACTCTCATCACATGATGCCTTGCGCCGAGCCCTACCTGGCGGCTCTCAAGGCATGCAATATCAAAGTCAGTACGCCATCTGATCGTTGCGTGTGGATATCATCGGTCTACGGACATGCTGAGCTTCTCGATGACGAAACTGATCTCGCAGTCTTGTCGGGCCAATATTGGATCGACAATATGGTGAGACCCGTTCTGTTCTCCGAGGCAACCGAATGTTCTCTGTGGAGAGCCGGGCCATTCAACCTTGTACTCGAGATCGGGCCGCATCCAGCACTCAAGGGACCTGCATCGCAGACAATGAAGACTGCTCTTGGCCATATTCTGCCTTACGCTACTTTCCTGCGACGTGGCTACAACGATGTCGAAGCCTTTTCTGGTGGAATTGGTTACATCTGGAGCTACGTCGGTTCAGTGGTCGATTTCTCGGGCTACCGCAAAGCCATGCACGGCCCAGATGCACATCCAGCCCGAATGCTCAAGGGCCTCCCTTCCTACGCGTGGCATCATGACAAGATCCACTGGAAAGAAGCACGCCTCTCGCGTCGGTATCGTTTAGCCGACAAGGCACCTCATGAGCTTCTGGGTAGGCGCACTATTGATGACTCGGAAACAGATTTGAGATGGCGCAACATCTTGAAGCTGAGTGAGCTGCCTTGGGTGCGTGGGCACGTCTTTCAAGGACTCGTTCTGTTTCCAACATCGGGATACATGGCCATGGCAATACAAGCAGCAATGGAGATAGCGGACTCTCGGCCGGTCAAGCTTATCGAGATCCGCAACCTCGTTATTCCTCGTGCACTGACGATGGAAGAGAACCATCCGGGCGTGGAATCTGTCTTTTCCATCAAGAGGACCTATACCAACGATCATGACGAGTCCATTTTTCGGGGAGAATTCTCCTGTCATACTTGCTCGAATGAAACCACTGGGACATTGGAACGGAACTGCGCTGGGTCGATCATCATTGACTTTGGCGAGCCTTCGGCCGATACTCTACCACCTCGTGCCCAAGGGAAATCCGGCGTCGCCTCGGTGGATACGGAAGAATACTACTCTTCTCTGCTCAACATCGGCTTGAATTATCAAGGACTTTTCCGTGGCATCAAGTCTGTAAACCGCACAATGGGTTATGCCACGACCAAGGCGTCATGGAATCAGTCCGACGTCGGCGACAAATATGTGATGCACCCCGGGCCGCTAGACGTTGCTTTTCACTCCATTATTGCAGCATTTTGCACTCCCCTCAGCGGTGCTCTATGGGCGCCGTATCTGCCGGTCAAGGTCGACCGTCTGGCTCTCACACCCAACATCGATTACCGAGGAGAACCTGGCCAGATCAACTTTGACGTTGACACATTCATCACGAAGACTACGGCAAATACTTTCGAGGGAGACGTCCATATTATTGGCCCGGATGGCCGAACAGGCTTACAGGCCGAGGGTCTGACGCTGAAGCTGTTCACCGAAGCCCGCCCATCCGATGACCGCCCCATGTTCTCCAAGACAGTGTGGAAGACGGATGTCCTCGGTTCATCGTCAAACCTCGAAGAGATTTCGCCCGATGCTGAGGAGCTAGCACTTGCCGAGGCTATTGATCGAACGTCTTTATTTTTCATCAAGAAGATCTTCGACCATCTTTCGGATGCTGATGTTTCGGAGTGGAAGTGGTTCCACAAGGCGTTTTTCAATGCCTCCAAAGCATGCCTCCAGGAGACCCGAGATGGAACCCATCCAACGACAAGGAAGGAATGGCTCGAAGACTCCGAAGAATTGATCATGGCATACAAGGAAAATTACTCCAACCAGGCCGATATCAAACTTATCCATGCTGTCGCGGACAACGTTGTGGATGTCATGACGGCTGATGTGCAGCTCCTAGAGATCATGCTCGTGGACAACATGCTGAGCAACCTCTACACTGACGGACGTGCGATGAAACCACTCAACAAGCTCATCGCGGAACTCGTCGAGAATCTGTCGCACAAACATCCACGAATGGATATTTTGGAGATCGGAGCTGGCACTGGCGGTACCACCAATTCTGTTCTGAGTCAAATTGGCGACGCCTTCGGCCACTATACCTATACCGACATCTCAGCCGGCTTCTTCGAGAACGCAAAGAAGCGATTCGAGGCCCACAGCAAGCGCATCACCTACAAGGTTCTCGACATCGAACGTGACACGACTGAGCAGGGCATTCCCGCAGGCAGTCAAGACTTGATTTTGGCTTCAAACGTTCTGCACGCGACGAGAAACCTTAGGGAGACCATGGCTAATGTCCGCAAGTTGCTCAAACCTGGAGGATATCTCATCATGATGGAAGTCACTGGCGAGTTCCTTCAGATGATGTTTCTCATGGGCGGTCTACCTGGGTGGTGGCTTGGGGTTGATGAAGGGCGTGTTCGCGGGCCCGGCGTTGGCTTGACCGAGTGGGACACGATTCTCCAAGATGTCGGTTTCAGTGGCGCAGACAAGTATGTCACGGATCTTCCGCACGCCCAGAAGCATGCTTGCTCTGTCATTGTTGCTCAAGCTGTCGATGAGAGGTTCCAACTACTCCAAGATCCGTTGTCCTCCCTGGACGAGGTGCCGCTTGACCAGCGCTTGTTGATCATTGGCGGCAAGACGCTGCCTGTGTCTCGCATGATCAAGAGCATCGAGCGCCTTGCCTCCAGGTTCACCGACAAAGTGTTCCTGGTCGAGAGCGTGGACGCAATTCTGGACAAGCATGTTGAAACCATGACATCTGTCATCAGCCTCACAGAGATGGAAAAGCCTCTCTTTTCCGAGCCAATGACGGAGAAGAGACTGTCGAAACTCCAACGTCTGTTCTCGCGTGCGACCAACACTCTTTGGGTGACCAATGGTCGCCTTGATGAGGATCCTTTTGCCAATATGATGGCTGGGCTCGGTCGCGCTTTGATTACTGAGCTCCCGCAGCTCAACCTCCAGTTTCTCGATGTCACCAAGTCGACAACGTTTGACGCCCGCTTGGTTGTAGACTCTTTTCTCAAGTTGAAGCTGGCCAAGTCTCCTGAATTTTCCCGATCGCCTATGCTCTGGTCCACCGAGCCAGAACTTTCACTTCAAGAGGACGTCCTGCGCATTCCTCGAGTTATCATGGACGATGAGAGGAATGACCGGCTGAATTCTTTACGTCGCACCATCACGAAGGATGTTCTGCTTGCTGAGACTGAAGTCATTGTTTGTCCAAGTGAGGACAGCCTCTATCTACAAGAGAAGGCGCCTTGGCTCAGAAGACACCCAGCACCAGGACATGAAGACTCTTCACTTTGCGTCAAGCAGTCCGTTTCCTTACCTTTCTGCAAGGGAACAGGCCCCGTTCTTTGCGCGGGCACAATGGGCCAGAAGGATGAGGCTGTGCTAGCATTCGCCGCCTATCACGGTTCAAGCGTAGCCATTACTGACTCCAATGCTTTCGTTACATCGGTACCAGGACCTGTACCCAACGCCATCCTGGTCGCTACAGCCCATCATCTCATCGCAATCCGTCTGCGTTCCAGGCTATGTGCTATTCCGTCGATGAACGATGCCATTCTCATCTATGGAGCCACTCCTGACATGATCGCTGCACTCCGCACGAGATCGAGCGGTCTCAAACTTGTCTTTGCAAGCTCTGAGGAGAAGATGGCGCAAGGGTCCATCTTTATTCACAAGAGAGCATCTGCACGATCCATTCCGCTTCTTTTACCCAGAGGTATTAGATACGTAGTCGATCTCAGCGACGCAACCGGCGACACTATCAAAAGCCGCCTCTTGGAGCTTTATGAGCAAGTCACCTTTTCCGTCGACCTGGCTGGCGTTCTCGACGGAAGCGACCTGCTCCGACAAGCATTCTCATCTGCTTCTCAGTCGACCGCTCCCACCTTCTCGATTATTCCTGCCAGAGATCTACCTGGCTTGTCGCCAGCGTCCTTACGCTTCCCTACTATTGTCGACTGGGCTTCCACGGGTTCTGTTCCAGTCAACGTTCAGCCTATCAACGGTGGAGGACTCTTCTCCGCAGAGAAGACTTACCTGATGGTGGGCTTGGTCTCGGATCTGGGTCGATCGATCTGCCGCTGGATGATTGAGAATGGTGCCAAGTACATCGTACTCACTAGCCGCAGTGCGAAAGTCGATTCTCTCTGGCTCTCCGAGATGGAAGCACTCGGCGCCGTGATTTCGGTCCATAAGATGGATGTGTCCGAACGCAAGTCAGTTCAGACAGTCTGCGACATCATCAAGGAGACACTCCCTCCCATCGCAGGTGTCTGTAACGGCGCGCTTGTCCTCAAGGATCAGCTCTTTGTCGAAATGGACGCTTCCGCTCTTAACGACGTATTTGCACCCAAGGTGGCGGGCACAATCCATCTCGACGAGTACTTCTCGGAACCTACTCTTGACTTCTTTATCCTCTTTTCGTCCATGAGCTCTGTCGTTGGAAACGCCGGACAAGCCAACTACAATGCCGCTTCCTTATTCCAAGCAGCAATTGCGAACAAGAGGCGAGCCAAGGGCCTGGCAGCATCCGTCATGTCGCTTGGCATGGTTGCCGACGTGGGCTACATCGCCCAACGAGGCCCCAGTCTGATGGAGAAGCTCAAGAAGGTCTTCTACATGCCAATTTCCGAGGCAGATGCTCACCTAATCTTCGCCGAGGCCGTGGTGGCAAGCAAGCCAGAAAACGCCGACGGCACAATCGAGATGGTCTCTGGAATCCAGCCCTTCAACTATACATCTTCGACCAAGGCGCGTCCACCCTGGTTCTCTAACCCACGCTTCTCGCACTTTGTCCGCGAGGAAGAAGAAGCGCAGGAGAGCGCTCTGGGCGACCTCAGCAGTGTCCACGTCAAAGAGCAGATGGATGCTGCAGGATCCGAGGAAGAGGCCTCCGCCGCACTGCTTGCAGCCTTTGGGGCCAGGATGGAGTCCATGCTCCAGATGAGCGCAGGAAGCTTGAATGTTGAAGCGCCTCTGCTAGATGTCGGCATCGATTCCCTGCTTGCGGTCGAGATTCGGACGTGGTTCTTGAAAGAGGTACACGTGGATGTGCCTGTCCTGAAGACCCTGAGTGGAGACAACGCTCGCGATATCTGTGCGGATGCCGCCAAGAAGTACATGTCAGCCAAGATGCAAGATGTTGGGAGCAAGTTGGCCGATGGACCAGCCGGATTGGAGGTGGAGGCGTCCACGGCATCGGAGCAAGTATGCAGCACTGAAGCCTCCAGCGCAGGCACGTCGAGCCCCGAAAAGGAGGGAAGCATCGCCACGCCTAGCAGCGTGAGCGAGGCTGGATCCGATGTCGAGAAGCTGCAGCAAAGGAAGGAAGTTGTTCGAACTGAAAAATTGTCATTTGCGCAATCGAGGTAGATGATCCTCTCCTGTGGGAAGCCTGTCCGTATGAGTTAGCTAAGCGTGTACATAGACTCTGGTTTCTCAATCAATTTTCTGAAGACCCAACATCTTACAACAGTCTTTATGTCTATGATGTGAAGGGCAATATCCACATACCCCGACTGAGAAGGGCTGTCTCAGCTGTGGTCACTCATCATGACGCGTTGCGGACCTGCTTCCTAACCAGGCCAGGCAATGGAGAGCCCGTCCAATCGCTTTTGAAGACGCCAGAAGATTGCTTGAGACATATAAAGAATTCCGACGAGGACTCAGTGCAGCGCGAAATGGAGGCATTGCGCAAACACAGGTGGAATCTAGCCGACGGTGATGTCTTCAGTATGGTTCTCATCAGCCATTCTCCCGACGAGCACACGATGCTTATAGGATACCACCACATCATAATGGATGGTGTGAGCCTGCACGTCTTCATGCGAGATCTCAATGTACTATATGCTGGAAAGTCTATCAACAAGGCGTCGAAGCAGTACCTGGATCTCACGGTGGACGAGCGGACAGCTATGGAGAACGGTCTTTTGGATAACAAGATTGACTTCTGGAAGCGGGAACACTCCTCCCCAGCAGAAACACTGCCTCTTCTCCCCTTCGCGCACGTCAAGTCCCGCCCAATTTCCGAATCTTATGCAAATGTCGAGTCTGTCAGGGAAGTTGGGCGCGACTTTTCGGAGAGAATCAAGCGGGCCAGCCGAGGTCTCAGCGTAACGCCCTTCCACTTCTATCTCGCCGGGATGCAAACTCTCCTGCATCGACTACTCGGCGTAGAAGACATCTGCATTGGCATCACGGACGCTAATCGTACACCTGAAAGCTCTCAAGCAATCGGCTTCTTTCTCAACCTCCTACCGATTCGGTTCCAGATTGAGAAGGCCCAGAAATTTGGCGACCTCGTCAAGAAGACGAGTCAGCGATATTATGCCGCGCAAGCCAACTCGGGCGTACCCTTTGATGTGATTTTAGACAAGGCGAATATCGCGCGGGACATGACGCACACGCCCTTGTTCCAGGTCGCCATGAACTATCGCCAAGGCAACTTTTCGAGCATCCCCCTGGGCGGGTGCAGCCTGACTGTCAAAGAGGGGTTCGATGCCAAGAGCCCTTACGATCTCGCCTTTAGCGTCACGCCGACGGAAGACGCATGTTACCTTCAGATCGTGGGCCGAGACGACTTGTACGACCAAGCTGCGACAAACCTGTTCCTCGACATGTATGTGACGCTGCTCGATGATGCGGCTAAGGACACATCCAAAACGCTTCTGGAGTGCCAGCTCTATGATCCTCGTGATGTCGATCGCGCGATCGCCATTGGACGGGGCGAGGATATTGACTTCGGATGGTCAGATACCTTGACTGGAAGAATTGATCGGATTTTCAGCAGTCACGGAGACGAAGTTGCTCTCAAGGATACGGCCACAGCGCTCACGTACTCACAATTGGCTGGCAAGGTGGCTGGTCTGGCAGCCATACTCTCGGGTAAGACGCAGCTCGGGTCACGAATTGCAGTCTTGTGCGATCCCACGGTCGACTGGGTCGTTGCCATGCTCGCGATTCTTCGTGCTGGTGCTGTTTATCTGCCCCTTGATACCAAGTTGCCCCGCGAGCGTCTAGCTGCAATTCTCGAAGCCTCGAACCCAGATTTAATCATATGCCACGCGTTAACGCGGCAAAGGGCAGACGATCTTTCCAGCAACATCTCCATCGTCGACGTTTCTGACAATTCTGACGTCAAAAATGTCCCAAATTTGGAACAGCCGGGCTCGGCGACGTTTATCCTTTTCACGTCCGGATCCACAGGGACTCCCAAGGGCATTGAGCTCACGTCCGCTGGCATCATCAACTACGCAGCTACCAAAGCCTCGAAGCTCCATCTCGACCGCGAAGTCGTCCTACAGCAGAGCTCACTCGGCTTCGACATGTCCATCGCGCAGGCGTTCAATGCGCTGACGAACGGCGGCACTCTTGTTATCGTCCCGCAAGAAAGCCGTGGAGATCCCGTCGCCCTCACGAAGATCATTGTTGATGAAGGCGTCACGTTCACGCTTGGCACGCCTACGGAATATCTTATGCTCATTCGACATGGAGGCGGAGGCATTGAGAGGCAGAGTAGCTGGAGACATGCTTGCACCGGCGGAGAGGCAGTCAATGTCCATTTGAGAGATGCGTTTCGAAGGCTGGAGCAGCCACCCGCAGTGACAGACTGCTACGGACCAACGGAGATTTCCTGCTGCGCAACGATGCGAACAGTAGATCTTGACGAAGAAGAAGCCGTCGTTTCTGGCTCCGTTGGCTCTGCGAATCCGAACACCTCGATTCTCATCATCGATGAGAACGGCATTGTTGTGCCGTCTGGCATCCCTGGGGAGATCTGTGTTGGAGGCGTAGGCGTGTCCCAGGGCTATCTTGACGCAGATCTGTCAAAAGAGAAGTTCACAGAGAACCCATTCGCTTCCGCACGGGACGCTTCAATGGGATGGACCACGATGTACAAGACAGGCGACAAAGGCACCCTACGCTCCGATGGGTCTTTGCACTTCATGGGCCGCATGGATGGCGACACCACGATCAAGATTCGCGGGCTCCGTGTGGACCTCGAAGACGTCTCCAATGTCATTGTTCGAGAATCCAAGGGAGAAATCGCAGATGCAGTCGTCACCGTCCGCGGGAATCCTGCTTTACTCGTCGCTCACGTCGTCCTCTCCAAACACTCAGTCGCGGTCGAGGCCAGCCTTCAGACCTTTGCTAGCAAACTTCCGCTTCCTAGCTACATGAAGCCCTCACTGATCATCCCTCTGGACCGCATTCCCATCAGCAGAAATGGGAAAGTCGATCGCCTCGCCATCGCCTCATTACCCATATCGCGCCTGCCAGCAGGACAACCGGTATCACCGCAGGGCGCCAAAGAAATGAGTCTCGCCGAGGGAGAGCTCCGTCTTCTTTGGGATTCCGTCCTTCACCAGACGTCCTCCCACCTGATCAACGGCGAGCCTCTGACATCAGACTCGGATTTCTTCTTGGTCGGGGGCACGTCGCTCCTACTAGTGATGCTGCAGAGTGCAATCCGCACATCCATGGGTATAGAGGTTTCGCTCAAAGACATGTACCACTCCAGCACGCTTGGTGGAATGACTACCTTACTTTTACGGCGGAAGAGCGAAAATCATTTGCCGGAATCGATTGATTGGGAAGCGGAGACGGCTCTTCCTAGCCTTCTCGACCTTGGGGTCCGTAGAGATACACCGAGGAATGTAGGTGCAATGGAGATTCTCATAACGGGATCAACAGGTTTCCTCGGCGGCGCAATCCTCTCAGCCCTGCTAAAGAGCCCAAAAGTAGCGAGCGTCCACTGCATCGCAATCGAGGCCGATAACAAGGTGCCATCACACCTCCAGCACGACAAAATCACAATCCACACTGGAAGTCTCCTGGAACCCCGACTCGGCATGTCACCAGAGACCTACACCCGCCTCCAAAACACAGTCGATGCGGTTGTCCTCGCAGGCGCGCAGGGCCACTGTCTAAACAACTACTCTACCCTCCGCATACCCAATGTTGATTCCACGAAGGTGATGGGCTTGTTCGCCCTTCCGCGGCGGATACCGCTTCACTTCATCTCTTCGAACCGGGTCACACTACTTGATCCCGCCGCAAAGGCTGCGTTGCCACCTGTAAGCGTTAGTCGTCATTTGCCGAGGAGGGATGGAGGGGAAGGTTTCACAGCTGCGAAGTGGGCGAGCGAGGTGTTTTTGGAGAAGTTGTCCGCAGCCGCAGTGACGGAGAAGAAAGAGGAAGGTCTACTACCCGTCACGATTCATCGGCCCTGTGCTGTTGTAGGCGACAAGGCGCCGCTCGAAGACGCGCTCAACGCGCTGCTACGGTTCTCAAAGCTCATGGGCGCCGTACCGCGGATCGATGGGTTGAAGGTCGAGGGATACTTTGATTTCGAGCGGGTTGAGGACGTGGCGGGTGAGATTGCAACTGCTGTCGTCAGTCCACGCGATCCTACCACGTCAAGCCCACATCGTGATAATAGCCAGGCAGGAGGGGTTTCGTTCCGGCATTATTCGAGTGGTGTCCGGGTACCGCCAACGGAATTCAAGGCGTACATGGAGAAATCATATGGCGGAAAGTTCCTTGAGCTGGACATGGATCAGTGGATTGAGGGTGCGAGGAGAGAGGGCATTGAGGAGTTGATTGTTGCATATTTGAAGGCTGTAACTGAGAGAGGGGAGAGAATGGTGTTTCCGTTCATGGGAAGTGCTTTGTAAGTGAGCATAAGGCTTAGTTGTTGTTTTAGTACCTAGGTAGTAATACATGTAGTTGTCGAAGTTGGAGGAGGCTGATAATTTAAATACTGTAATCATGAACTTCCACGCGGGACAGTGCCATTGGCCAACAATGCGTAGAGTAGGCGAACGATCGTGAGCTCTGCATGAGCACTGCAATTTTAACTCATGCGAAGGACATTATCGATCGTCTGATGCGGTTTCTGGCTATTTCCCCATATTACTTAAGCTGCGTGCACTCGCCGCTAGTATAAGGTGCGTGGCATAAGCTTCACTGCAATTTTGAACCTTCTAAAGGACATGCCTGTCCTTTACCATCATGCTGACGAGTATCTCCAGTTTCCCCTATCGGCCTCATGCTGGTTCATAGCGTTCCAGATCAAAAAGCTCAAAGAAGAACCATGTTCATATTGAAGAGGTACCGCTTTTTCCCTCTCATCGTTGTGGGATCTCTTGAGGGCGGTTGGTGAAATGCCGTCTCCATGAAGCGTTGGAAGGAGACGCCCGTGTGGGTTCATGCGCATCATGCATAAAGATGTGGCTGTCTCCTCCTCGACTGCTGCACCACATCATTGAGATCGAAAGGCTCAAGCCAATCTTGGCACCTCATTTCTCACTTGATACGAGCTATTAGAGTGCTATACATCAATATCTAGCTGCTAAGAGCCTCTCAACTAGTTGATGGAGTGGTCTGCTGGTCAGCACATAAGTCATCCTGTTTCAGAGTACTGTCATGGCGCATATAGGCCGTAAATTGAGAAAGACTCTACACTAGATGCCCCGATCGTGAGATCGTCTCTAACAAACTGATGCTGTCTGATTCGTTGCCACAATGTTGGTGTTGAACACGACAGACAAAAGCCCGCTGTGGATGAATTCCGCAAATCGAAAAGCATTTTCCTATTTCGTCCATAGTTCAGTACTTGAGCAAGGATGTTGCATGGGTGGGCGTTCCCACGAGACGTTCCCAGCGTTCTGTGTCACCTGGTACAACTTACAAGTTTAACTATTAATCAGGTTCAGTAATCACTTACAAGACACTAGTAAAAGAGCACGATAATTCCGAACATTGAATATCTTGTAGACTAAGAAGCTCATTGGCGGTGCGTGTTTGTTGCTTCTTTAATTCTCAAATGGTAGGGCAATCAGTGTGGGGGAAATCGCCGTCTGTTGGATACTATGTTTTGTGTGTTTTCCGGGTTGTTGGAACTAACCCAGTTACCGAAGCAATTGCGGCACAAGCAACAGGGTTTCTTTCCGTACCCATGGTCAATGAAGAATTGATTTATCTTTCCGATTTCTTATCAATGGCACGATTCTCCACATCTTTGCGTGATGTTACATTTATTACCCTAATACCCTTCCTACCTCTATGGCACCACATTCATCCGACCAGTACGGCAACTCACTTGCTGAATCTCAGGTCACGATGGAGTCTTTGAAGCCAACTTGGTACCATGAGCTCCTCGCTCTGGGCGCTCTGTCTCTTCTGACGACTCTACGTGAGTCTTCATTGCAGACCGCCGCTCGTTACCTGATCGCTCTGCTCGTGGCGCGGCACGTTATCAGGGCAGTGTACTGCCTCTTCATCTACCCGCACTTCTTCTCTCCTCTCAGACACCTCCCAGGACCAAAGGTAGGAACGATGGCACAACCTGTTATAAGCTCTATTACCTTATTCCTAATACATCTACCAGGACCACCACTTCCTCGTCGGCGACTTCATAAACCAGGCCAGGTCAGGAAACCCCATCGAGCCGTACCTCTCGTGGACGCGACAATGGCCCGACGAGCCGTTGATCAAATTCACCGGCTTCGGCAACGCGGACTGCCTCATTATCAACGACCTGGAGGTCTTTAAAGAGGTCTTTCAGACGAAGAGCTATTCGTTCATCAAGGCTCAGTTCAACACTCGCATCATTGTGCAAGTGACGGGGACTGGAATGGTGTTTGCTGAAGGAGATTTGCACAAGGCTCAGAGAAAGTTACTATCGCGTAAGTTGTCTATTAGCATTCATGCCGCAGATCGCGCTCTCTTATTTCAAGAACTCACTTCTGACTGGGTACAACCTCGTAGCCTCATTTTCTCTCACCAAGGTCAAAAAGGCAATCCCACTCTTCCAAAGCAAAGCCAAAGAGCTCGTTCAACTCTTTGATAATGAAAGCAAGTCCCAACAGGGCGTCGTCGACAGTAAGTCTGGCCTCAAGCACTCCGACTCGGTCGGCTGGTACCAAGTCTCGCCTCGACATTCCTCTTGCTAACCTAGCGTGTTCACATAAACGCAGTGTCCCAAGCCTTCAGCCGCGTCACAGTCGACATTATAGCATGGTGGACCCTCGGCATCGACCTCCAAGCCACCCTAACCCACTCCTTCTTCCACCAAGCCTACCACCGCATGTTCGACCCGTCCCTGTTCGGTGGCATCCTCATGGTCATGAACGCCTACGTCCCGGGAACCCGCTCGCTCCCTTTCGAAGAGAACCGCGTCTTCAACGCCTGCAGCGGCGGCGTCCGCTCGCGCATACGAGGAGTCATTCGTGAGCGCTTCGCAGAAATCGACGAGGTCCCCGGCGGCAGCGGTGGCGATGGTAAAGGCGCGGAAAAGACTCGTGACAGACCCGATCTCCTGACGCACATGATCCTCGAGTCCGGATCCATAAACGAACCCTGGTCCGAAGACGAAATCCTCGAAAACTGCCTCAACATGATGGTGGCAGGCCACGAGACCTCCGCCACGACGCTCACCTGGGGCACGCACATCTTCACTCTCTACCCGCACATTCAAACGCGCGCCAGGGCCGAAGTCCTGCGTCTCCTCAAGAAGAACCCGACGCCGGACTATCTCGATCTCGAAGAGGGCCTGCCCTTCATCGACAACCTCACGCGCGAGATCCTCCGCTTCTACGCGCCGGGCGTCCTCGCCGCCCGCGAACCTGTCGAGGACGTCACCGTCGGCGGCACATTTATCCCCAAGGGCACCCCGCTCTACATGTTCCCGGCCCTCGTCACACGGAACAAGCGCATCTGGGGCGAGGACGTGGATGTCTTTGACCCGGACCGCTGGGACCGGCTCGAGGGGACGCCCGCGAGCAACCCGCTTGCCTTTGCGACGTTTTTGGCCGGGCCAAGGCAGTGTATCGGAAAGGCGTTCGCGCTGATTGAGATTAAAGTGCTCTTCATGGCGATTTTGAGTAATTTCAAGTTTGAGGCCGCGGTGGATCCTGAGGATATCGAGTTTGTTAATCCTAGTCCTGTGTTGAGGCCCAAGGGGGGTTTGAAGGTGAGGGTGCGACGGCTGGAGGCGGGTGATGTTGAGGATGCGTTCTTGGAATAAGGCACTTTACTGTCCAATATTTGTGTTCTATATGGGCAGTAGCTCATGTATCGATTGGATGTTGGCCTAGCTTTACAATCTATTGGCAAGTTGCCGCGACACAGACGTTACAGGATTTCCCGAGAGCATGGTCCTTGTCGGCTGGAAGACTTGCCGTGTTATCAAAGAGGAGTTGGCGTGATTTTAATTCCAAACCAATGTTGGTTTACTCACAGTGGATTGGAACAGTAACATCTTTATCCTTGGGTCAAAGCAAATTGATAAGTGATATTGGGATGGTTGGTATGCTCCAAGGACAACATCAACTACGACCTCAAGATGTATATCGCCAATTTGGTTGAATAGACAGCACTTGGAAAGAATTACGGACATCAATTAGCAGTCGCCGCAGGGGTCAAGTAGTCAATATATAGCCTTGGGTGGCCGACTGAGACGTCCCCAAGAGCTAGTCGTGCGCCCTTCCCGCTTGGCGTAGAATCACCGAGGAACCAATGACTCACCCCACTACGACTAACACCGAGACTCCAAATACCTTCATCCACAACATTACCAAAACCTCACGAAACCATCACCCCCGTCACCCATTGAATCCCCAAACTCACCCAAACCCTCTGAACATCCTATAAGCAATGGCATCGCCCTACACCGTCCTCGTAACAGGCTCCGCCGGCCACCTCGGCGCAGCCCTAATGCTCTCCCTCCCATCCCTAGGCCACGTCCCCCACGGCATCGACATCCTCCCCTCCCCAACGACAACAACACTCGGCTCCATCACAGACCGCGCCCTCATAGCCTCCCTCCTCGCGGACAACCCGTCCATAACACACATCGTCCACGCGGCAACCCTCCACAAGCCCCACGTCGACTCCCACCCGAAATCAGCCTTCATCGACACAAACATCACCGGCACCCTCGTCCTCCTAGAAGAAGCAGCCGCCCAACAGAACCGCATCAAATCATTCCTCTTCATCTCGACAACCTCAACCTTTGGCCGCGCCTTAGCCCCAGCACCGGGCCAACCCGCCGCCTGGATAACCGAGTCCGTCACGCCCCTGCCCAAAAATATCTACGGCGTAACCAAATGCGCGGCAGAGGACCTCTGCAGTTTAATCCACCGCCAGACATCCTTACCGGTCCTCGTCCTCCGCACGTCCCGCTTCTTCCCGGAACCAGACGACGACGAGGACCGCCGCGCCGCCATGCCCGACGACGCGAACCTCAAAGTCTGCGAGCTGGCCTACCGGCGCGTGGACATTGCCGACGTCGTCTCGGCCGTGGTGTGCGGGATGGAAAAGGCCGAGTCGATCGGGTTCGGGAAGTACATCATCTCTGCGCCGCCGCCCTTTGCTGCTGCTGCTGCTGCTGCCACGAATGACGACGGCGGCGAGGCCGCCCGCGCGACGCTCCTACGCCGCTTGGACTCGGACGCGGGCGCCGTCGTCGCGGAGGCCGTGCCCGGGTGCGCGGCCGTGTTTGAGAAGCTCGGATGGAGGTTCCTCGACAGGTTGGACCGGGTGTACGATTCCTCCAGGGCGGTCAGGGAGCTCGGATGGAGGCCTCAGTGGACGATGGAGAAGGTTGTCGAGAGGCTTGCGAGGGGGGAGGATTGGAGGAGCGAGCTGACGCATGCGGTCGGCAAGAAGGGGTACCACGCCGTGTCGACCGGCGTATACACCTCGCGTGACTGAGTGCCCAAAGAAGTTCAGATCGCTAATCATGATGATAATTTGGCGCATGTGATATAATTGAACAGAAAATTACAGATTTTGGTATTCTCAAAAGATCTATGTATGCTTTCATCAAGATATCCAGTGGAAGATATGGAAAAACGCAAATGGGTACTCAAACAATTCCGCCAACATGCTATGCAGCGCACGCCAAAGTCTATACCTCAATCCCCTCCCTCACGATTCCCAGATCCCTTCCGAGATCGAGAATCTGTGTCGCGACCGCTTCCACGTCCCACGTCTTGATGGGCACGCGGTGAGCACCGTCCCATTCGACCAATCTTGTCGTACCCGGTTGGCAGTACTGCTTGAGCAACACCCGGTGATGATCCAACCCAGCATCCTTCATGCCGTGGACGTGAATTGTCGGCAGCTTCAAGACGTGGTCCGTTCCAGGGCCCGTTGGCCAGTCATGGAACTCAACGCTCGCCTCAGCAGCATCGCCGACACCCTGCGGCACTTCTAACCTGTCGTCGAGGACAATCAATGGCGCCCTGCCCGCGAGCAGCACGCCAAACTTCCAGTCTGCTGAGCCGCCCGCCGACGTAATGCGCTTGCCGTACTTCTTCTTCAGCTGTTGTTGCGTGTACATCAAGCTGGCGCTGATCTTGGCCCCCTGGCTGAATCCCAGTAACCCCACCCACTCCCCCGTCGCGCCGATGGCGTCGTCGTCGTCCATTGCCATGCGTAGCTGGAAGTGGATCTCGGCGGACGCCGTCTCGGCGTCTACGGCCTGGTGCTCAGGAAGCCAACGGAGCCAGCGGCGGAAGGGACCATAGTCACCATAGACGGAGACGATGTCGTGGTGAGGGGCGCACATGAAGGGTCCGTCGACGAAGACGAGACGGAAACTGTTCTTGAGACGGGAGATGAGGGCGCGGCACTGGACCTTGAAGACGGAGGCGTTGACGCCGCCGCCGTGGAGGCAGAGGATACGCGGGAGGTGGAGGGTGGGGTCAGGACCCGGCGGCGGCGATGTTGCGCTTGGCATTGTATAGGTACGTAGGGCCGCTTGTTTGGCGCTTAAGGCGTATATGTGTATGCGAGTAGTGATTTAGTAGTACTCGAGTCGTTCCTTTGATGAAGTCTCAGTGCTGCAAGGTAAAGACAAGAGCTAGGTTGTTCGGGACCGAAGAGTGAAGATTCGGGTGCTTGAGAAGAGGGCGAAGAGCGAAGATAAACGCGAGAGTAGGAGGGAAGAGAGGAGACGAGGAGCCGAGGAGAATGATAAAAGGTCGGCCACTTCTTTACTCTAATCAGAGACAGGAGGAGAAGTAGGAGGAGGGAAGAAGGGAGCGTTGGCCAGCTCTACCTTGCGCTTGCGCTCGTTCACGGCTCTCGACTCTCTCACCCTCTCCTGGACGCTTGCCCACCTTTTGCGCAAGGGCAGCAAACAGAGCGCCAATGTGGGGCGATGGATTCCTTTGTCCGTCGCTCACCGGCCGGAGCTCCGACACACAGGCACTGGCGCCGACTCTCTTCACTTGCTTGATTGATTGCTGACAGTCTATCGACCCCGAAGAGAGCAGACAATACGGGGAATGGGATTGAAGATCGAGCAAGGCTTGTCCCATTCTGGTCGATGGTCACGCTCGTTGGCGCGAGTCAAATATCCGCCCCCGGGCAGCCGGGGGGAGAAGTCTGTCGTACAGAGAGTCCAGACAGGGCCGCCCTCAGAAAAAGGACAGGAAGATCGTGGGGCGGGATCGTCTCGGTGTGTGTGGATGACAACTCCGCCGGGAAGTGGATAACTCGTCCCAACGGATTTCTGTCTGCGGGAAACGCTAAGAGGCCGCCTTGTTAGGTTGATGCGAATTCTCGTGGGCTTTACCGCAATAGAGGTTCGTCTCTGTGTTAGGCCTCGCAAGCTTGATCAAACTTATTTCGCAAAATGGAAAATAAAAAGGACGACAAGCTACGCTATCAGACCCAGCGGTATGGTCAAGCAGCTGCAGCGAGCGCCGAAGATCAGATTCCGGCAGCGAGAACAAACAAAGGATGAGACGAGGCAGGGCAGGGGCGTCTCTGCTCTGTTTCCTCCCAAAGTTTGCTTGCAACTGGGGATTTGACGCGCGTGATTCGGAGTTGGAGGGCGTCGGGATCACTCTCTGGTGGCTGATTGTCAGCCCTTTCTTATTTTCGCGTCAATAGCCCGGTCGTTGGTAAGACGGGACTCGGTGTCAGGTTGCCCTCTGTGCCTGTGTTCGCGTTTCTAGTTCCCGTGTCGACGGACAGGTTGGGAGACGTCCGGGATTCCCACTCTTGGCGAGGTCCGGTCCGAGACCTGTAAACCACATTTCCGCATCTCGCCCTGCTGATACCAGCCTGATTAATTAACCGGCGGTGCGAACTGGAAACGCAACGAAATGTCATAAAAAACCGACACGTCGTCTAATAAACTTCGTCTTGGAAGCTTCTCGACTGTCGCAATGTTGCAACGGAATGACATGGCGAGGACGGGAACAGGAATAGCCATCATGAAGGTTCGGGGTCCGATCACCGAGTGTTGATTCCCGACTAATCAATCCAACGGTACTGGTGGGTGGGCATCTCTTTCGCCGAAAAGGCCAAGTCCGTCGAGGTCCGGACACTTGACAGCCATTTAGTCACTCGTATCCCCCCCGTTTCCTTTTTTGTTTGGCTCGGTTCGGGTCAGACTGGCAGATAGCCATCTTCCGCGCATAGCATCTAGCATGACGACAGCAGGCCGATACGTCAGAGGTCGCAACACGTGTAAGTTTGGCCGTCACCGCGAATGCGAAGCTGTCAAACGAATTCAAAGTCGACCGAGGTGACAGCTTGGCGATCGTGGCAATAGTGTCAGGGTGTGTACCCGCATCCGCTGGGGAATAAGGTTGGGTCGTTGGGGAAAAAGAGGTGGGGGAGAGAGAGAAAGATGGAGACCTCCCACGCCTCCCACGCCCTAGCACTGCTTAGGTAATATTGTACTGGCACAATCACACTTACGTAAGGGGAGGAAGTGCCTACGTAGCTTACCTCTGTACCTGCTTAGGTAAGACACTTCGACCAGGCTGTATTAGGTAATACGATGGAAAAGATCTTTGGTAAGGAGTCGGAACGTCGGCCCCGTCGCTCTGTGTTAGCCAACTGCGCAGCCACACGCCTCTGCCGCAGCGGTGCCGTCGGTTCCCGCCATCCCTGTGCATCAGCCACATCATGACGTTTCCTGGTGTCCCCGGTGCCGTGCCCCTCCAAGTTTCCCCTCCTCTGTACGGCGCCCATTCTGTGCAAGGTATGAGCTGTTGCTGCTTGGCTTGGTGGTGGTGAGCTGGCAAACGATGACATGACTCTCCCCCGTCTGCATTGAGAGGCCTCTCTGCAGAATATCTACACCTGACCCCGTTTTCTGGACCACAAGCTGCCAGGAGCTCAGCCTCACACGCCTACGATATCCACGTTGACGACAGTATACGCCACATTACGCCCAGCAGAATTCATTAAACTTCCATCGGTCTTGCCGTAAAGCTCCATCAAACACCAGACCTACAAAAGGAACAAACGCACAGCGATTCTCCCCTCGTCGGTTCACTTTTTCTCCTTCATACTACCATCTCAAGATACCCCTCATTTCCAAAAAGCTACCAGCTAAAGCAATTGCATCGCCTTCTTGCATTGCTACTTCGACGTTCTTCATCTCATCAACTCGAATCTAATCAGTCATCGTCAGAAAGACACTTCCAATAATGTCTGGCACCAACCCGGAGAAGCCTCCCATCCAACCGGAGCAGCAGCTCTACCCTCCCCCTCCCACCGGCGACAACAACCAACAGCAGCCTCCCCAGTACACCTCCGGCCATGAGCAGCAGCAGCACAACCCGGACCAGAAGAGCGCCGCCGGCCCCGGCCACGAGCAGCAACACTTCCCTCCTCCGCCCCCGGGCCCTCCTCCCGCCAACCAGCCGCAGTTCACACATGCTCCCCAGCAGCAGCAGCAATACGCCGCCGGCAGCTCCGTGCCCCAGCAGCAGTCGTACGCACAGACGCCGAGCCAGCAAGCTCCTTACAACCCCGCAGACCACGGCGCCGGCCACCACTACTCACAACAGCAGTTCGAGGGACCTCCGGGCACGGCAGCCCCGAGCCACGCCCAGGGCGGTCCTTACACCGACCCGGCTGCCGCACACGCTGCGTACATCGCACCCGCTACCGATCCCAACCACAAGGAGAAGCGCGGATGGGGTGAACGCCTCTCCCAGATGGGCATGAAGGCCGCCGTGCCCATCAACGCCCTCGCCAATAAGATGGGCTCGCAGAGCTTCCTGCCCACCACCATGGATAGAGAGTGCGACAAGGCGGCCAAGATTCTCAAGAGCTTCTGCAGTAAGTGCCCTCAAACCACACCCCCAACCACTGATACCCCATTGAGCACTCGGCTAACACACAATCTCACAGAGGAGGGAATCACATCCGACGTACCCCCACAGACGGGCGAGCACCTCGAGCCCGGGAAGCACGCCGAAGCGACCGGCTCGCGCCCCACGACGCCCAACAAGGAAAAGGCGCGCAAGGAATCCAAAGCCATCGTCAAGATTCCCTCAAAGGTCATCAACAAGGCCGTCGGTCTCGCCATCTTCACCACCGCCCGCGTAGGCTTCCAGTTCTCCGGCGCAACCGGCTCCGGCATCCTCATCGCCCGCCTCCCCGACGGCTCCTGGTCCCCGCCCTCCGGCATCCAGGTCCACGCCCTCGGCGCCGGCTTCATGATCGGCGTTGACATTTACGACTGCGTCTGCGTTATCAACAGTCCCGCCGCCCTCGCCGCCTTCATGTCCACCCGCGTCAGTCTCGGCCCGGACGTCGCCGTCGTGGCGGGCCCCTACGGCGCCGGAGGCGTCATGGACGTCGGCGCCTCCTTTGGCGGCAAGAACCCCGACCCCAAGGACAAGAACGCAAACGACCACGTCACGGACGCGAAACCCGCCGAGGACGGCAAGCTCAAGGCCGACGAGAAGGACAAGAAGCGCAGGAGCAGCAGCACCTCGCTCAAGCCCGTCTTCTCCTACGTCAAGTCTCGCGGTTTCTACGCCGGCATCCAGGTCGACGGCACCGTCGTCACGGAGCGCAAGGACGCCAACGCAGCGTTCTACGGACAAAAGGTCACCGTGGACCAGATCGTAAAGGGCCAGGTGCCGCCCCAGGGTCCCAACGGCATGTGGCCGGCCGGCGCCCGCCCGCTTTACGAGGCCCTCCGCACCGCGGAGCAGCAGCAGGCTCTCCCTGAGGTCCACCTGCCCCAGGCGACGCCCGGCCAGCAGGCCCCGCCCGGGTCGATCCCCCCTCACCAGCAGCAGCCGGCCTATGGTCAGCAGCAGCAGCAGTACGGCCATCAAGATGCCGGCGGCCCGCTAGGTTCGCATCCTCCCGGCCAGGGTGGCCCCGTCGCCTTGGGCGGTCTGAGCCGCGAGGAGCAGCTCCCGGGCTACGTGGATGACGGTGTGGCGCGGCCAGGTGTCGGTGATCACAAGGGTCACTACCAGTAAAGAGGTGGCAAGGGCAAATTTCGTGAGTGTGGAGGAAAGAAGAGTGTTCGCAAAGGGCCAGAGAGATATCCCCATGGGCGTTTTAAGTGGTTGGCATGCTTCAAGCTTAGCATAGAGAATTCGAATCAAGATATCCATCAACATCAATTTCTCGCACACCTAAGATACGCAACAGTGACTTACCAGTTTGTGACACTTCCGTTACCTCATCGTCCCTCATCTCCTCAATCCATCATCTACAAGTCGCCTTCCCTGACCATAAGGGAAAGAACAGAACAGAAATATGGAGAGAAAACTCCTTAGGCGTTGTTAATCTTCCCCCATCCCTGAGCACCAGAACGAAATAGAAGAAAAGCCACGCAGACACCCGAGGAAACAAACCCAAACCCAGCCTGCACGCCACCACTTTCGGCAAGCTCGTGATACCACTCCTCACGCTCTGTCACGCTCGTCAAGAGCGTGCCTCGCCTTCCCCCTCGCCTCCAGCCAGCCACACATCCTCCGGGATCACACAGCCGTCAAGATAGATTATGCTTGCCCCAAAGTACACATCCGAGTTACACACACACCAAATGGAAAAAGGGGGAAAAAGTTGACAAGCACACGGGAGGGAGGAGACTCAGACACGGGAAGAGAAACACATACACACATACACGCACACTCACTTACACATACAAAGAAGAGAAAAAAAAGAAAAAAAGAGAAAATAGCTGACGGCCGGGTCCGCTGCAGGACTCGGGTAGGACGAGGCATACATGTCTGCCTGTTGAAAGTCTGTGGACTGTTTGTTGTGTGTTTGCCGCGCTCTCATGTATCTATGACATTTTTTTTCTTACCTTTGTATGTCGAAAATGTGGTAGCCTGCAAGCTTAAAGTGGCAAGCAAAGTATACGGCAAGCAAAAAAACTGTTCCTTCAACCTTGACCTTTCGTTTAGGAAGACCACGAGATCTTACAGTTGCCCATCGCTTGGAACAGATATTGGAAATGCGAAGTAGGGAGGTAACTTGGCGAAACAGCAACCCCCCAATTTGATAAGAACGTAGGGGGGAAAGCAAGTAAGGGCTTTGACTGGCTTCCGCCAAGTCGTTCACCGTACGCGGCTTCATCTTGCATCCACGTACACATGCGCCGGATGCTTTACAGACACGATTGCAAGCCATGTCTGGCTGGCTGCATCCGCACGCTAGCCCTAGTTGGATTCGGAGGGCCTTCCCGAACCAAGGGGACGCATGGTCTTATTGGAAAGAAACATATGGTGCTGTTGCGGCCGGCAAGGGAAGCAAAAAAGCAATGGTTGGTTCTGAGCCCTCCTCAGATTGAGAGCCGCCATGCTATCGCAGTGAGCACGGGAGATCATGCAGGCGGGCCAAGTGCGGGGATGGGCAAAGAAATGGAGGCCCAATCAACAAGTCGGGTCGATGAAAAGTGTTAGTTTTCAGGAGTAGGTTTGGACGTCCAGCATCTATTGGAACTTTGGAAGGCATGCTTTCAAGCTTCTGCTTGTGAGCCACCGAGGCGCTCGCAACAACAGACAAGAAGGATACAAACGGAGGCTCGAAAGGAGATGGAGCTTCAAGGCTACAACCCCTATACGGTTCTTGATCGAGCCACTGAGATAAGTGGAGGGAAGAAAGCAGATCATGATATACACCAAATAACCCCTTGAACTATGGCAGCCGACAGGCCGTATGGAGAGCGATAGACAGACGTTGGTGCGGCGTAGCCCAGGGGCCCACGGTCCAACTGCCGGCCGGCTCCCGTGCGGTCCCGCGTGGTTAGAGGTTTAGCATTATGGCATCCATTAGATCAGTGACAATTAATCCGGAGCCGTCGCCAGCGCTGAATGGTGTATGGTGCTTGTCACTGGTTGGAAGTTGGCCAACGGGCTGGACATTGTTGTAGGGAGTAGCCATATCGAGCAGGGCGATCCTCGAGCGATGTGAAACGGATCAGTTGGGTGATCCGCAGGGGTTCATCAGGTAACTTTGACACAATTCAGACGACGTTCGTTGTGCGGATTGTCTTGAATCCAAAATAGCAGCGGTAATGGACGGATGGCTGGTCTTCGGGTGCTTTTAGACGTGAGCTAAGGTAGGCTCCATACCAGATGCTCTATTCCTCGAGGTAGGTATGTTAGACTACCCCCGCCGGCAGTTTAATTATGAATTCGGTTCCGAAATTCCAGTTCATTACCAGCAAGGCGGTGCATTGCATTTTTGACGATTGTCTGGACTTTGCTTGTCTCGCCAAAGCCGCAAGCTCGAATCGCGGGAGTCATGCCCTGTTCTGAGTCCCCGGGTTCGCTGAGCGAAATTCCAGAATTCCCAGTCTGCGTGGAACTCGTGAGTCGTGGTGATCGGGTCCATGAGCTGGTGGAGTAGCCTGACGACTGGATTTGGTGTGCCAGGTTGTGCTGAGGACGTCATCGACTCCACGACGATGAGACGGCCTGGGATGTGCAGGTCTCTCTGCGCCTTTTGACGTTTGGCAACACTGCTTTCTGGGCCTTCGTCAGAGGCTAAGTCTTGTTGTTGCTTGCTTCGGCCTTTCGCCGGCGGTTCAAAACCCCCGTGCCCCCAAAGTCCAAAATCCAACTGCCCACAACCCCTTCTTCATCTGATATCCCCCACGTCAAGGAAACGGTCACTGAAAACTGGCGCTGAATTACTGGGCCACATATCCGTCAGGCCGTGTCGGGTCCATTGAATGGGCTGTCCAGATGCGGTGGGATGGGCAGGTCGATCGACCATGTCCAGTAATGCTCCCCGTTTTTCTCTCTTTTCCTCGTTCTGGGCTTCAGGGTGTACTCTGTGTCCGTTGCACGATTCGCACGCGGTTGGGACCGGTTCGCCGGTGCAGCCGTCATCTAAACATTTGCGATTTCTCGACGATTAAGCTCATCGCCAAGTCCAAATGTTTGTCTTGGCTGGCCGGGGAGAGCTGGCGTAATTGACTTTTGCCCAACTTTTGACTCTGCGCTTCCCGCTTGTCGGGGCATGCAGTGGAAGGCTGGAAAGTATGTTGGCTAAGGTTCACGGCGTCGAACCGAAAGTTTGATGGACTGGGCCAGCTGCCGCTCCAAGCACCCGCCGTGGTTTGGGGATGGGTGGCTGGACGGTTGAGCTTCACCACCATGCATGCATGCCACCATGGCTTGAAAGGGGAACAAAGAATGCGTGTCTGTTGTCAGAGAAATGCTGATCGGCCGCGGTTCGCAGCAGGATCCGCGTCATGTTTCGTCGAAGCAGAAAGGAATCAAACGGCGCCGGCACAATCCCTGAATCGGGAAGCGTCGCTGTCAGTTGGGGGTGTCTAGATCCCTAGGATGCATGGACTCGAGAAATGATTTGTTGCAGGGTAACAGTCCATTGAACGGCGGACCCTTTTCAGCCAGCCTTCAATCCGTTTTAGGACCGTTATGTCGCAGGCACCACAGGGCACCCGAAGCAGTTGTCCAGCCAGAGAGGGTATTGGCTTGAAAGCAGCGCCTCCCGTCTTTCGTCGACGTCGATCTCAGCCGGTTGGAGCATGGGATTGGCTCTCTGGCTTCTTAGTGCTCAAGCCTCCAGGTGGTTCTGTGACTGTTGAGGACGCTGAAAGGGACTGTAGGCTGTTGTACGAATACGTAGGAGCAACAAGGGCGATTGCTGAAGATCCGATGAGCTTCCCCAGGGCGGCAACCTTCTGGAAGAAGCGCGGTACGCAACTATTATTTCGGATCGCGGCAAATGCGTAACAAAGCTTTGAAGACACCAGCTGTTTGTGGCCTCAGGACCAGCCGCCAAAGGAGAAAGCGTGGCCAAGTGCGCAACTATTTGGCCACTTTGGTGGAGGCGACTGTGCAAACTGGGTCGTCCGGTTGGAAGTGACGACGCGTCAGGCGGCCCGTTTTTCTCGTGGTGCAAAAAATAGCAACTCTTTTGTCGTATGCATCTTGATTTCTGGCAGAGGGAGGGTTTCATTCGGAGTGATACTGCGCAGGCGGCGGATGGCAGGAAACAGTGGCACCAGAACAGGCTGTGCTCGTGTATTAGCGGGTACACTGTATGAAGCGTGCAAAGTTCTCAGTGGCAACCACGCAAACCCAAGTCAGGACTCGGGAAAGACGCTGCACCCGTAGGGCAATGCCATCCAGCTCGTGTTGATTGCGCTGCAGCGGACGGAACAAGGTGGCTCAGAGCACAGTACACAACAGAGCGGGGTCAGAAGGGCCGATGACGATGGCGATGCAGGCTGAACCAGCGTAACGGGTTTGGTGGCAGAGACGGAGACTCGGCGTGAATTGATGATAGGCCATCCGGTTTCTGTGGAGGGTTTCTTTTCCTGCCATCTATCCGTAGCTGGTGTAGGTGTACGGAAACAACTCCGTGGGAGTCCATGGGAGACGCCATATGTTTCTTGATATTGACTGAAAGAGAGATACTGATAATATCATCCCCTTTCGGCTGACCGAAGTCAGAAACGGGTGGTCTGGGATTGAGGCGAATCGACGATGATCAGCAGCGTGGTATATAGATTGAGTAGCGAGTAGAGTTGTCCGAGCCGTGCAACACCATCCACCAAATGGAGAACATCCACGGGCCAAGTTGCCAAGTCATTGTCTGCTGTATCCGTATTGAATCAACGGGACGTTTGATTCTTAGGGCCTTGACCATCAAATCTGTCACTATCCGAAAATGGACCGCGTTCCGCCGGCCCTTGGGAACCCTTGGGAAGGGTTTGGGATGATGCCATGAGCAGTCTAATTCAGAAAGACCCGATTGGGAGCCGCACTGCGATGTGAATTGGAACGGAGACGAGGATTCGCGATTCGGGTATCCGTACGGATAGACTCGACTGGAAGGGGTCGGCCTGGATAGCTTCGCAGCAGCAGATTGCTGAAATTTGGACGGTTTGCAGATGGGGGTGGGGGAGGGAAAATAATTAAGATTGGGGTCGCTCGGCACATGGGAAGGCGAGAGATTGCAGGTTGTTCGCGGGTACGGGAGCGGTACTTGGCGATGCGCGGTCATTTCGGTGGGCTCGGAAGGTAGAATCTGGGTTCCTTGGCTTGTCGCCTTCCTAGATCATCTTTGGTGGATGGTCCCTTCCCAAGTTTTTTTTTTTTTGGTTCCCACTGGGAAGAAAGGAAGGAAGGAGGGAGAAGGGGGGAGGGTGCAGAACAGACACGGGCTATCTTCACACCCCTCCAAAACGAAGCAGGAACCCCTGAGGACCTGAGGAAAAGGGACAGACAGAAGGTGCCATCTTGACCAATGATGGCGGTGCTCATTATGACTTTCTACTTCCATACTCCGTAAGGTAGTTGTATTTGGAGTGTGCAACCGCGGACCTTCCAATCGCGTGCTATTGCCTCGAGCACGTTCACAGACTTGGCAGAGCGGCGAGATTGGAGATTTGAAGATGGCGATTGAATCTGGTGGTCTGTGAGAGAGGAGGTATGGATCACATGATTCAGGATCCTCTTATCCCCCAGTTATAACTTATGGTGAACTCTGATAGACTGATACGGATGAACATTTCGTCATTGCTTTTCATTTTTTAATCGTACCTTATTTCCTCGCACTCAACTTGCATTTGGCACTCATTTCGCCTTTTCCTCCGCTCATGCAGGGCACGCTCAAACACTGTCTAACAGCCCACTAAGTATCTGATAAGGCCGAATACTCAACTGCCACTCACCTACACGCCAGAGGGAGGGAAAGTCAACAATCATGCAGATGGCCTTACTAATGAACGCCCACCGCTTGCGAATTCGCCCAAATCTGCTCTAGCCTCTTAGTCCCGTCTGCAATCTGTACACTAATTAGCGCCCATCCACAGGTGACTCGGCGCTGAATCCCAGCGGAGAGGGACGGTGGGCCGGCGTTTCCTCTCAGCTTGGAAGCTTGTGGCTTGCAGCTGGCGCCGGGCTCGATACGCAAGTCAGGAACAGGAGCCCCGTTGATAGCGCCGTCTTGACGGGAATGTCAATTGAAAGTCAAAGAGCAGATCGGCCGACCTCTGCCTAGGCGTTAGCACGCTCTTTGACGCCTTCTGCCACGTAACCGCGCTCGAGGGCCGAAAAGATTTGATGCATGTTTCGTGCCATTCTTTTGGCGCTGACAAGGCGACTGTCCGTCGACAAAGTATCGAATGTGTGTTGATAGCTGACGTCGTCACCTACTTTCACTGCCAGGTTTCCAAGCACAGAGGTTGGTCTCATCATCATCATCATGAGCAGCAGCAGTGCCGTCTTATCCACGATAGCGCCTCCGCATACAGCGCCCAGCGTTCTCGGCACGGTTGACAGGTCCGCCAGATGCCGTGCCCAGCAGATGGGGTTGTTGGGTCCTTGCCGTCTTGGTGCCGCAACGTCGGCGACAAGATGCATATTCTAGCAAATAGATCCGTGGTCTCGCCAGAATGCTAGCTGGATATGGCGAGCGATAACGCAGAGCATACTGGCGACTGGTCACTGAGATGGAACTCTTAGAGGCAGGCCGCAGGTTACCTTACAGCGTACAGTACCTAGAGCAGCACGACAGCACACCGGGGAGGCTGTGGAGGTACGTACTGGACATCCCGGCAGACACCCCACCCTTGGCCCCCACCTGTGTCTATCTACACACCCATCATTCCTACCTAGGTATGGTGCCCCCTCGTGCGTTGCCGGTCCTGGCCAGTCAAATTTTCTGATTCTTTCCCCGTCCCTGGTCGCGCGGGCTGGACCTCTCCCACCTCCCCATGTCTTTCCAGTTGTTGACCCTTGAGCCGTGATCCATCAATTTTCAAGCGTGCCCTTCTTTCTCACAGTGCCGCCCGCACCCAACACGCAGCTCACTCACTGCCACCGACACTGATGCTCACAGTCAGGTATCGTACAGTGCTACGTAGGTCTTGGTTTCGGTGGCTTCTCAGGGCTCTCCCTACCTATCCATGCCGCTACGATGCGAAACCCTGGAAGACTGGCGGAGATGATTGAGGTCAGTCTCGGGGGCGCGATAAGATGAGATGAAATGACGAGGACACCCGCTTTGTGCCATGAGGAGAAGCAACGACTGCAGCAAGCAACATGAGTCCGCAGCAAGCAACATCAGATCGGACTCATGTTGCTTCTGCGTGTTCCATGCTGCCGCGTGTACGTGCCACCGAACAGGAAAAAATAGGGAGACGGAGACACTGGAGTTTGGAGACGAGATCACGCGGTTTCTGTCTCGAGTACCTAGCAAAGCAGCTTTCGTTCTGATTCAATCAGTCAGCCTCAAGTTCAATACTCGTTTCGCGGAATCGAGAGTAAGCTCGACTCGTTCCCCCCCCATCTGCACTCGTCAACCTCCAACTCGGTTGTAAATTCCCATGCAAGACGCAAGCTGCAGGTCCCGTTTCCGCGCCAAGGTACCATCCCAGGTTCCCCTGCACCTTGCCTTTGGCCCTGCCGCCCTCTGCTCACCAATGGTGCCTCCCACTTTGTGACTACTGGCTGTCACTGCAGCACGCAGAATCTCTCTCTCATTCATTTTCGCCTCACAGTCCCTCCTATTCCTGTCTCTTCCCCCCCTATCATATGGGCTCGTCTATGTATGAGCAGGAGCATGGTCTTTTTGTTACAGAGTCTGTGTAGGTACGGATACTCCGTAGTGTACCTACCTACATGCTAAGGTATGGTACCTCGCCGTCTTGCTACCTTGGGACGGCACTGGCAGCCGGTGGCGGTGGCGGCGTTGACACTGGCAGCGGCTCGTTATCCGTTGTGGTCGTTAACCGGCGCTTGGGAAATTGTGGCTGAGACGGTTCAAGTAGTGTATTCAACATCGGTTTGTTGACTTTCCGTCCTTGTTCATCCGAGGCAGAACCTGGAGGCAGTTGAAGCGCCCGTCCCCTATTTCCCTTTCTGTTTTGCTCCTTCCTTGTTCACGCACATACGGATGCACACACACACACGTATTGTTTGGACGGTATTTTACCGTACCGTACCGTAAATCCTGTACGGGAGAGAAACCGTCCATCGCTTCTTCCATGTGTGGAAGCGATGGGCGGCAAGGACCATCGTCTTTCTTCAACATGGCAGGCTACCCCTGTACGCCCAATTTAATTCCAATCAACCATCCCACCCGCGTTCCCACGTCTTTCTCCCAAGTGTGTCGGTTCATCAATCCAAGGCCCCGGCCACACCAACCAAACCGGGCCCGTCTGCCTCTTCTTTCTCTATCCGTTCCTACACAGTATTTTTTTATTTTATTTTTTCCTGTCTTGATCCCGTAGTTGACAGAGTATGACAGTGTTTTCCCCTTGGAAGTGGGCAACTGATTACCTGTCTCTCTTCCAAAGCTCCCTACAGAAACAGACTGCCCTTTCTGCTTCCTTCTTTTTTCCCTCGTCCCTTTCAGTGTATTCCTAGTCTGCCAGTGTCCACCTTTTCCCTTTTCACACTTTATATCCGTAGGTACGAAATTCTGCCACACAGTCTCTCTCTCTCCCCCCTAAGTATCCTCGAGGATCGCGCACTCGGTTCATCCACACGCCCCCTGCTCTTTTCCCTGGCTCCATCACTCTCTCTCTTCCTCTCCCATTCCAATTCCCACACCCCCTGACAGCCTACCCTGGGAACTTCCACCATCCCCAGTCCATCACTCTACGCCGTACCGGAGTCTCCTCTTCTTCGCTGCTATCCACGAATACGTCTTCGAGGTCCTTGCAAATTGGGACCTGTCTCTCTCCTAATTGCCCTAGCCTGGCCTCCCGTTCACATCGGCGCACTATTCGTACGCCTTTGCTTCCCCTACGCAGCACTACCTATCCGCCAAGACCCTCTTTTCCTTCTTCCAGACCTCTTCTACCTCTTCTTCCCTCATCTCCCACCCTCCCCCTCCTACTCCTTTCCTCCTTCTTCGTCTCTCCAGCTCACGACGAAATCTGGATCGCCAGTCTGTCTGTCTGCGTCTTCGTTTCCTAGCGGCAGAGATTCCGATCCCGCTCCCGACCACAAATCTAACTCGTCGTTGTCGTCGTCAACGTCTTCCCGATCACTTGCCGGTCCTATGATCGTGTCACTCGCTCAGCAACAACAACAGCACTGCTAGTTACTATCTTTAGTATCTACGTTGACGTCTTTCCTATGCGGTTCTCGCCTTGACGCCTTTTTTCGACCGTTTTGACACCTCTTGGCCCGTGGAGCTACATCGTCCGAACTACTGCTGCCGCCATTACTCTCTCTCCGTCATCCAGACTATAGCTTGGTCAACATCTCTTGGCTGCTCTCACCAGCGATTGTGTATACCTCACCTTCCCCCGCCTCTCAAGGACGACACCCACTCACAACCGTCAAGCTGGACGAAAAACAATTAGAAGTTTTTATTCGGACAATGGGAGCTAAGCTGCCCAACCCGCATCGCGTCTGCAGCATGCGTAACCCACTTACGAGAACGCTGCTTTTTGCAGTCGTCGTCCTCATCGTCATGGCCCTCACCCTCAGGAACGATGCCATCGACGTTCGCGGCCGCATTATGAAGACGGGCGCCGGTGTCAAGTCATCAATCACGCATCAGCAGCCCCTGGACCCCGTCAAGTCGCACGGTTCCTCGTCGCTTTCCGAAAAGATCCCCGCCGAGCCCGCTCCCTCCTCAAGCCACGTCATGAACTGCGATATCAACACCGACCACATCAAGACCCTCAAGGACAAGTATGGCCTTTCCGAGAAGATTCACTACTTCAAGCGCTACGTCAGATTCAGTCGCAAGCCCATCCAGCGCAAGGGTTACACTGTGTTGGATCAGGAGTTCCTCCCCAAGAAGTTCAAGACTGTCGACATCACAAAGTCGTACGCTCCCGAGGAGTGCCACGAGCCCCTGGATGTCCCCGTCACACAGTCTTCCTACCCTTCCACCGTCAACGCCTCCGACTTCATGTTCGCTGTTTCTACTACCTACAAGCGTTTCAATGACCCCAAGACAAGCCCGATCAAGGAATGGGCTCACTGGCTTACCGACAGCAACGGAAAGTCCAATGGCGGCAAGCTTTTGCTGTTGCTTCTTGACGCTAGTGACGCTGAGTTGAAGGACGCCAGCGACAGGCTCAAGAGGGTTGGAATTGACGCCGACGTCGCCCACTCCGACCCCTCCATGGAGATGGCTGTTCGCTACCTTACCCTGGTGCCCTATCTGTACAACCACCCTGAGAGAAAGACCAGAAAGTGGCTCGTCACTTGCGACGATGACACCTTCTTCCCCAGCATGCACGGTCTGATTGACAAGTTTGCTACCTTCGACCACCTCGACCCTCTCTACATCGGAACCCTTTCCGAGGACGTCAACGCCATTCACCGCCACGGCTCTCAAGCTTTCGGCGGTGCTGGTGTCTTCCTCAGCGTTCCTCTCGCGGCTGCCATTAACCAGCTCTACGAGTCTTGCAAGACGGAGACCAAGATCAAGGAGGCCAACTCAGGCTGGGGTCCTCAGGGCGATATCCTTCTCCGCAAGTGTATCTACGAAAATACCGAAGTTCGTTTGACCAACATTTGGGAGCTTTGGCAATTGGACTTGTACGGCGACCCAGCCGGCTTCTACGAGTCTGGTATCAAGCCCTTGAGCTTGCACCACTACAAGGGCGGTGGTTGGCATTACGCCAAGCCCCTCCAGTCTGCCAAGGTCGGACACGCTTGTGGAGAGGATTGTGCCTATCAGCGTTTCATTACTGCTGACGACTTCATCATCGCCAACGGATTCAGCGTTGCCCACTACCCCCAGGGTATCGACTTCAACCTGGACCAGATGGAACGCACCTTCACCCCTGCTCCGGATGACATTGGCTGGAACTTGGACTACATGTTCGGCCCCCAGCGCAGATCTTTGCACAAGACCGGTCGCAAGATTGCCTGGGAATTGCAAGAGGCCCACGTACAGGAGGATGGATCCGTACTTCAGGTCTACACTCGTCGGAAGGACGATGAGCGGTGGGTTGAGGAGGATGGCGAGCCGATGAGCAAGATTGACGGTGTCATTGAGCTCGTCTGGATCCCTTCAACATGAAGTGCCCTCGGAACTGCCGAGCACGACGATACGATACGACCAGAGGCACTCTCATTAACCTCTCGCCTCATGACATGATGGGTTAGGGTGATTCTGGCATTGTAAAAAAGCACAAGGACGGATCCAAAGTCCATACAAAGCTCATTTCACGCATTTGTTCAACCCAGGACACCCCGGCCTGTTCGCAATAGCTGCCCTTCAGCTGAAATGGCACGGGCCCGTTTCGATTCAGACGGCAGCAAAAAAGTCAACCTGGCCGACAAAGAACGACAGGTTGCATTGCCCAGGGCACCTACCTACATTACGACAACACCCCTGGACAGGATCATAATTATAATCCGCTGACCGTGATACCCTCATTACAACACCACAACTACTCTCTTCTTCGATTCGACTCGCATCTCGACTTCGGCATACAGCTCGTATTGAGCTTCGGCGTTTGAGTATGATACGGGGCATTTTTTCTACATTGACAGCATGCTGGCAAACGCTTACCAACTTTCCTTTCTTTTCTATCACTGCGGCATTGCATTGCACATAGATGGATTGCGTCGACAGATCGCGCAATCGGCACATAGACCTGTGACAGGCCGGACGTTTGGAGTCATGATAAGGACGTTGGGTGTCCTTTTTGGAGGTCAACCACCTGGTATGGTTTGATTTTGGTGCAAGGAAAGGCAAACATCGGTGCCTATGTAGAGTTCTAGAACAGGTGTATACCAATGCTACGAAATATTCAACAGTTCCAAACTTGATTCTACCCTACCGTACCTTGATTCATGGGAATCTATGCCTCTTGGTCGGATCGCCATCGGCTGAGAGATGCTCCATATGGGACGAACTGCTCACCCTTGATACGCCTGACATATCAGGCCTCACTCAATAACGGTCATCAGGCACCAAACTGATCTGTCTCAGCCACGCCCCACCCCCACCCGAGGCAGGCTCGCGCCACAATGCACTCGTGCCCCGCCAACGTCAGTTCCAGCGCTGCTTCCTTTCCATGCTTCGAGCAATGAAGTCATGAGGCTCGTGACATACCGCGCCTAGCTCGAGGTTCTACAACGACGTCCCCTAAGCCCCGAGAGGCACTCTTCCACCATGGCGACGTGAGTATTGCTTTCATACACACCAGTGTCTCTCCTAACTTTCTTGTCATGGCCAGCATTTCGAATATTCTGTCGTTGCCGTTCCGCAAGTCCACACAGCTCTCGCTCTCGTCGACGATACGACAGTACATCAACACCAAGTATGACCAACACCCGGACATGTTTCGTCAGGACCTCGAGGTCATCGACGCCTTACGACGAGATGCGGTCAACGTGAGGGAACCGCACCCCAGCGGAGTGAAGAAGCTGCAGGCCTATGCGGGACAGCTCGTGTGGATCGGGGGCAAGTTCCCGATCGACGTACGTCTAGCACTTCCCACCCAAGCAAGAGAGATGTGGTAAGATCACTAATGCAGATTGCGAACAGATCGGGGCCGAGTTTACCTGGTACCCAGCATTGGGTTACAACACCGAACGACCGATGGTGCGAAACAACCTCAAGTACGAACTCATGAACATCCTCTACAACTTGGCCTCCCTCTACTCCCAGCTTGCGGTAGCGCAGTCAAGATCCGGCACGGAAGGTCTCAAGACGGCCGCGGGCCACTTTGCCTCGGCGTCTGGAGTACTAGAACATATGCTGAAGGAAGTCCTGCCCGAACTGCGCATGTCTGACCCGCCCGAAGACATGGACGCCAACACCCTCGAGTCTCTGTCCCAACTGCTCCTGGCACAGTCGCAAGAGTGCTTCTGGCAAAAGGCAGTCATGGACGGGTACAAGGATGCCATCATCGCTCGACTAGCCGCTCGCGTGTCTGATCTCTACAACTCGGCGGGGGAGGCTGCTATGAAGAGCGAGGCGATTAGCTCTGCCTGGATCCACCACATGAGCGCAAAGCACCATCACTTCGCTGGTGCCGCGCAATACCGGGCCGCGTGCGATTGTCTCGAGAAGAGGAAGTATGGCGAAGAAGTTGCTCGCTTGCAGGACGCTGTGAGCTGTGTCAATGAGGGCTTGAAGGAGAGTCGGGGCGGCTACCTTAACAAGGCGGTGCTCGAGGATCTCAATGGCCTGAAACGAAAGGTCGAAGAAGATCTTAAGAGGGCAGAGAAGGACAATGACGTTATCTATCTCCGTAAGTACCGAAATCTAGTAAATAGGGGTTGCAAAGCTAACTCGAGAAGAACCTGTACCGCCAAAGTCGGAGCTCAAAATTCTTGACAGAGCCAATATGGCAATCGCTAGAGTGCCTCCGCAAGTAGCCAACCCCTTTGACTACGTCGGGGACCAGGCCGAATTTGGCCCGGCACTTTTCACGAAATTAGTCCCGTTCTCTGTTCACGCCGCCATCACTATTTACGAGCAACTGCGCGATCGCATAGTCAACGAGAACATTATTGGTCAGATGGAAACACAGACGGAAAAGCTTCATGCCATGCTCAGCTCCATCAACCTGCCTGGTTCGTTGCAGGCACTTGAGAAACCGTTGGGCCTGCCTCACAGCTTAGTTCACCACGCGGAGGAAATACGGCAGGCAGATGCTATAGGAAGGATTCAGCGGGCCTTTTCGGATATCGATAAGCTTAGGACTGCCGATATCGCCATCTTCAACGAAGGCAAAGCGATCCTGGCGGCCGAAGAGGAGGAGGACAACCGAATGAGACGGAAGTACGGCACAGACAGATGGTCAAGACCGGAAAGTCGCAGCGACCCCCAGGGAGGCCAGTTCTGGGCCCAAGTAGCTGAGATTGAAGGCTACTTTGCAAGCAGTACCAGCAGTGATGCGGTGGTTCGAGAGAAATACAAGGAGGTACAGGACTTGCTCGAGATGCTCTCTGGATCCGATCGAGCCATTATGGACTATGTGCCTTCATCCAGGCGCATGGACATCCCAGAGCACCTGAAGCCGGTAATAGGTAGGCTTCGGGGAGCTTACAACGATGTCCTGCGACTCGAGTCCAAGAGGAGAAAGAAGGCTGAGGCGCTGCGGGAGAAGGCTAGGACGGACGACATCAAGCCGGATATCCTGAAAGAAGCTGCACGACTCGAGAGGACATACCCGACAACAGCAATTGTCCCGGCCCACTTTGAGGACTTTTTCGAGAAGCGTCTCGACAAGCTTTATGACTCTGAGATCGAAGCGGTGGCCAAGGAAGAAGACGAGCAAGAGCGCCTCATGACTGAGGTGCAGAGAGTCAACCGAGAGTTTGAGAGTCAAAAGAAGAACATGTCGAGTGGCAGTCGCGAGCGGGAGCTGGCGCTTCAGAAACTTGACAATGCTTACTACAAGTATAAAGAGATTGTCAACAACGTGGACGTTGGTCGCAAGTTCTACAATGACTTGAGTAAGGTCGTGGGCCAAAACTTCCGCGATCCTGTCAAGGCCTGGGCCGCAGAGCGGCGTATGGACGCCAAGAGCCTTGAGGAGTAAGTTGTCACCTCTGCCTACCGGCTCACCGTGCTAACTAGTGTATAGGGAGGTAAGCATGCCGCCGCTCAATTCACTGAACTTGAACCGATCCCCGGTCCACTCCCCGACCGGCTCAAACTATGACCCGCGACCCCAATCCTACTTTAGCGCCAGCGTCGTTCCCGGTACAACAGCACAGCAGCAGCAGCAGCCACCGTCGCGGCACGAGGTTCACTCTCCCGCACAGGCACATATCCAGTCATGGGCCGGGTCGACTGTCGAGCCCCAGCACCCGAGACCCGCAGCGGCAATGTCGAACATGTGGCAGCCGGATATGGGCATCAAGTTCGGAGCTCAACCAGGTGCACCAGCGCCTCCTGGGGGACCAGCACAAGGCCAGGGCCCGACGAGCCAGCCGCCGCAAGGAGGCACCTGGAACCCGTCCTCTGGGATCAAGTTCGGTTAGGATACAGATCGATTCCCACCGCCTGCAAAGAAGGGACGGTGAAGGGGGAGGTGGACGGGCAAGTCCGAGGAAGGCTCCCATTTTGTCGGCTTTGAGCGAGTCGTTTGGCGTTGATGGGATTGTGTCGTCTTGCTAGATGTACCATAGCTCCGTCGCAAAGCACGCTTTTTGTGTTTGAGGGATGAAGAACACGTACATGGTTTGTTCATGTACACTGAAGCAAACTCAAGCACAGTCGACGACCTATGTTGAACCCCCAGTGGATTTCTCACATAGATCCCCCTCCCATCATCCAAATCAGTGTTCACAGCAGGCGTAGGGTTCAAGAACATGCGCTATGACAGACAAGATTTGAAATCTGAATTCGACACGGCTTCTTAAGAGAAACTCGGGGTGGAGACAACTATCTAGGTCTCAAAGCGGGATGACCCAAGGGCGTGGGACGCTTGACGATACTAGGTTCCTCTAGAACCGAATTGGAGGTGAAGAAAGTTCGGCGGCGCTATTTTTAGTCTCCCTGCTTTTTTGGAATGTTTCCTCCATTTTTGCGCCTCTTGTCCCTTTTTTTTTTTTTTTCCTTGTTCGGCCGATAGGAATTGGAGAAGAGATGTCTTGGGGTTACATGGCATTTCAACCGGAGTTGACCATGGGTTACAAGACAAGAGAGAGAGCGGATATACCAAAGACATGAAAACATACTGTAGGAGCCACTTGACTCGGCGCCAATTTGAAATTAGTAAGTGCAAGGGCGACATTTTGCCGGGGAAAGGGTTTGTGAATCAGTCGGTGACGTCGCTGAGTCAGTATCTGCCGAAATCATTTCGGACATGATCCGCGATAGCCGTTGAAGAGTCTGCAGTTGCCGGTTGGAGAACAACCGCCTTATGTATGGGTAGCCTATGGAACAAGGTGACAATTTCGAGAGTATGAGTTTGTCGATGTTGGGCATCATGTTGTCGTGGCAATCGTGAGTTTTGTTTACTTGGAAAAGTAAAGCTTGGGGAGCGACAGCGCGGCAGGCAATCGGGCGATGAGCCAAAGTGGAAAAGTTCGAAAATCGATCCTGATAGCCAACAGAGATCGGGATCGGTTGAACACTACGGAGTACATACCTGGGTACCTTATTGACAAGAGGAGAAAAACGTCCGACCGAGTCATTCCATTGGTTCTCTCTTTTTTCTTTGGGCTGTGGACGCGTTTCATAGGCCGCTCTAGAACGTGGGAGAAGGCCCCAAAAAGAGACTGACGGGTGGATCTTGAGTGAATCTGAAAGGGGGAAAGAGGAGGGGTATGATGTCAGATTCTCTTTGGTTGGAAAGAGAGCCTCGCCCACCTACTGCCAACCTCCTACCAGCCTATAGGCTGTGTACCTTATGGTGTACCACAAGAAATGGATGTGTTTTTTCGGTATCCATTTGCGGTACATGTATCTTTTGGGGGGCATCTTCCATTCTTTTTTTTTTTTTCTGCCCTTTCCACCATTCCTTGTTGTGTTTACCGCCAGCCTAACAGTTACCGCCCTGCCGCCACCGCCACCGCCGCCAGATGAGAGAAAGTAGAAGAAATAGGAAAAGCGCAACGCCCGGAATGGTTTAGGTGACACTTCACTCTTGTCCGCCTTTCCGCATTCCTTCCGTGCCCCTCCCCCCTTCTCCAAATGCACCCCGTGGCCACGCGAAGTCCACGAGCGTAGTTAGAGGTTGTCGCTCCCCGCCGGACTGTCACTCCGAAAGTCCCCTTTTGACAGGAAAAAAAAAAAAAACCAACCTAAGCAACAAAGCCTCGGGACGTAGGAAAAAAAAAAAAAAGCAGAACGAATTTGAGGAGAGAGACACAAAGAGAGGCAGGCCTGGCCAGACGAGAGCCGCCAACACCGCCGCTCCCCCCCCTGCTTGCGACCCCTCGACATCAGAGCACGGCTACGCTCCTCTCACTCTCAGTCTCACACCCACTGCCCACTGACGCTCATTCTCGTCCTCATTCTTACTCTCACTTCTCACTCGCTTTCCTTCTAACTCCCTCGCCAAACCCGGCTCACCTCACACACACGCCCCCACAGAGAACCGCACCCGCCACCCCTGTGCGGTGTGCTGCTTGCTGCTCTGCGCGCATCCGCGTGTGCGTGTTTTCTCTCCCACAATCAAATGTCCGAGGCCCAACGCGAGCGGGAGGTCCAGCGATATCTCCAGAGCTGGCAGGTCGCCCAAGGTTCCTCCTTCAACGTCGCCCTCAATGTCGACAGCATCGCCGCCCCGGACTTACATGGCAACGGCTACAAGCCAAAGGCCTCGGCCGACAAGGCCCTCACCGCCTTTGCTCAGCTCGCCGTGCTGAAGCTCGACGTCAAGCGCGCCATGGTCTCGCTGATCGATACCACCACGCAGACCATTCTTGCCGAGGGTACCCGTAGCGTTCAACTTGAAGACTTTGAGCACCTGCAGGATGCAAACAGTAGTGGTTTGAACGACGACGATGAGGCGAATGTTGATAATGAACTGTGGCGTACGTAGGCCTCTCTATTCGAGATATCGCATCACTCAGTCCCGGCCGTCGCAGCATGTCGACAGCCTTCTTTGCAACTGCTGGCTTCATGCTCAAATCCTAGTTTCAGTGTGCATTGTCGGACTCAGACATGTGGGAAGAAGGGGGCGGTTCGTTTTGGGAGGTCCTATGCTGACGTTTGTGATTTCCATAGTCGGCGCCACCATTCTTTCTCGTCCCGATGCCGTTTGCGAACACTCAATGGTGAACACTTGCACAGGTTTAGACCCAAAGGGCCGCCCGTATACGGCAACCGGACTCATCGTCAATGACTGCCGCCTCGACCCTCGCTTCGCCCAGCGTCCGTACGTGGTCTCGGAACCCGGCGTACGCTTCTACGCTGGCGTGCCCATCATCTCACGCAGCGGCCACAAGATTGGCTCTTTTGCCGTCTCCGACGAACGACCCCACGATGGACTCACCGCGGAGGAGATTCGCTTCATGCAGGGCGTCGCGCAAACGGTCATGGAACATTTGGAGTGGGCGCGGGATCGCGTGGACAGGTTCAAGGGCGAGCGGATAGTGCGAGGACTGGCGACGTTTATCGAGGGATGTTCCACCATGAACGAAGACTCAAATCCCGTCAAGGACGACATACCGAGGAGCCCCTCGACGGTACGGCCACCGGATATGCCGCTAATGTCGACGCGACGGCCGATGCCCAGATCGAATTCGTACTTTCGCAACGCCGAAGCACTCGTCCGGTCTCGAGAGTCATCAGCGTCTCGTCAGCAAAGCGATACTACGGAACCTCAGGGGCCCAGCACCGAGAACCCGCCATCGCCCAAGAAGGCATACCAACCGAGGGTCGACGGCCTGTCGAAACTCTTCAACCGCGCAGCAGACGTCCTTCGTCACTCGACGCTGGCCGACGGCGTGGCCTTCTTTGGAGCAACGGCAACGACTGCCACTCCCGGAAGCCAATCAAGGTCGGGCAGGAATCAGTCCTCGGACGAGGAAGATATCACACGACCCGCCACGTCAGGCTCTGGGCTGGATAGCTCCGACTCTGACACCTCGCCCTCCGCCAGGCCCTGCAAGATCTTGAGCTTCTCCGTGGCTGATGAGCGGGCGCGCGCGCGCATCGAGCAGGGCCCGGCGCTTTCGCTCGGCATTCTTGAAAAGTACTTTTCCATGTTCCCCATGGGCAAGACCTTTTCCTTCACCGAAGCCGGGCTTGGGGTGTCATCTGGCGACGACAGTGCCAGTGACAGGGAGACGATGGGCGTCGACGGCGCAGCTCCGTCTAACAAATCCGAAGGCAGACGGCGAAAGGTCAAAATGGTTCACGAAGAGCTCCTCAAGAAAATACCCGGAGCCAAGACGGTGGTCTTTGTACCCCTGTTCGACTACGGCGAAGACAGGTTAGCCGGCGGATGCTTCCTCTGGACCTCCGTCACCGGCCGCATGATGAATCTCGACCAGGACCTCTCGTACCTCCGCGCCTTCAGCAACAGCATCATGACCCAAGTTGGCCGCATCAACAGCCAAAAGAACGAGGCGGCGAAGACGACCTTTATCGCGAGCATGAGCCACGAACTCCGCAGTCCCCTGCACGGCATCCTCGGATCCGCCGAGCTTCTCCAAGATACCAGCACAGACGCCTACCAATCAGGTCTTATCAGCTCCATCGCCACCTGTGGAAAAACGCTACTCGACACACTCAATCATGTTCTCGACTATAGCAAGATCAACAGGCTCGGGCGGGCGCAGATGAGACGGCGCGCCAAGCAGAACCAGAGTAGGCCGGCGGCCATCACGTCGGACTCGCTCGAAAGCTTGAGCATGTCCTCAGTGGTGGATCTCGCTGTTCTCGTGGAAGAAGTAGTCGACGCCATCGCCGCGGGCCACGCCTTCAAGAAGTTGGTCGGCGCGGGCTCCCTGGACGGACCCAAGCCCAGCATCAGCGTCAAGGAGACGAACAATGTGAGGTCGGTAGGCAATTTCCAAGCGCCGGGGGCTAAGGGTCCTGTATCAATATTGCTAGATGTCGACCCGAAGATACCATGGCTGGTCAAAGCGCAGCCAGGTGCCCTCCGGCGGATTATCATGAACTTGTTCGGGAACGCCCTGAAGTACACGACACAAGGCTACGTTCTAGTTTCTTTGACCGGCCAGGCAAGGTCCGAGGGAACAAAGATTGACGCCATGATACGTGTGGCGGACTCTGGCAAGGGCATGTCTGAGGAGTTCCAGCAAACCCGACTGTTCCTCCCCTTCAGCCAGGAGGATTCCTTCCAGCCCGGCACGGGCCTGGGTCTCAGCATCGTCAAGCAGATTGTCGACTCATTGCGGGGAAGCCTCGAGGTCAGGTCCGAGCAAGACAGAGGCACCGAGTTCGACGTCCACCTCAGCTTCACATCGGCATCCGACGACACGGAGGACCCTCGTGAACCGGATGAGGCGATGCGCAGCGCCGTCGACGAAACAAGGGGGATGAAGATTGTGCTTCTCGAGGAGGAGCGTACTCCTGACGCACCGCCCATGACGAAATACGCCGCGAAGCTGAACCAGATCCTCACGGAGACGTGCTCCGAGTGGTTCAAGATGAAGGTTGTTAAGGAAAACCCCAGCGAGCCACCGGATGCTGATATGTACCTCTACTCTGAGCCTCCCTCGGTGGAGGTGCTGGAGAAGCGCTTCAAGGAGAATTCGCGGAGATCGCCTAGCCAGAAGAAGGCGCCCTTTATCATCGTGTGCCCGACGGCAGAAGAAGCAGTCAACATCCTCCAGGACCACAGCAAGCTGTTATTGGACTTTTCAGAAATCGTCGAGGTGATACCACAGCCGTAAGCAGACAACTCCCGGATTTCTTCATATCTGTGTCCAAGGCTAACTAACGAATGCAGATGCGGCCCCCGAAAACTAGCCAAAGTATTTAGCCACTGTCTCAAGCGGGTAGAAGAGCTAGAGAGAACCCAAGCAATGGCACGCAACTCATCCGGGCTGCTAGCCCCGACACCGCTCGCCCCCGACGGCACCACCCCCGGCACCAACGAAATCCGCCAAGTCGAACGAGTCGGCACCCCGCTTCACCAGCAAGCCAGGCCAGAGCAACTCGAACCCGCCATGGGCGTGCAACCACTCATCAAGCCTCTGGGCGCCATGGCCCTCTCCCCGGCCCTCAACGGCGGCCAGCCCGTCCTCGTGGGACAGAAGAACGTGACGCTGCACGTTCTCCTGGTAGACGACAATCAGATCAACCTCAAGCTCCTCGTCATGTTTATGAAAAAGTGCGGCTTCACGTACGAGCAGGCCGAGAACGGGCAGGAGGCGCTCGACCGGTTCATCGAGGCGTCGAGCTCGTCCATTGAGGCGAGCGCGAGTAAGCGGCGAAGGTTCGATTTCGTCTTGATGGATATCAGCATGCCCATCATGAACGGGTTCGAGGCGACAAAGAGGATACGCGAGTACGAGAGGGAACATAGGTTGCAGGCCACGACGGTGGTGGCGCTTACGGGACTGGCGAGCGCGGATGCGAGGCGGGATGCTGAGACGTCTGGGTTTGATGTGTTTTTGCCCAAGCCGGTGCGTTTTGCCGAGTTGCAGAAACTCCTTACGGCGTCGTGATGGTTACACCTCGGGTGTGACTTATAGTGACTGCTCGAGGTGGTCTTCATCACAGGCATTCCCCCTTTTCCTTTCAACCCCCGAGCATAATATACAAAGACGCTTTCTAGGAGTATAGACTAGGTCGTCTTGAACGTCAACTATGTATTTTCAGACTTGACGAGAAATCATTCACTAGTCTTTCTCAAGTCGTTTGACGGTTACATGGTTTGTAATTATGATATAAAAAGACAAATACCACCTTTACGCTTCTCCATTGCCTCCTTTTTGAGCTTGTCTCTATTTTCCCGTTCTACTACTTTAGGACCCCGCCATCTACGAGTCTAGGACAACATCTTTCACGACTGATGAATTGTCTCAAGTACCAGCCGTTCCGTTCGGTTCCTACCCTATTACCCCTTTCGGAATATAATCTACTCCTCTTGGGAAAGAATAGGAGCCGCCGCAGGATCGTACGAGGTTCCGAAGCCTTTTGCCAAGACGCCACACGCGTCGTGGACGAGTTTCCTGCTAATCTGGTGCACACTAGAAGATGAAGAAGTTAGCAATCTCTACCCGCATCCAAACCACGACTCAACGAGCAAATCAACCCGCCCGCCAGACCCAAGAAAAACATCAAACTTGTCAAGAAAACAAACATACCCAGCAAGCACAAGCACAGAATGCGTCGCCCCCTCATACACCACACTCTCAACCTCGACCCCATTCTCCTTTAGTAGCTCCGCATACGCCAACCCCTCCGTCGTCAACAGATCCACCCCCGCGACAGCGAGCCACGTCTTCGGACTCTTGGCCAGCAGCTCGCGCGGCGCGAAGCACGGGGACGCCCGCCACTCCTTCTTGTCCTGCTCGCCGCGGGAGAAGTAGAGGTCTTGGTACCAGCCCATGCGGGTGGGCGTCAGCCAGGGGACGTGGCGGGTTGCGGACCAGCCTGTTGAGGCGGTTGCGGTTGAGTCGATTACGGGGCAGATTAGGAGTTGGGAGATGGGGGGCGGGGAGAGGGGGGGGAGAGAGGGTGAGGTTCATTGTTAGGATTGCGGCGAGGTTGCCGCCTCTGGGTCGGGTGTTAGCATAGATATTGGCTTGGAAGGGGGGAAGGGAAGTGAAGGGGGAGAGGGTCATGGTGAAGGGTGAAAGGGGGAGGATTCAAGAAGGGGGGACGAACGCTGAGAGACCGCCGATGGTGATGAGGGACGTGTTGATGCCTAGGCGGGAGGCGTTGGAGGAGTCGTAGAGCCATTGCAGGCCTGTGAGGCAGTCGTCTACGGCGGCCGGGTAGACGTGTTCCGGGGCGTGGCGGTAGTTAATCGTGACGACGACGCACTTTACATCTGTGTTGAAGTTTCTATCAACACCCGCTTATTCACTCACTGTTTCGTCTTTCCGAGACCTTCATCTCTCCATGAAGATCTCATTCAAGGCAAAAGAGGAGCATAGGAAGAAAAGAGCATGACCAACATTTACAAACATGCGTCAAGAAGCCGTTCTCGCTATCCAGCCCACCATTCACCCACCCCCCGCCGTGAAGCCAGACCAAGCAAGGCCACCCGGCCTCCGACGGCGCCGCACCCTCGGGGACGAAGACGCGCACTTGGATGTCGCCGCCGATGTCCTCGTCCCACTGCTTGCCGACGGGCGAGAGCTTCTGCGTGGTGTGCGCGAGCGGGTTCGGCGCGGACCGCGAGGCCGGGTCCCAGGGCTTGGCCTCGGAGGGTTCCATGTACTGGATGATGGAGTCGTGGAGGGCGACGTACTCCGGGTCGAGTTTGGCGCGGACGGAGGGGTGGATTGGTTGGTGGATTGTTCGTGAGTCCGCCATTGTGTGTTGGGGTGAGAGATGATGCCTGTTGGTTTAGTTTGATGGTCTTGTCTCTGGGTAAGGTCAAAGTACACTTCGTGTGGAGTGGTCTGCTGGTGTCTAGAGCAGCGTTGTTGAGCTTGACGTTGGTTGGATGTTGAAAGTCGAGAGAGAAATGAATGAAGTTGAAGATAATTGACGTGATTGGTCAAGTGGAGCTCTTGGAGGTTGAAAATGAGGCTTTTTTAGAGAGTTTGTGGTGGACGGACCCTTTTCCCACCCCATCCCGTAGCTTGAGATTTGCCCGTTCTCGGTAATCTTCGTTGAAATTCGAATGGGGCGTCCCGCTCGCACCGGCACTTGATCGGACACGTAGATGGACCCGCTGATACACGATTGAGTCAAGATTTAGTGTCTTCGAGTCAACGCCCTGGCATCGAAACACGCCAACTTGCGCGGTCACGATGATGAGGTGAGTAACCCCATCTATCTAGGTGGATGACGGGATAATGCATTGCTCAACACATCCTCACTACCTCTATCTCTGTTACTATTACCATCACCATTTTTTTTCTTCCGGCTATTTCTTTACATGTTCTCTCGAGGCTATGCTTGTCTCGCAGAAACGACGCTGGTAATTGCGGGTAGCGATTTGTACTTGGCATATCAGTGAGAATAACAATGTTGATAGAGTACGAAGGGCCATTGATATTGGCCGACAAGTTGTTACGACACCTACTTGTTACCTTAAGGTACGCACGATAGACTGACCTCATCGTCGCACTCGATAAGCCCCGATGGAGACGACGGGTCAGGGTCTGGCGGGCTTCATGAGAATTGCCACATGACCTCAATAAGTCACGATGAGGGAAACATTGAAAGATAGGAACTCAGTGATGATGAGTCACAGCTGAAGCTTTTCTTCAAGGCACTTCGATTATGCACATAATTTATGTGACTTCTCACTAGGCAGTTCTCGGGTAATAGTAAGCAGGAGGTACCAAGACTGGTAACTTGCAAGGTAGCTAGCTACCTTGACTTATATACGATTGAAAGATCAACGGTCGGCTGCAGCAAATCGCACCAAAATGTTGGCTTCTCGGCTGTCTCTAGCATAATTGAGAAGAGGGACTCGACTTATTACGGAAAGATATGAGGAAGGAAAGATCATCGCGGTCTTCCGAATGTGCGGAAAAGTGCTTGGCTTGTCAACGGATAAGTCACCCTGTGTTTGGGCTTGGCAAAATGGCGATGCTGATGCTGCATGGTAAATTCAACATGAGTCCGGGTCACCGCCTTCTCACAATGGAGGAAACGCCAAGCATTGGGGAGCAGGCCAACCGGCTTAACGATCGCCGAAGGAATCAAATCGTTCTCTATCTCACCAGGCTAGCTACATCACCAGTCTTCCTTCTGATTGGTGTATAAACTTATCGGCAATTTGGAGAACATGAGTGCCGAATTTTCAGAGAGAAAACGACATCCTGCATGCAGCCTGGACAACTGGGAAGGAGCCGATAGGAAATATTCGACATATTCCCGGCTGACTACTACCACTCCGGCACACGGAGTGTTGTGAAAAAGTCTCCATACGGCACTCGCGTAGAAGAGCTTGTAAAAGTAGGTCGGGAATAGGTACCTTAGAGAGTGGGCTTCCTGCCCTTGATCTATGGAAAATTGGTGACGACCGAATATCGTCTTAAGATTGCCATGAACTTCGGTTCATCCCAGGCTACTTAGATAATGTCCTGTACGGGGGTCCCTGGGGTGGAATTAAGCATAAGAGCAGACTACTAGGCTTCCCCGCTCCGGCCGGTCTCTCCTCCCGACCTTCCCCGCAAACTTCAATGTGAATTGAGTACTTTGGCCCTGGCCCCGCAGTGTTAAACAGATCTGCTTTTCCGTCAACTCTCCGAGCTTCGAACCAACTACCTACCTTATGTGGTCCGCGGCTTGACATCATGCCTCGCTTTCCTGGGTTGATCAGATGCCAAGAGTGGCTTGCCCAATTCCAAGCTGTTACTCTTTGCTCATATTCACGCATCGGATAAGCGGAGCTGCAGATGAAATGGAACCACAACGACTCAGTCAAATTGGCAAGCTCTTGGCCGATCTTGGACGAAGTTAGAGTGAGGGGAACCTTGAAGATGGCAGAACTTCACGAGATCTCTTGAGCTCGGTGGTGTTCCCATTGGGAGGCAGGCTTTTGTATAAATAGTCAACCTCGGGGGATGCCATGAGGGTACATTGCACTCGTCGGCTCAATCTTGATCCTCCAAGTTGTTGACTTGTCGATAGCCTCAAATATCTAGCCGGGCAGCAGTTAAGAAGTAGTCGAGATGAAGATAACCTCACTCGCAGCCACCGCGCTCGCCAGCGCCGCCCTCTCATCCGCAGCAATCTCCCTCCCCAACGGCTGGTTCGCCATCGCCCCCGACGAGAAGCTGAACCCCGGCAAACTCGACGGCGAACCCCGGTATCTCACATGGATGGCCGACTCCCAAATCAAGCACGGCGTAGAACCCACCTACGCTTACACAATCTCGGCCTTCTACTCGGGCGTCCTGCGTGCCCACGAGCGGACCGGCGACGAGCGCTACTACGACTACGTCAAGCACGCCACAGACATTCTTCTCTACCCGTCCCAAGACGGCGAGATCCTTCTCTACAACAACAGCAACTCCATCGACGACATCCGCTTCGGTCACACTTTCCTCGACATCTACAACGCCACCGGCGACGAAATCTACAAGACCGCCGCGCAGACCCTCCGTCACCAGATCGATCGCACAGGCCGCTCCCCGGACGGCGGCTTCTACCACCGTTACCCGGTCTACATTGACCAGATGTGGCTCGACGGCATCTACATGCTAGACGTCTTCTACGCCCGCTGGACCGCCGAGTTCGAGCCGGATAACACCACCGCGTGGGACGATATCGCGCTGCAATTCGACCTCGTCACCGCGGGTACGATCCTGGGTAACGCGACAAACGGCCTGCCGCTACACGGCTTCGATTGGAGTAAGAAGGCCATCTGGGCTGACCCGGAGACGGGCGCCTCGCCTAACGTATGGGGCCGCGCTGTCGGGTGGTACGTCATGGCCCTCGTCGACACTCTTGAGCTCTTCCCCTTGGATCATCCGGCCCGCGATCGTCTGGTTGGGTATCTGCAGCACGTCTCGGACGCCGTTGTTGCTGCGCAGGATGAGAAGACGAAGGGGTGGTGGCTCGTCATGACGCCCGGCACTGAGGGCCAGTGGGGGAATTACATTGAGAGCTCTGGGTCCGCCATGTTTGTGTATGGACTTCTCAAGAGTCTTCGCCTGGGCTACATCAAAGGCGACAGCTATCTCAAGTCTGCACTTAGCGGATACAAGTTGATGACGGACACGTTCTCCGACACGCGCAAGAGCGATAATGCTCTCGTCTGGGGATGGACTGTGCAGACGGGGAGCTTGAGCTCCAACGGCACATTCGAGGTATGTGAAAATGTCATTCCGTGCTATGAATACATTGATTAGCCCTCGATTCTGATCCCTCTTTCTAGTACTATGCAAGCATGCCCCTGTTCGAGAACGACCTTAAGGGTGTTGCTCCCTTCCTCTTTTCCAGTTATGAGTACGAGCTGTACCTAGAACAGAAGAAGTAATAGCCATGTGCTGAGGAATGGAAGAAATTCCGCGTTGATAATCCATGCAAAACATGGGGTCCAATATGATGGCGCAAGAGAGAAAGAGAACAAGAAGTTTCCGTATGATGAGCGGTCACTTTGAATCATTCTTGTCGACCTGCTCCTCCCGTCGACGCCGAAGGCCTCTCTGCAATGATCGAAAGACAGCACTCACCCTCTGGCGTCCCTTGCTGAGAGTGCCGATGATGTTCGGCTTACGGGACGAAGATTCGGCCTGCTCCTCCTCCTAGGCAGTAGAGGATTGAATTTCATTGACCGTCTTGCCGTTCTTGACCGTATCCTTGTTTCCATCTTCATTGGGGCTCAAAGCTTCATCTGTAACTTGTTCCGAATCTTGCTGCGCATGGGACGATTCGTCGGCAGCCGTCGAAGGTGTGTTATGAAACCGTGGGCTCGACGGTGATTTGGCCCTCTTCTTCAGCAGCATCCGTTTGTGCGATCTAGAAGCGATCATCTCGTCGAAGTCATCGTCTTCGTTGTCGCCTTCATCACCCCCCTTCTCATCGTCAAACTTGAAGGCTCTCGGGTCTACAGCCGCAGCTAGCGAGAATGCCATATACAGGTTTGCCCGCAGATCCAAGAGGTCACAGTCGGGCAAGTCCTCCTCATTGTAGGCGCAGATTCGGATGATCTCTCCGCCGATCACGGGTTGAGCAGTTGTGTTGTTGAAGACCCCAAAGTTCATGAAATCGAAGTCCTCGAAGTGCTGGCGGGGATCAGTGTCGAAAGACATGGCCTGCTGCATCCCCGGAAACTCGGTCTTTTGAAGCCAGTGGAAGATCAACGTCAAGACCCACGCACTCTTCACCTGAGGTTCTTCTGCCGGGTCTTCTGCTGGAAATGGGACAAACATCTGGACTGGTCGACCCATCGGTTTGAGAATGAACTCTCCAGTGTACCAATGATCGTCCATCGTTCGGTCCATGCAGATCATGTTACGACGAGTGTTGATGATGTTTTCGTCGCAGGATTCTGATGTGAGTTTCTTCAGAAGCGCGGTGATTCTATCATCCGAGTACCATGATCTCATTCCTTCTAGTTGCTTGATCACATGGGTTCTCAATCTCAGTAGATCAAGTGGAATGATGTGTACCACGTCACTGTCCAAACTTCGCTCTGTGATGATGCAGCGTCTGCGGTCGCGTATGCGTGCCTTTTGTGGAAAGAATGTCAATTTTGCTTTGCTCCTTCTATAATGACCAATTGAGGAGCAGTTGATACTTACAAATTCGAATTCGGACATGTCACCCAACGGCCGAGCTGGATACCACTGCCTGGTAGGCTCTTTCGCATATCCTTGTATGACTGAGCAACGAATTAGTAGACTCACATCAGAACAGACTGGGGCATACCATACGTGAACGGAGAAGCATCGCCGTTGCCATGGCCCATGCCGGGAAATCGGTGAGTAGAAGCCTCTTTGCCTTGACGCTGGATATATCATCCAGGTCGCGTCGAACTTCTTCCAACCTCTCCAAGTCCATGGTCATCAACGTGGACCAGAACGAAGCCTTGTCCAGGTGAAGCTCCTTCATCAAAGCATCCGTATGGAGCTGTCTACACAGCTGATTGATTTGTTGCACCAGTGGGATCTTCTGGTCGAGGTCCTTGAGGTAGTCGCTGTCGGGGAGTCGCTGTGGGTACGATGTAAGACGTCGACGGAGTTGTTCAAGATCAAGCATGGAGGGCTTGCTGTTTAATATCAGTAATCTAGCAAGTAAATCAATGAAGATCAGCGTAATATTTACCTGGGGCCTTCTCGGCTCAAGAAAGCATCCTGCAATCGTTGCATCTTTCGTAGGACAGTCAGACTGTCGGGGTCGGGACTGCTGTCCAGTATCAGTAATCTATCAAGCGCAGTATTATCTGGATTGTTATGATGTACCCTTCGGAGCCTTTTGGAGTGAAGCGTTTCTCCATCAATCGGAGGAACACAGGCTTCATGGCGACGGCCACGGGGTTGGGTCCTGATTCGCTACCAGGTATCGGCCTATGCACGTGGCTTTGGAGAAAACGCGCGATGGAAGCGTCGTCCATCGCAGCGAAGTCCATCGAAGTGAGATCTATTGAAGAGGCGTTCATCATGTGTAAAGAAGAGAAAGTGAAGCCGAGAAAGTGCTGTAGATCGACTCTTCTGAGGTGAAAACTGTTGCGAGAGAAGCGTGAGGGTGGAGAAGGAAGAAAAGAAAAGGTGAGCCGGATCCTCAGGTGGGTGGCGGGAGGCAGGTAAGTTAAATGGGTTGATGGGTGGGAAGAAAATTCCGCGAGCGTCGGGATGGAAGTGAGAAGAGAGCACGGGAATGTCTGCCTTGGAAGGCACCACCTGAATTTCGTTTGTTCTTGCTCCTTCCCTGCGGGCTGCCGCTTTTCGCCTCAGTTCTGTTTCTATTAGACTATCGCGAACACTATCCACGGATCTCTGCTGCTTTGAATGTCCTTTGTGCCTAGATTCTTTTCTATCTTCTTCACAGAATATACATAGAAGGACAAAAAAAAAAAAACTGATAAGGGCAGCTGTAATAGCCTGGAGCTTAATTGAGCTTAACTACTCTGTGTTTATTACTTGGTTGACTGTTTGAGAAAAGTTCTTTGAAAGGAGGGAATGGTATCTGTAGGCTTTTTTTCAAGTCATGGGTTTGAGACAGCCGCCCATAAAGTGCCTAGAAGGGAAGTCAAAGGTAGAAAGTCCAAGGCGATCAATGGTGTCTACCTAGACTCGTGTTTGCTTCTACTTCTCAAGCTCGAAATTGCTTTCGTCTTTTCTAGAACATAGCTGGCCCAGGACAAGGCGCCTTCCTAAAGCTTTGTACATATCCCCCTTCCTTCAAGTTCAACCATTATTCTACAATCGAACCCGAAGAGAGTTTCCGGGTCTTTGGATATCCTCATATGGTTTGATCATTTGCAGACTGGAAAATATCTCAAGGCCATGATCAATGTTGATTTTGCCCAGCATATCATTCATGACATGTCATGAATCACTGAGTATCGATGACCAACACCTGTATTGCATTGGAAACAGCAGTAATGTAAACATTTTATTATGAGACTTAGATGCGCCTCTTCTTGTTGGCGTTGTTGTTGTTCCTGTTCCTCCCGTTCCTCCCAGTGCCAGTGTTACCAGTATTGCCGGTGTTGCCATTATTGTTGTTGGTCGCGCCGCCAGCACTAGCACCGCTTACACGCTCGCATCTCTCGCCGCCATCGCCGTTGCCACAACGGAGGGGTAGCAAGCAGCAGCCATCGGGGTCTGCGAATTGCTCGAGGCCATTGGCGCCCTTGCCGAGGGATTGGCAATCTGGTCCATCCGGGAAGCCGCATCTTTATTCGAATTCTTGATTAGCAAGAGAGTTTATCTCAAAAGGAACAACATGGTCAGCCTTGACTTACCCATTTTGAGCGAGGACGCCGGCGGAGAAGAGGGTGAGGATGATGGCTGAGAAACGCATTGTCAAAGTGGTGTGAATGAGAATTGTTTAATCAAAGATTTCTGCGCAGCAGATTTGAACTGGTGATTATAAGATGTAAGTAGGTAAAAAGCACAAGGCGAATGCGGTTGAGCTGAAATGGTTTGAATTGAGACAAAAAATAATGAAGTGAGCAACTCCTATCTAGATTTATAGTACTTGAGTTGATCCTATTGACCATCAGTTCAGCTATGATCTGCAAAAGTCTCAGCTCCTAAACATCTTGGCTGAAGTCCTCAGCTGTTTTGCCAGGTAGTATCGCTTACTCCGAATGGAGTACTCCGTTCTGGATAATACGGGGTAGTAAGCCCATTCACAGGGCAGGCCCACCCGCGGATTCCCTGCGAAACTCGGCTCTAAAACCAAGCTTAATGGACCTCGGGTCTTGATTCACGGGGTGTGTCAGGATTGAGCAGAGCCAAGCCAGGTACATGGTTTAAGCTTCAAAGTTCGGTTCGTCACGGAAGAAAAAATGAGGAAATCATAGAGATCACGAATAATTCTCTTGTGGGATGTCTTTGACAGTAGGTTGGAATGAGATTTTGCGACTGCAGGCTGGGATGATAGATCCAGTCTGGAGTAGCCTTGAGCTGGAAATTTGACTCACGGCAGTTTAATTGGTAGGTTCCATTCAATGTCCAAGGAAGCCATCAAGCAAGTCAGTATCGATATCTACCTTACTTTCATGCCAACAAAAAGATGCTGAGACGAGGGCTAAGCCCAGCATCGGTGTCATCCGATTTTCCTGACCTACCTACATGCGGACTACTCCTGTCGTGCAACTTGACGTGTGCTGCCGTCTGAAGATGCCCAATGAACCTCGGGCGTGCTTTCGTCAGTGCGTAGGCTCTGTCTAAAATCATGGCAATGTGAGCTGGGAAGATGCCTTCAGTAAACGACCCAAGATCTAAGACGAACGCTCGAGATTACTACTCTTCAACATTCATCGACCGTATCTTAGATATCGCAAACCTATGCTTGAATCCAATAAGACAGAACGTGTGTCATGCATTCCCTTAATGTCCTTCGCCAGCAAAAGAAGGAGGTACTAGTAACTACCAAAGGTATGGGAATGACGCAGCCCAGCTCTTGTGTTGGATCGAGCCAGCGTGTATTTCCGGTAGGCAGCCAAGTAGATGGCGGTCTAGGCAAGTGACAAGCAGGTGGGTGGTGGATATGTCATTCAAGATAACGTACGCCTTATTTCAGTTCCAAGTCCCTGGACGCGAGGGCTGATGTGAGGCGAATCCGGGGTGGAAGTTTTCGAAACTCGTTCTATAGCTGAGTGGATCCATCGCATCAACGCAGGGGTGGTGAGCCTGCCGAGGAATGCGAGGGCGTCGGGCCACCTCCGTCAGTCAGCCCATTCGCAGGCTCGCTATACTCTGCTTTCCAATCTCAGATTGGGTAAGTTTAGAAGCGCGAGAAGAAACGGTCGCTATATAGTATATTGAACTCAGGAGCTTGAGATCAGACAGGCTAGGTCGCTCTCTATGAACCCAAGGACTTTCAAGAATTAGGACTCGCATTGCCGTATGCTATATTGCGGATAACCTTACCCCTTATTGGGGTACCAGAGTTCCATGATGAAACAGAGCACCGGTGGGATGGAAGCATATGGACCCTCATTGAGACTCCGTCTGGAGCAGAACTCCATTATCCATTTCCTGAGCACGTGAGCTATTATGGTGGGCAATTTAGTAGATAATTCTTTGACTTAAATATTCCGAGATCTAGTTTTACGACCAGTCTGCATTATATGTCTCTCATTTAGGACTTGTCGCTATTCATATCAGCTTATCGTGGTGTAGCCAATATTAAGCCGTTGAGAGCTAGAACTGATAACCCTTCGATTTCGAGCTTGGCTGGGTACTGACATCCACATTCAAAATGTTCGTAGGTTGGCGTCAATAACTAATTGTAGCTCTGTTTCATCATCGGATCATCACGCATGTTACCAGCGGGTTCGCAGATCAATAAATTAGGAGTCTTTGCACAGCGTGGGAAAGATACGAATGCTCCTTCAAGTAGATGGTAGCCGAGTCCAGACGTAAGAGATTGGCCATCTAGAGCTGACTTATGGTGACGAAGGGTAGTTATGCAGTAGTGATGGCATTGGTCACACACCACTGAGAAAAGACGAACAACAATTTTTCTTAGTCGAGCAAACTGAGCATTAGTCAATCACAAACTTCCGGGTGACTTTTACTGCGAATAATCTCCAGCTCCTCCACTGACATGACTAGTAAACACCCAACAAATACATAGACCAATCAAAGCACCCCGTGGATCACCAGCGATCGCCATTTGGGAAACCCGGCAATGACGGCACGTTAAACGAGATCCCATGCGGGCCCGGCCATGTCAATTGGGGCGCGGACATCGGCCACGCTAGATAACAAGAGGAAGCTCGGTCCCCAGCAATCCCTGGCAGCTGCTTTATCCCACGTGCCCAGGATGTCTTGTTGCTTTGGATGATAGCGAGATAGCAGCTCTGCGAGTTGCGATTTCGGTGGCCCCCGATGGAGAGATATTGAATGAGGGGGGAGGACGATGGGTTATCATTTGCCGCGTCAGCGCGGCAGAGCTGCAGCTGCCCGGGATACCACGCCGTCTCCAGGTGCTGCTGCTCTTGGCTCATGTAGAGAAAAAGCTTGTTCGAGCGGGAAGCGCATCTTTTAAAAGCTTGGCTGCATGCCTTTTCCACACCTTGTATCCTGGGCCTTGCTGACCTGCTCAGAGGATCTCGTCAACCGTTGCTTGAGCTCGCCAGACAGTCTGCGAATAAGGTTTTCCAGACGTCGGACCGTTCGTTCTTTTGTTTAATTGGGAGCCTTATCACGTCGCAATGCGTTTCGGAAACAGCGTCTGGGCCTCTCTCGCCCTTGCGTTCGGCGCCGTCCCGGCCCTCGCCTGCGAGAGCTGCGAGCATCCCGAGAGAGACGTCGTCTTGACCAGAAATGTTCGTCGCGCGCAGCCTGATGCTCAGGCGGCCGCCGTTGCGCCTCGTGGACCGCTCTCGTGGGGTCAATTAAACTTTCTCCATACTACTGGTAAGCTTGTTTCAATCTGCAAACAGGAATATGCAACTTTGTTTGTGCTAACACCTTCGATACAGATACTCACGGATGGTACGGATAGGATTTCTACCTTGGCACCCAGCGACACGACTCGGATGCTGACAAGATCACAGGCTCGAAGGACACATCCGCGAGCAAAATTACGGCGCTGACTGGGGTGACTTTGTGAGCTTCGTCAAGCACATGCGCAAGAAGGCCAAGGACCTGGATGTTGACTTGCTGGTGGTCGACACGGGAGTATGTTTCCGCCCACGAGCCATCCTCAACACCAGTTTCACTGACGCAACTCTAGGACTTGCACGACGGCGCAGGAATCAGCGATGCCACTGGCGTTTCGTCTTACGCCAATGGCACTGGCGTCAACGGCCAGCTGTCGAACCCAATCTTTGAGAACATCGATTACGATGTCTTGGCCATTGGTAACCACGAACTCTACGTTTCTGCCATTGCGTACGAGACCTTCAGCCAGTTCGCCAAGGTCTACGGCGACAGATACTTGACGAGCAACGTCCAGATCCGCAACCCCAGCACGGGAGCGCTCGAGACCATTGGCAAGCAGTACAGATACTTCACCACCCCCAAGGGTATGTAGCCTCTCTGCCCTAGCCTTGTTGATATCTGACATAAATCCTACACAGGTCTCAGAATCATGGCCTTTGGCGTCCTCTTCGACTTCACAGGCAACTCCAACGCCTCCGTCGTCACAAAGGCCGCCACAATGGTCAAGCAGCAATGGTTCCTCGACGCCGTCGACTACACGGAGCCCATCGACCTCTTCCTCGTCATCGGCCATAACCCCGTCCGCCCGACGCAGAGCAGCAGCACCCTCAAGACCGTCTTCGACGCCATCCGCGCCGTTAAGCCCGACACCCCGGTCCAGTTCTTTGGCGGCCACACCCACATCCGCGACTTTGCCGTCTACGACGACAAGTCGACCGCCCTGGAGTCCGGCCGGTACTGCGAGACCGTCGGCTGGCTGTCTCTGAGCGGCGTCAAGTCGGACAGCTACAAGGGCGCCGTGTATCCCAAGGGCGTACCTCACCCGTCTCAAAAGGCTGTGAACGTGACCGCCGGCCAGATGGCTGCTACCGGAAACTCGAGCATCACGTACTCTCGCCGCTACCTGGACTGGTAAGACTAATACACATGCACAATCAAGAGCCCTCCGTCTCATGACTGACTGCAATTCCCAGGAACACCCTCACGTTCGAGTACCACGCAGTCGGCAGCCAGCACAAAGCCTTCAACACCACAAAGGGCCTCGCCGTCTCCGCAAACATCACAGCAACCCGCAAAAAGCTCAACCTCACCTCCCTCTACGGCTGCGCGCCCCAGACGTGGTGCATCGCCTGCGCGCCCTACATGTCCGCCGGCTCCATCTTCTCCCTGCTGACGACCGCCCTCTCCGCCACGATCGTCACCGAGGCCCGCAAGGCCACGCCGCGCATCATCCTCGCCAACACAGGCCACATCCGCTTCGACCTCGCCGAGGGCCCCTTCGACTACGACTCCTCCTTCATCGTCTCCCCCTTCACCGACGGCTTCCAGTATATCCCTGACGTCTCGTGGTCTCTCGCGCGCCAGGTCCTCGCGGGTCTCGAATCCGGCGGGTTCCCCTCCAAGCGCAGACGTTCTCTCTCGTCAGATTCGTTTGGCTTCGGACATGTCAACCCGGCCCTCTCGGCCGTGGACAGCTGCATCGACCCGCACGTGACGAACGACCACTTCTCCAAGCGCTCCTACGCCGGCGGACGCATCGTCAGGCGTCAGGCCGTCACGCCGGGGTACACGACCACCGACGACTTCGGCACCGACGGAGATGATACCGTGCACAGCGAGATCCCGACGTACGATTACCCCGACTTCTTCCAGGCCAACGGCAGCTTCCCCGCCAGCGGTGAGCTTGCCGACGACGACAAGATTGATCTCATCTTCTTGGACTACGTTGCGGGTTCCGTCGTCTCGGTTCTGCGCTCTCTCGGGGGCAACTACACGTCTGCTGACGTCTCTTACTATCTGCCTAGTGTAAGTCAATGTCCTGGAGGATGGGTGACTGTCGTTTACTTGGATGTGACGAGCTAATTTGTCTCATAGACTTTTACGACCAACTCGTATCTGCCCGCGTTCGCAAAGAGTAACGAGGCGTGGCAGGCGAATGTGCCGAATTGCCCCGTTGGACTGGGCATTGGGTACAACACCACCAGTGCTTGAGATTGAGATGTAGTCGGAACCTTTGAGTATAAAAGCAGCACCCAGGGGGCCGTGGGGATTGTGTTATTGACCTACGTATATCTGGGCATCATCAGGTGTTTGGCGCATGAGATTGCTCGCAGGATCTCTCACCCGTCACCGGTACATAATTTTCTCTTCAATTGCACATATTTTGCACTCTGTTGAACGTCTCTAATCCATGACCTCTGATCTTTGATTGTCGTGACTACTCACGTACCATGACTAGACAGCTAAGTGCTCCGCGCCGAGGGTATAAGTCACCTTCGCGAAGCCGAAAACCCAAACAACCAAGCCCAATACTTTTATCTTCATCATTTCATCTTTCATCATTCATCATTTCAACATCTCAAATTGTCTCTGACGTCTTCAACCCAGCAGCAACCCCCGAAACAACAAGATGCGCGGCCTTAGCCATCGTCTTTCGATCATTCACCTCGGCGCGAAACTCGGGCCCAAACGTAATCGTAATGGCATCCCTCTTCGTCACACGTCTACTCTCCACCGCCTGCGGTGAGACGTACGCTTTAGCCCGGTACGAAGGCTGCCAATTCGTCGCTGCGTCCCGCAGCAGTCTCTCTAAGTTCGCCTCGGTCATTGAAGAGGAGGAGGAGGAGGACGACGATGAGGAAGAAGACGAGCCCGAAGCCGAGGCCAGCCCGTCTAGGTATCGGAATATCCACCACGACTGCCCTGCCTTGTTGACGAGCACGCCGAAGAGCATCCAGAGGGCGCCGTCCTTTTGGCTGAGGGAGTTTGCGTGGAGTCGGACGAGCGCGCCGTGTGCTTCTACTGCGTTGAAGACTACCGAGTTTGGCGACGAGTTTGATGTATTCGTCGCTGATGTCGTCGTCGGTGACGGCGGGAACTTGAACTTCTTCATGGTGATAAACCCCGCCATGGAATCCGTGTACCGCGGTATCGCCTCGATGCGCGTAAAGATCTCGACGCCGGAACCGCGGCTGTGCATGACGAGGAGCATGATGGCGTACTCGCCCAGGTGAAAGCTCGAGTCGTGGGGCTTGAGCTGGACAATGCCGAGATCGCTCCCCGGCGCCTTTGAGGGGACGAATATGTCGTGGACTTCGACCTTTAGGCTGCTTCCGGACTTTAGGAGCCCGAGATCGCGCGTGTTCCATCGCAGCGAGATGGGTCGGGGGAAGTCCCGGACGACTCTGTACGTGTCCACCAGGCCGGTGCTCTCCAGGGGAACACCGATGAGGTGGCCGCCTTTCGTGCTGGCGGATAGGATGCCGATACACTCTGGGGGCCGGAAGCCGAAGTTGGAGATACGAATGTTGGCGGGGCGTACCAGCATCAACTGTATCGACAAGCCAAAGTTGGTCATGGAATACGGCACCGGCCTGCTCGAGGGATCGTGCGCCGGGTGATAATCCTGCCCGTTTCTAAAGTTGCGCGGCGACGGCGCCAGCATGCTGACCCAGGAACCCGGGTCGCTCTCGGTCCAGGACCAGCAAAAGAGCGACTGGTCCGTCGACGTCTTGAGTATCTCCTCCTGCAGCCGCGCGAACGCCTTCGCGCCCTCGCCGTAGAGAAGAGGCATGTTGATGTCAAAGATGCCGAGCATGCAATACGCCATGTCCTCCTTGCGCGTCGTCTTGCGGCACGACAGCCACGACATGCGCTCGGCGACGCTGGCGTCGGACAGGCGTTTCCTGCTTCGCGGCTGGAGATACTTCCAGTCAATGTTCGTGATTCTCTGGATGACGCCCGCGAGGAGCTTGCGGGTGCCCAGGAGGCTCCAGCCGCGGGCGAAGAAGAGGACCTCCCGCGGGGCAAGGAGCTCTTGGAGCGTCCAGCCGCGGGTGAACCAGAGACTCCGCGAAAGGATGTCGAAGCTGTGCTCTGCGTCGCCGGCGGGCCCGTCGAGTCGTTCCGCGTGGTCTACGTCCGAGAGGTAGGCGTAGCACCGCACCGCGCACTCGTACCACGCGAACATGGAGTTGATGGCCTCGGACAGCTCGGCGGAACTCTCCTTGTTGATGCAGCAGGTGTCGATCCAGAGGTGATCGAGTCCATCGTCAATGGCCTGGATCCTGGCCATGTCAATCTTGCGAAACCCCTCCCTCTCCCTCGCCACGCATAGGTCCTCCTTCCAGTCTTGAAATGTCACTTCATCGTGGCCCCATGTATGAGATACGATGGCGTACCGCGGGATCTCGTCGCCAAAGAACTCGGCCAGGGCCAAGGTGCGGGTGTTGATGAGGCGCATCGCACGTAGCGCGGCAGGGTCGAAAGATGCCGCGGTGGAGACATGTATCTCGCGCTTGGATCAGCTAGGTTTGGTAAGGCACGTCATGTCATGTTGCTGGAGATTCCATGTGTGCGCAATTCCGTAGACCGAAGCTGAGAAGCGGGGATATTTGCTGACCGTTGCGAGGCTTGAAGTCAGTTCTACACCGTTGGTTAGACCAAATGTAACCTCCCGGCTAGCAGCAGCGAAAATGGCCCAGAGCGCCCAGATGGTGCCAGCTGCGGCCAGCTGTGCCAGAAAACACTGAGTATCACGATGCCTCGTATATAAGTGATGGCAGAAATGATGACCTACAAAACAACTGGCGTGGTTCTGGGTAATTGTCTTTGTCACGGGATGCCTGAAACCACCTTTGAGCCTCAGAAAAATAGCTGCGTTGTATAACCAACAACTACTCTCTTTCGTTTCCTCCAGTTTCGTTACTGCTGTCGACGGTTACTCGGAAGGTGTATTCTTTCGGATAGTGTTTCCTGGCACTCTGTCTTTCTTCGTCGCCAAGCACAATGTCTATCGAAAATACAACCGATTCAGTGCGCCAACAATCACATCCAGCGTAAACCTCGTGGAAAGAGATTGGAACTGGCCTGGCCAAAGCCCGCATCGTCATCGTCGGAATCCGAGGTGCCGTCGCCGTAATAATGATGGTAGGTTTCGGCTTCGTCCGACGACTCATACATGTTGACGGTATCAACGATGTCATCACTACAGACCTGGCATGTGCTGGACTTGTTCGGCCCCGGGCAACCCCAAACGGGACATTTCGTGTCCTTGTTGTCCATGTAAAGCCGCACGTTATGGGGTTCGCACCAAGGCCCTCCTTTCAGACTTGAGTCGCCAAAGTTGTACACGACGTAACTCCGTGAGGAGAGGCCGACCACGAAGTCATCATCCACCGCAATGGTCCGGAATGCCTCCGACCCAGTGAACCAAGGGTTGTTGGTTTCCAGGACAACCGTTGATGACTTGTTGGCGATGCAGATTGATCTTTGGCCGTTGCCCTCGAATTCATGCCTCCATCGAGACTTGTTGTCGCCCGGGTAGATGGGCGATTTGTTCTGAATGTAATAGATCGAGTCGTTCCACAAGATGCCGCCAGTCTGTGATGGATCACGACTACCAAAATCCCAGATCGGTCTCCGCATGCCGTTCAGGACCCTCTTTTCTACAATGAATGACTCCGTCACTGTGTTGAAGTTGATGCTTCTCACGGGAAGACTGGGCGTCCTTACAGCCTCTTTTCCGGACAGCTCGCTCTTGACTGTGGTGAGACTCTTCGAAGTCGACCTGTATATGTTGCCAATGTTGAAAAGTCCATAGGAATTCATTGGTCGGCAATGTGTTGCAAAGCGTGGCACATTTTGCATCTTGTACTTTCGGGTGAGTTTGTATGGGAAAGTTTTGACAAACTTCATGTCTTCGAATTTGTGAACCTCGACAAGGAGTTCAAGGCTGACATATTGATATGAGTCGGTATCAATTTCCTCAAACTCAATTGTTGAGTCGTTATCGATTTCCTCGAACTCACTGGTAGAGTCACAGTCACTCCTTTCGTCACTCATCCTATGGGTGCCGAGAAACACACTGACGAAGTAGAGAACGTGAGGGTTTGTTGGGTGAAAGATGAAACCGTTGTTTACATCCACGCCTCGGCATACATGCTCCTCCCATGGAAAGCCGGTGCCGTGCCGTTCATGGGCTGCAGGAGAAATAGGAACCTGAAGCTTGACAAGTCCAGTAGACCAGGTCCAGACATGAGGCGGGGTTGGCACAGCTTCATCCTCGCCATGGTAATAGTCGGAGTTGAAAATGACGACGAACGTATCTTTATGGGCTTGTAGATCCGTCATGTGCCTAGGAAGTGTAACACGACGGTGCTGTTCCTTGACAAGATCGTATACGATACTGAGACGATTAGCTGGATTTGAAATATGACTCGGTGTCTTTCTGATGTAGTGATGAATGGTATGTTGTCGAACAACTTACAGAGCCCTCATGCTATATTGGTCAACGAGGATTAAGAGGTTCTCCGTCATGGTATGCACGATGAAGTCCTTGTCTCCCTTCACCACGAGGTCGGGAAGTGGAACAAGCTTCCTTGTCATGGCTCGGATGTCGTCAACGAAGAAACGGTAGGAATCCCACTGCCAGGCGACTTTTCCACTGCAGTAGGCGAAGCCGAGATGAGTCCTCAGTTCTACTTCTCGAGTGTTCTTGAAGAATCTCGAGGATGTAGGTGTAGGCTTAGATTTGGCAAACTTGAGGCTGCGCTTATCGTATTTCAGGGCGGTACATTTCAGCAGAGGCACATCGGCCGTGTTGATGGAGAGCCAGGAAGTGAGTTTGCCTTCGTTCCGGGCTGTGGCCTTGTGGGCTATAGGACGTAACAGATCCCAAGCCGACGCATCTGGAGATGCAGCGACTAATCCAGGAAAGGAAATTTGGGCGATTTCCCTGGCGACGGTGTCGGACGTCCATTTTGCTCGCCATGCTTTGGAAACCTGAGTGCACTTAAGTGCATCGCCAAGGCGCAGATACTGTGCTATCATAGCAACAACTTCTTCCGGAAGATGATGCATCTCTGCAAGCTTGATTGTGCTCTTTGATGTCAGTTGCCTGAGATATAGAAGTTCCCATGGCGTGAGTCTCGAGACAAGATTGTCTAGGTTGGCGTGCCGGAGGGCTGTGTTAGGAGATCCATCGGCGTTGGTGAGCTTTGCAAGCTGTTCAGCAAGTACACCATCATGCGAACCCCTGGCGTATTCCATCCTGAATTTGACTTTAGTGCTTGCAATAACAGAATCGATCTTCAGGTAGATAGGTGGACTGATGAGGACTGGAAAAGCCAAAAGAGAACATTCCGAGAGTGCCGCTGGATGCAGATGGAGTTACGTTGGTAGGTACGTAGTTCTTGCCTTGTCTAATCACTGTATCTAATCGACCTTAGCCCCATGAGATACCTTAGGTAGGTAGGTATCTTAGCTGGGACCTCGGCGGGGAGACTACCAGACTCCGATCTCGCTAAAGGCAGGTTTAGGTAAGCGATAGGTGCCTGGCTCACCCCAGCTTTTAGCTCGCTGTCCGCCCTCCATGGTCCACCAGCCACCCGGCCAGTGACATGATTCGGTATGTACCTTAGGAACTACGGACAGCCTAAGCTCTGTGCCCAAGCGCCATGTCAGTGACAAACGGGTCCGCCGGACAACAGTCCAGCAGCGTTCAAACAGCCTAAGCGGCGCTCCAGAGTCCACCGGGCCGACAAGCACGACATCATTATAGGTGACAGAAGCGACCTGCTGACGTGCGAAATCGTGACTCCAACTCCTGACTCCGACGCGGGCCGTCCGTCTCCTCCCACCATCTTCTTCTACTCCCGCGAACCCGAGACTTCTCCTCTCCTCTCCCTCGCCCTCCCTCTTGAGCACGTCATGTTTGATCTTGGTCGTTTGTGACTCGAGTCTCGCGGATCCGGCCACCTCACTTCTTCCATCTGCGCAATAATGACCAGCGACTGCCCTTCTTTTTCTGTCTAATTGTCGGTTCTTCCCTTGGCTACCCATAGCCGACCACGGCACATAGCTCCAAATCGCCAATCCGTACTCATCTTCCACGCATCTCCGAACCCGACTGAACCTCCCACACAACCAGCCAGTCATTCACCATGGCGCGAGCCGCAAACACCCCAACCCCGTCCGATGACCGGACCCTCGTCGCGGGAGCTCACGACGACGACGATGCTTCCTCCACAATCAGCCGCTTCAGCTCGAGATCCTCCTTCGACTCCCAGACACCACCGAGGCGGAAACGTCCAAGCCCCCGCGCGGCCACCACCCTCCGAGCAATCTCCTTCATCGCAGCACTCGTCTCGGCCCTCTGCGCGGGCTCCATCACCGTCTTCTCCATGTACGGCCACATCTTCCAGGAACGCCTGCACTATACCCAGTTCCAGGTCAACGGCCTCGCCATCAGCAGCTCTATCGCCCTCTACCTCCCCGTCTCGTTCCTCGGCTACATCTGCGACCGCGTCGGCACCCCGCCCTTATCGCTCCTGGCGGCTATACTCTTCAGCGGCGGCTACGCCATCGCGGCTGGCACGTACCGGAAGCTCGAGGCGGAGAACCTCGGCGGGCTGCGCGATTACGCCGGACGGCGCATCGGCGGCGGCGCCGACTGGACGTACCCGCTCATGATCTTCGCCTTCGTCTGCGTGGGCGTCGGTACGTGCTCCATGTACCTCGCCGCCGTCGCGACGTGCGCCAAGAACTTTGGCAAGGGGAAGCATCGCGGACTGGCGCTCGCCGTGCCCATTGCCGCCTTTGGGTTGAGCGGCATGTGGCTCAGTCAGTTGGGCAGTCACGTCTTTTACGAGCGCTTGCCGGACGGTTCAGCTGGAGACTTGGACGTTTTCCACTTCTTCGTCTTCCTCGCTATCCTGCTCTTGGTGGTGGGAGTGACCGGTTCCTTCACGCTCAAGGTTGTCGACGAGGAAGAGATCTTCGAGGAAGCCGTCGAGGAGCTGGAGCGAAGCGGCCTCTTGGAGCGCAGCACCTCCTTCCTCAGCGCCCGCAGTCTCGAACGCAGCAGAAACTACGGCGCAATCGGACAAATCGACGACGAGGAAGACGGCGGCGTCTTGGGACCGGCGGAAGACGATGCCAAGCTCAGGAAGAAGCTCGTCCTCAACGCCGAGACCAGGAGCTTCCTCACGGACAAGACCATGTGGTGCTTCGCCCTAGGTTTCCTGCTGATGATTGGACCCGGCGAAGCCTTCATCAACAACCTCGGTACCGTGATTGGCACGCTGTACCCTCCCACCATGCACTACGTCGGACCTCCGACCTCGGCCGCGACGCACGTCTCCATCGTCGGCATCACCAGCACCATCGCCCGTCTCGCAACCGGCACCCTAACCGACCTCCTCGCGCCCTCGCCGCAGACGCAGCACCTTCAGGTCTCCTCCACGTCGCCCTTCCTCCGCGGCAGACCCACCATCTCCCGCGTCGCCTTCCTGCTCTTCTTCGCCATCATCTTGTCCCTGGGCCTGGTCGCCCTGGCCTCCGGCCTCATCCAAGAACACGGCGAGCGGTTCTGGATCGTGTCCGGTCTGATCGGCTCCGGGTACGGCGCCGTCTTCAGCCTGACGCCCATCATCATCACCGTCATCTGGGGTGTCGAGAACTTTGCGACAAACTGGGGCATCGTCGCCATGTTCCCCGCCCTGGGCTCGACGTTCTGGGGTCTGGTGTACTCGGCCGTGTACCAGTCTGGCGCCGAGAACTCTCCCCAGCGCGGCGGCGGCAGCGGTGGCGGCGGAGACGTGTTTTGCTATGGCGCGCAGTGTTACGCGCCGACGTTCTGGGCCATGGCCGTCACTGTTTGGGTGGCGTGCGGCATGATCCTCTTTGCCTGGAAGGGCAAGGGTGGATGGGCGCAGCGCGGCATCATCATCTAACTCATTAAACAACACTGTTACTACAATATTACATTAAATATCTTTCTTTTATAGTGTCAGGCATGTGTATCGGCGTTTGGGCAAGAACATTTGGGTTGAATAAGGCGTGTCATATCTATTCCGCCGTGGTTTCATTGGGGTATATAATCGCGTAAAGTCATAAAATATCCGGGCCAGTCCTGTTTTCCCTCTCGTGATCCAAAAGTCGCTCTCGCATCGCACACGCATATACTTTCTCTCTTTCTTTCTTTATTTCTTTCTCTCGCCTTGATTTTGGATTGTTCGATCATAGCATCATAATTCCTACCAAGGTCGCAAGCCCCATAATCAGGCCCGCCATCAAAGGCGTGTTCGTCCTCGCACTCGCGTTCTGCTGGTCGTACTCACTCATCGTCTTCATGCAGATCCATTGCGAATACAAGAGCTTGTCAAACAAGACGCTCATGACGGGCGTGTACCCGTTCAGCCCGCCTGTCGGCTTTGTCGTGCTCCCGTCCCCGTCGAGAATGAGTTCGACGTCGGTCAGCTTGAACATATCGTACGACTGCGGCAGCGTCGGGTGGCAGTCGTTGTTGTCGTCTGCGTCGCCCGCGTCCTGCGCCAGCAGGGTAGGGGCGTCCGGGCCGATGACGTCGACGCCGGTGATGTTGACGGCGCCGGCGACGAGGTTACAGTGGAAGTCTTTATCTGTACGCGTCCGCTCCTCGAGGTACATTGCGATTTCCTGGCACCGGGGTAGGGTCTCGTCATTGGAGTGGGCGGTGCGGAAGTCGTCTACGTAGCCCGTGATCTCGTCCATACAGGACTGCTGGAGCCAAGGGCTACAGTCTGTGGTGTCGAGGTCGGGTACCTCGTGCGGTGTGGGCAAGGTCTGGAACATGTGTTGGAAGATGAGGGCACATCCCTTGGGATAGCTCTCCGACGAGAGATTTAGTCCCGCGGGGGCGCCGAGGTAGTAGGATTGGGTGTAGAGCTGCTTCTTTATCCAGCTGGGGGAGTTTGCCGGAGCGGGGGAGTTGGCGACGGTGGCGACGGTGAGTGAGAGCTTGCGGATGTCGGTTGTGTTCGTGTCGTCTATGGGTATGTCGAGAACCTCCGGGGCAATGCCGATGCGGCGGAGAACGGAGCCGGCGAGTGTGCAGTTTGACTCGCCAACGAGGTCGTCGACGGCGCCGGGCGGGCAGTCTACATCGGCGCAGCCTTTTAGAGAGACCTCTGTCAGGATGGGGACCGTTGCGAGAGCGGGCCCGGACCCCGCGAGAACCGTGAGGAGGGAGGTCCCCATGAGGCTCGAGGACCAGAGCCTCATTCTAGAGGGGGGCGTATCCGTAGGGGACACCGGCCGGCGGGATGAACTGGATTTGCTTTCGTCTCGGTTGAGTTGGTTTACGTCAAGTGTTCAGGGGAAAGCGTGTTGAGAGGGACCCGGAGACGGGAAACCGGCAAGAGGCCACGCAGGGCCAAGACCGTGATGAACAATTGTGGCCTGGGCCGAATAGGTATAAAGACCTGGGTCCCGGGACGCGAAGAGAAGAGCAGCGCGGTGGGCGCGCCGGGCTCTGCTCTGCTCTGCTGCGGCGTGCGCTGCCTGGCGGGATGCTGCGCAGGTTCCGCAGGACAATGAGAGGTGGTTCGTCTGGCACGGAAGTACGGCAACGACGGGTGAGGTTTTTGGTCTCGGCGCCGTGGTTGTTCGCGGGCGGGGTGTGGGGTGCGGGTTGCTTTGCGGTACGTTTGTGCGTGGTGTGCTGTGCTGGCTTTGCCGACCTATGCGGACTGCTAGGCAGTGGATGGGCAGAGAATGGAGTTCTGGAGAAGCAGATGAGTGTGCTAGGGCCGGTGAGTGGTAGAAGGTATCACCAACACCTTTGTCGCTGGCTTCATTGTCCGACCTCGCGTCGTTGTTGTTGATTTCTGCATTGACTTTGGGAGAGTCGAGGATTTTCCTGGGCAGAGCGCCGAGAAAAGGAAAAAAGGTGAGCAGAGAGGCAGAGCAGAGACGGACAGCCAGGAGCGGGGTGAAAACCACCGCGGTAGGAGGTACTTCGTATAGACACTGGCAAGACTGGGCAAGAACTGGTCACAGATTACATCAATGAGCGAAAAAGCAGCAACAGCGGGCAAGAGGGTCGCGTGGTGGAAGGTGATAGGCGCCCAGAAGGTGATTCTTTCCTTGGCATTTCTTGGCGCTCTCACCGTCTGGTTGGCTTATCTAAGGATCTGAGGTAAATTTCTCAATTTCACTTCGTCCACGAACTGAATTTGATGGTTTTTGAATGTCGAGTTGGCATTGAGTTGTTTGTGACGCTCAATTGAGTTGAGATGAGATGAGATGGCAGGTAAGAAACTCACTTCACACTCATCTCAAGCTTGTCATGAGCACTGAGGAATGGACGGTGAGTTTGGGTTCAAGAGTGAGTGTGAGAGTGAGGTACCTATCTGACCTGAGAGGGGTGGTGGGGTTGTGGATGACTAACCATTCTGGAAGCTTGACTGCGTCCGATTTAATCCCCGGATACCTAGGTAAGGTACCTGAGGTAAGCTTAAACTTCGGACTTTGCCAACAGCTCCTTCCAACTTCACTCACTTCCACTCATCCAACATTCCTCATGTTCATGTCCCTTTCTGCGGCTCATGCGAACCACTCGCCCTTGCTTCAACACACACTACGAATGATGTTTTGTGACGACATTGGACCCGGCCGTCAATCTACTGAGACACGACTACCGTTACGTCGAGGCATTGAGGCATTGAGGCATTGAGGCATTGAGGCATTGAGGCATTGAGGCATTGAGGCATTGAGGCAGTGAGGCAGTGCTGTAGTTGGTGCTCGACGCCTGGTTGCCCTACTTCAACCTGACCAATCTTGAGGACCCAAAATGAAATTTCACGCGTCGAATCCTCCGCAGATGCGCAGATGCGCAACAACGGCAATGCGAGGTGCTTGACCGAATCTTGCACCTTGTGCTACGAATGTCACGCTCAATTGCCTTGTTTTACGTGAAATGTGCAGTTGCTCGCCCTTTAAATGGATTAAATGCTGCTCCCCCTTCTGCCAGCATGGCCTTTCCCTCCATTTCGTCCGATTCACTTTCATTCCTTGGCATCGCAGCAAAACGACGTCGTGATCGCTTTCAGCCTGAACGCTAGCCGAACCTCATCGCACTCCACTTCTTCCCTTGCTTGCATAACGCCCTACCAATCCTCTACAACTCTTTACGAGTCTACAACCACTTGAGCATGGTCGAGACCACCCCCGAAGATGACACCCTCGCTCTCCCGCCATCGTTACCTCAGCCTGAGAATATGGGGCCCACCCAACCTCTGAAGCAGCTGCTCGAGGCTGCCATGTGTCGCTCGCTCAATCTCAACGGCGGTGATTTCAAGGAGTTCCTTCCCGAGCCTGCGCTCAACCGAATCCTCACCCCGCAGTCGGCACTAGCAGCTCTGACTTCGAGCCCTGGCATCGCCGACTTGATGTGTAGCATCTACGCTGTCACCATTTTCAACAAGCAGAAGACTTACATCAAGACCTTTGCCATTCTTGTCTTGATCGGTCGTGTCGATGCCCTTCCAGCATTTATGCTGAATTCTCTCAGCGACGAGCACTTACCATTGACATTGACCTCTACGTCAGGAGAGAAGACCACCTTGGTTCGGTCCTTGACGACCCCGTCTTGCTCCGATCTGTCATTGATGGGGCTCAGCCACTACGAGGCCTTGTCATTCGAGGCCACACAATGGAAACTCCTGGCGCCTGTTTTCGCACGACGTCAACTCGAAGACGAACCGCTCGAGTTTCCGGAAGGGACCATATTGCCGATCGTAATGCCCGAATCCTATGAGGGGTTCCAAACGCCTCGCAACAGTATGAGCCACAGTTCTCGCATTTACCAGGCTCATATTCATGCCGGGCATCACGACTTTCCCTTCTCCAAGGTCGCAATCAAAAAGCTACTTCACGGGAGATCGGAAGATTATAGGCGTGAGGTCGAAGCCCTCAAGGTATTTGGTGACATGGACCAATCTCATATTATTGAGCTCCTTGCCACTTTCAAACTTGGGAAAAACTACTACCTAATTTTTCCATGGGCGGAATCCGATCTCCGCAGCTTCTTTGCTACCGAGTCACCCTCTTTGCCTCGTCCTATCGGAAAGGCGGTAGTGCCTGCTGCCACCTGGACTGCCAAGCAGATGCTCGGCATTGCGGAGGCCTTGAAGGCGATTCATTACTGCCGACAGACAAGGCTTTCCAAATCAACAAGTCAGAGCCTAGCTTCAACAACACAAGGTTGGGGCCGCCATGGGGATATCAAACCGGAAAACATTTTGTTTTTCCATGATAGAGTTCAAGGGCAATCGCAGCTCGTTGTAGCTGACCTTGGACTCACCCGAATTCACTCCGCGACGACAGCTTCCAAGGCAGAGAGGCCAGCAGGCTTTACGTACACCTACCGTCCTCCAGAATGTGATGTGGGCTTGTATGATGGCCGAAAAGCAGACATTTGGTCGCTCGGCTGCGTCATGAGTGTAGCAGCTACATGGATGATTCTGGGGAGCAAGGGGGTTAAGACTTTCGACACCAATCGTCTGACGAAGGCCGACGATGGATTCGACAACTCCTTTTTCGAAGTTTCCAAAGACCGAGAGAAAGGGATCCGAGTCAAGTTGAAAGCAGCTGTATCTCACGTGAGTAATTGAGCAGAGAGCCTCGTGTAACATCATTGCATGTATACTAACGCAGACTTGGGTAGTGGATCAGTCAACTGCATCGAGCCCCGACAGCCAGTATGTTCACACACGATCTTCTGAATCTCATTCAGAGTGGGATGCTAGAAGTCGACGGCTCCAAGCGATTGTCGAGCGGTGATATTGTGTCCAGCCTTGAGAAGATGTACGACAAGTGCCGTGGTGACCCTAGCTACACGAAAGCAGATCATTGTGGACATATGGCAAGCTCGCTAGGTCAACAGCGGCTCTTGACAGGACCTCCTCATGCACCTCAAGCTCGGCCTCTCGCTGTAAACATGATGAAGTTACCAACTTCAACGCAACAAAGTCAAACGTTGCCGGCAACCACATGCCAGGCTCGATTCGGCTCGGATTACACTAGCTCAACCGCTGGGCCTTTTCCTGAGTTCGGCGCAAGACTTAGTGTGACCTTACCCACCTCGTTTTCAGAGCCATTTCTTCCTGGTCAAGCACATTATGGCGCTGTAAGCCAGCCATACTCTGCCTTTGGACAGATGGGTTTCTTTACTTCACCAGCTATTGGCGAGCTCACATCTCCAACTGTGGAACAGTACCTACCTTCTTCCGAAACCCCCCCGGTGCCTGAACTCGCAGCTACAGAGCCTGCTAGTGGGAGAAAGAGGGTTCATGAGCCAGAGAGCAACAAGACTGAGGTTAAACGGCAAAGATCGCAGAAATCGCGGAAAACAAAGGCCGCATTCGGCACTTCAGGGCTTGAAGACCCTGTTGACCCGTCTTCCGAGTCTCTGGCGGGTGCTCAGGATGAAGCACGCCCTTTTGCATGCCCTTACTACAAAAACGACCCGAAGAACTACTGCAAGAAGAAGTGGAAGCTTTGTGGAAGCTCCGGATGGGAGACCATTCCCAGACTCAAGTAAGTTTCGCTTTGCCCTTGCCCGAACTGAGTGTCATTTCAGTCACTTCAACACTACGCGGAAGCATATGCTGATGTACCACACTAGGGAACACCTCTACCGTGCTCACCATAAGCCGGGGCTCAAATGCAGTAGATGTCTTGAGCGACTGCCGTCAAGGGAAGATCTTGACAAACACTACAATGCTAAGGTTCGATGTGTCAGGCGAGATGACAAAGTTGATGACATGATGGACGATGCTCAATGGGGCTTATGTCAAGCCCAGATGCGCCGTAAGCCAGGTGCCTACAAGTGGGGTGAGATCTATAAGATACTCTTTGGGTCAAACCCTTCGGGAACCATGCCTTCTCCCTGTATGTTTTTTCTCAGAAACCGAGATAGATACAATATGTACTTAACTGACATTCTCCAGATCGCGACGACCTTGAGATGTTTTGCGAGATGTTTTGCGAGTTTCTTGAGTCCAAGAAACGACAGTCACCTTGCGACAAATTCAGCATCGACGAATTTATGAACTTGGTTCGCGAGTATCAGAATCTCGGGTCTCTCACGCAGTCTACCGACGTCTCCGAGATGCTGCCGTCGTTGACTGGTGGTTGGTCCAACAACTCGACCTTGTCTTCTGTTATCATGCCGATGGAGAACGAACCGGAGGCAGTTCATTTTGAGTATGAGAGAACGACTTGTGCCAACTATCAATCACAGCAGACTTGGGCGATGGGACAGGATGCATTAGGTGTTTTCCCTGATGAAAGTCAGTCTTTTCCGGAGGAGTTTGGCGATCTTTTACACTTGGATCCAAACGGGTCTGTGATTTGAGGGAGGGACTTGGGATCCTAGGTCGCGCGTAGGATCCCGAGTGTCTGGTTTTCCTTTTTGTCTTTTTTGAGATACCACCGGCGTTGTCTGAATTGTCAATATACGGCATCGAAATTAGACTTTCATATCGTATTTCAAGTTCGGGTTTCCTTTCATATTCAGCAGAACGACGTCATCCTCCATGGGCCTACGTCATCCATGTATTATCTATAGGTCACGACTGAAGAAGACTTCAGCTGCATCTGAAGTTGAAAACTCTTCGTCTGTTTTATTATAGTGAAAGACTTCTAATCCATGTAAAGTAGGCACCGCTGCCAGGTCCAATCACGCCAACTTCTTGGACGAGATAGTCATGCAAGCAACATTAATATGTGCAAAAGTGAGGTCACCGTGAAAGTACAGACCGATCACAAGCAAGGAAGGACTCAAATTTGATGATCATTACCGACCTAATGAGATACAACTAACCAGACTTGATACAAAAATTCGAGAAGCCAAACACCGGAACTCACTCGCATTCCCAGATCCCAAAACATACACACCATGAGCAACTATGAACTTTCCGAAAGAATCTAAGTGAAAGCGATCGAGCTTTCAACTAACACCCGCACCCACAAGACGCACACCCCTTCCCACATCCAACGTTAGCCAAATTCGCACAATCGGAATTCGTATCACACGTTTGCCAGTCTCCGTACCCCCTATTCCGCGCAGTCCAGCACCACCGCCCGTCCCCGTCGCACGCCTTGTAGCAGTAGCCCCCCGAGCAGCCGTAGTCGCCTGGGTCAACATCCCAGCAGTTACTCCAGCCGCCACCGCCGTGCCGCCAGCCCCAACCCCAGCCCCAGCGGTTTACGGTGGTGGAGTTGACTCCTCCTTGCTTGCTGTCTGCCGACGCAGGACGGGGTCCGACGGCGTGTTCGGGTCGAGGGGCCGCGCCTAGGGGGTGGTCCTGGCACGTGCGGATCTGTGCGGGATCAACGCCGGTGCCACCGGCGACGGAGGTGTCGAGGGATGCGGCGGTGTATGTCATTACGCCGAGGGATCCGCACTGTTCGGCGGTTGTGGCTGGTGCTACGGCTGCGAGGATGGGGGTGGCGAGGAGGAAGAGGTGGGAGGTCTTCATTATGTGTGAAGGGGTTGAACAAGGATCGGTGGGATAGAGTGAGATGGCTGGAGCGTTTTTCTCAGGATTGAGTTTGCGGGGGATCCGGGTGCGAGGAGTTTGGTGCGGGTGTCCCGACTACGTGGATAGAGTTTAGACTGACGGGAGTCTCGGGAATTTTAGATGCTTGTTTATGACGATTTGTTGGAAACAGGGTTGTTGACGATGATGAGGATGAGGATGAGGGTGTGGGTGCTGTCACTGGCTTTTCGGATGCGATGATGTATGAAGATGTGATGAATTTGTATTCTCAAGAGTTGAAGTTGGTAAAGGGGGATGAGCCAAATTCTTATACTTGGGTTTCCTACACCCTTTCTCAAACGAACAATGATCATGTCCGTTGATCTCCGTCCCCGTCCCACAAAGTTTTGATCTCGATGAAGCTTGCAAATTGCCGTCACCTCCGCTATACTCTGTTGGAAAAGCAAGTTTAACGTACGAACACGAAATCTGCGGGCATCGGACTCGGCAGAGTGATGACTTTCGGGATACCTTTTCGATCTTGCTTTGAACCCCGACCGAGGCTCGAATTACAAGAAAGTCTTCCGGTACCTTCGGCTTTTCTGGAAAAGCCCGCCTCTTTTCGTCTGGAAGGATATTCAACGTCATTTCGAAGTGCTGATAATGACCGAGTCCGAGCTCATCGACAGCTTGATTACGAGAAAACCTACAAAGTCATCGCTAAGCTTGTTCCGAAGTAATCCGAGGCATGTTTTTCACCCAGCCTATGTGATGAGTCCTGATGTCACTCTTCAATCTCTTTCTCCCATATATTCGAGTTCATCATGCTATAGAGTTCATGAAAACTCCGAGATTCGAGGCGGCGTCATTGGGAAGTCGACTTGACTTGAGCTTGAAGTCCGGCATCCAATATCTTGCATACTTTCCGTGACGTCCCGCGACTTTGACATCAGATGGATGTCAAGTAATAGCGGTTACATCCGTCATCGTCTCGATTCTATAACCGCACATGTGATCTAAATTCTTCTTGATTATCTGCTGCTGCCTGAGATCACTGCATCATAGCATGCCGGCTGCACGACTCAACGCCCGCAAAGTTACGAGTGGACAGAGCGCTTTGCTGAGAGGTCAGAGTGTTTTGATGTTCAACCTGGAGGCAGACATATTGTGTCGGGTCGGAATCGTCAACTCAAAATCGAAATCAATTGTATCTACGTTTCAAAGTTCGATTCGTAGAAGTCGTGACAACAATGACAAAGGTATCTTGCAGGCGAATGCCGGTGTTGGAAGATCCTTCGATACATGTGAACTATTTCATATTACATTTTGAAATATGCTTAAAGTCTCCCATTGGAGTGTCAACTATCTTGCAGGGCTTTCTAATCAAGCTAGGTTGAGAGCTACAAGGATAACTTATGCTTGTGCTGGTCACAGGGGTGAACCAAGACTACATTGGACCTCAGACTCTACGCTTATCTCATCATGCGAGCGCTCGATAGTGCATCAGAATTCTCTATCCTCAATTCCCATGCATGATGGGTTCAGTTTCAGTCACCTGAACTACCTTAACAGCATAATGGCTGAGTATGCTTAAGACCTAGGTTTAGTAGATACTGCATCAAAGCTTAGACAATCTGTCTCTGCCATTCGCCGCGAATCTAGGTCGCGCTGAAATGGATATCCCTTCCAACTTTCCCTCGTTCCTCCATTTACCAATGTACTCCAAGAAAGACACCGTACCTTCAGCCCACACGACTCCCCGTGCCTGCTTGGCCCTCTCTCTAGGGTCGTCTGAGGCCGCTTGACCGTGTCCGTTGAAGTATCCCGGGGTACATCCCGCAAGCGATGAGAAGAATGGGGCCCTCTTCGCAACTTCCAGGCTGTGCTGTTCCTCTGCCTCTCGAGTCACCTCGACGATGGCCCTTTGACCAGCACCGACTCGTTTCTCAGCCTCGGAGATGATGTATGTGACATGTCGAGCAATGAGACCCAACATGAACACATTGTTGCCCGTGATGGTACCCTGAGACGTACCAGAGAAGAAGAGGTTGGGAAACTCGTTCGTGAGGTATCCATGCAGTGTGGCAGCGCCGTTGCGACGCCATTTGTCGTCTAATGAGATGCCATTTCGTCCGAAAACCTCGATGCCGACTCTTTCTGCTGGACTGCCTCCCGTACGACCACCGGTGACGGAATAGCCAGTGCTAAAGATGATGATATCGACGGGATACTCCTCACCGGCGATGACGATGCCTCTCTCTGTGGCATGAGATGGCCCCTTACCGTTAGTGTCGAGGAGATGTACATGCGGATCGTTGAAAGCCTGTAGATACTCATCGCTGAATGTTGGACGTTTACACCACGATGGGTACCAGGGCTTCAATTTCTCCGCGGTAGCTTCATCCTTCACGATGCTGCTGACTCGAGCGCGCACACGTTCCATATGTGGCAGGTCCAAGGCGTGGAACCAGGTGGCCCTTCGGTCTTGGTCTTCTGGGGAAGGGTTGACGATGCCATGGGCGGGCGAGCCCATGACCGCGGAGTAAGCGGGCATATCGGTCCAGCCATCGTTAACCAAGTTGGGCTGGCCTGGCAAGAGGGCGTTGGTCATGTGTCGGTTCAAGTTGATCTGTCTCTCAAATTGCCAACCTCTCTTTCTGGCGACAGTAGCTTTGAAAGTTTCGGGGTCTGTGTCTTGTTGACCGCGTTCTTTGACGTATGCTGGCGTTCGCTGCACCACGTACAACTCCTTTGCGAACTTTGCGAGCGTGGGGATTGCTCCTATGGCCGTTGCGGCCGTGCCGACTATTGCGACTCTTTTGTCTTGCAAGTTGCTGAGTGTTTGGTCTTCCTGAGATCCTCCGGTGACATCATAGTTCCATCTAGATGTGTGGAATATGTCCCCTTTGTAGGAAAGGAGACCGGGAATCTTTGGCACTTGTGGCTTTGTGAGAACACCCGCGGCCAGGTAAACATACTGCGCCTGGATTTCTTGCTTGATAACAGGTTCTCCGGGACCACGTCTCTCAGAGAGACTGATATTCCAGAGCTCCTTGTCATCATTCCACTGCACACTCTGCACGTCAGACCGGAACAGAGTCTTGTCGTTAAGCTTCCATCGCGACGCAATGAGCTCGGCATAGTGTCGAATTTCCGCGGCCGGAGCGTACTTCTTGGTCGGAATGTAGCCACTCTCCTCAAGCAGAGGCAAATAGCAGTAGCTCTCGAGATCGCAGTGCAATCCAGGATACCGATGCCAGTACCAAGTCCCGCCAAAGCCGCCAGCCGCGTCGACGATTCGGATCTCGTCGGCTGTTGCGACACCGGACTCGATGAGGTTTACGGCGTACAAGAGTCCCCCGAACCCGGCTCCTAGTACGAAGAATCGAGTATGCTTGGTGTCGCGGAAGGGCGATGGCCTGGCATTCAGTGTTGCGTGGTCCGCCCACGGATCGTCGAGAAGCGAGTGGAGTCGATCCTCTGAAGCTTCGTTGAGGGGTTGGAATTGTGCAGGGCCTTCTGGTCTCAGTCTCTTTTCTGCTTCCTCGGCATACTTTCTTCTGATAGCCTCAAGCTTTTTGGGGTCAACGTGGGAGACAGGGTCTTGCGATGCCGGTGCCGACATTATTTGATTTGCGTTCAGGTTTCTTCAATTATTTCAGATCGAAGAGGTGATGCGGGACTCGCGGCAACAACGAACTTATGTCCAGTAACCGCTGCAAAAGATAAAGTTGTTTATTCCTAAATCTCGGTCAAGCTGTCGCTGGCTTTGACTTGATATACTCGCTGCTGCTGCTGACCCGCGTCTGGATGATAAGGCAAGCCGCACGTCATTACAAGGCCCCCGATACGCCATCGTCCCTCGATCACACAAGCTGCAAGCGTTCGCACGAATGCTGGCGTAACAACTCCGACATCGCTTTACAGAATGGAGGCGCACAGTTTTGCCTATAATCATTGCCACTTAGACAATCCCACAACATCTAAATGTTGATTTGGCTTAACGTGCGGTTTCACAGTCTAAGTGTTCAAGTTGAGACATTGGGACATATTAGTAGTTCGCAATAACATTATGTTCCAATCCACTTCAAGGTCCAACATCACGGTAGTTCCTCTTTCTTTCCAATGATATCAGCTCAATCGCAGCGTGTCGATCTCGTACTCCCACGACCTAAGCGGGTTCTTTTTCTGAACTCTACATAAGTTCTTCGCACCCGATGTCTCGCTATGACGAACTTGTTACATGTATTGGTCTTAGTCTAGGCCTTCCAAGGCTTTAATACTTACCAATCTTATCAAGAGACCGCGGTTAAGTATGGCAACCTGCAGCCAGTTTTTGTGGATTACGACTAGTCATCGATCAGCTGTTGACCGGATGTTCTGCCGGCTTTAGGCACCAGTCCCCACCTCTTCGTGATAGCGTCAATTCTACAAGGTCCACAAGGGGCCAACAAACTGACAACAGTCACAGCTGCACGTGCCTAGGTAAAGATGTAAGCACAATTCTCATCATCAGTCCTTCTATATTTACCACTAATAATTATCTTTCTCAGCTTAATCATCATGCTCCGACTGGATCGAATCTGAACGGCAAAAGCTTACAACAATGTGTCGCGTCTGCGAGCGACTCTCTTACGACCCCCCACTCCCGGACGTTCCTTCGGAGAATGAAGACGACAACGATTATGTATATCGACCTTACGACGTACCGGTGAGATCGATACGTAAACAGCTTATCCCGATTCAAATAGTAGTAGAACCGGCGCCAAGTCATGACGGAACTCCGATTTTCGCCGCATGGGAGAAACCGAGAATCGCTCAGCGAGGCGACTGGGACTATCCATCCCCCCGGCCAAAGCCACCTTTTGGTATGGCGGTCTACGATATCACCCCAACAGCAACCCCAACCCGGGCCGCAAAGATGGCGCACGCTCTCTCGCGTCTCACCAGGAATCGCAATACCGAATGGGGCGGGGACAGGATAGAGGTCGTTTGCTTCCCTCTTCCATCACATCTTACCTGCCAAGAGCGTGCAAAGGCCTGCATTAGCCATCACGGACACGAAGTCCGGAACCGTGCTGTAATAGACAACATTGATGACGCCAAGTTCTGGTTTCTTCCCGAGGACTTTATCAACGAGTGGTATTCCCGCGGACTTATCCTAATCGACCGGCTGGAGGACACCTGGGAAGACGCTTTCGATTGTGACGAAAGGGTGATCCAATACGAAGATGAGAACACCCGAAGTCCCTTTGGCAGTTTTGCAACAGTCTATTGGCTGCCGCGCGAAGCGACCTGGGAATACTATGAAGAAGAGTTTCGTCCCGAGGATCGAGTGAACATGCAAAAGTATGGGTTGGAGAGCATCGGTAGGATGCTGGGACGTGAAGGGATTGGCAATAGTATCAGGGGCTTCTACGAACACTTCACGTCCGATGGAGTTCTGGACCGAGAATTGGCTGTCGCCAGGACCAGGTAAGAATTGCGAACCCATCTACCCAAGGGCGCACAGAACTGATTGAGATGGCTGCAGAAGAGTTGATGCAAGACAGAATTCTTCGAAAAAGAAACTGGCAAGATTTATGAACCAGACTTGCCCCAGGGACTAGAAGGCTTTCCGCGGACCGTGGTAATGGGTGCATATTTCATTCTAGTCATTACACGGCAGGAATTTAGTTCTTCACGGAGCTTCCTCTTGGAACATGAGAGGAGTCTCTGACACTACTCTGCGTCGGGCCTATCTAATGGCATGCTGGAGTGGAACCCTGCAGTAGTTTGTGGCTATGGTCTGCTGCGGAAACACTTTTTATAGGGTCAAGGCGTTTGGCAACCAAGAGTTCAGTTGAGACATGATGGAATTCGCAATCACATCTCTTCTCAGAATTTCGGTCTTAATTCTGAAATTATAAGCCTAAGATCGGGGTATAAAATAATAAATCCGCAGCAAAAGTTCCCACGCCGACGCCCGTGGCTGCTAGTTCCCTTAGCCACTTTCCCGTAACTCCTGAATAGCAGCACAGCAGCCGAAAGTATTGCTCATTAATACCCATAGCCCTGGCCGCTGGTAATACCACTGCTTGTGAAACAAATGCGATCGGTTCTGTCCCAATGGCCAATGCCAGCATAATCCTGTAGCCTCCATCACCACGCCCTCGAATGCCTTCATGTTCATTCTTTTCTTCATCGTATGATCCCATATAATATCTGCTGCCTGTAGTGATCTGAAGCTGGCAATTATGTCCTAATAGACTCCAGAATATTCGTGTATATGTCGGTCATCAAGTGGTCGTCTGTCGGATACTTGCGATGACGATTGAACTTCAACTTTTGCTTGTCGGTGCTGAGAGGAAATCATATCGCGGATGATGTATGAAGGCTGGGTGATAGAAGGTCGACTGATGATTGTGAATGGAGTCTGCTCTTTACAGGCTTTGGTAGTCTGATGTGCGAGGCTTTGATGTTCCGTCTGAGGTCTTCGAGGTTATGTGGAAGCTGCCGAGCCACTTTCTGGCTTTTCTAGTGCCGATCACGTCCATGTTGTCTTGTGTCTTCGAGTCGTCACGACCGCCGAAGCTGTACTTCGACTTTTCGGCTACCGCGGCATCCGTCCTTGCTTTTTCGAGAGCACGCTGTCGGTCCGCAGCGAGAGCCGCGTGGAGGGGCCTCTGGTTTCTCGGGTAGACTGGCATGGTTGTGAATTGAAAGATGGGATATGTCGAGCAAGATTTTATGACCACCGTGTAGTGGGTATCTTGGTGTGGATGAAAGCTTCTTCTCGTCGTAAGATGGAGAGTTGTAACGTCTTGTGATAGGGAAGATTGGTAGTTTGCACCAACAACAAATGGCGTCTGGTCGGAAGTATGGCCTTGGTATTTATGGAACCTATCCTCAAGCCACGTTTGCCTTTGAACAGGAACACATGTCAATGATTTCCAATTACTACGAGTTAAGGAAAACAAGTTCCCAAATCCCCCCCTAGGTCGTCATTTTGTCGCAAAGTGCGAACGTCCTTTGGCGGTGTCTAATGTAAGCCACGCACACACCGACCCCGCATAGTCCGAAAGTCCGAAGAGCCGGTGCAATAAGAATCAGTCAGCAGGAGCCAGCCACATGGTGGCGCTGATTGGGCTTCCCCAGGTTCAGTGTGTGCTTAGTTAATTACGGGATTAGTAAAGGATCTTAGAGTGATCCTCCCTGGGCAGAAAGTTGTTGATCTGCTTTCAACACGTGCTCAGGTAGACAGCAGCGCCAATCAGCATATGGCAAGACATCTTACATGTTGTTGGATGCGCTACTCAACGTCATTCTCGCTTAGTGTCGAAGTGTTGCTTGATAATAGCGCAACATTGGACATCCTCGACGGCCTAGGACGATACTTTCCACCATCACAGGAGGTTTCCCCTTCATGACATTATTAAGCTCCCGCCTTTGACCAACTATCTGGGAAAGAGGTCATCGCCGATCATTGTTCGCCGACATGTCTATTGAGCGTGCCTTGAACTTAACCAGCATCGCGGAGACGCAATCTCTCTACGACGACTGGGCCGAAACTTACAATCGCGACCTGCTAGGCGCAGACCAGGAGTACGTCGCACCACTCCTTGCCAGCGAGCATGTGGTCAAGTATGTCGGCCCGTCTGCCATTGGGAAGTCGAAAATCCTAGACGCTGGGTGCGGAACAGGCCTTGTCGGAGTCAATCTCGCGAAGCTCGGAGCCACGCAGATAGACGGCATAGACCTCAGCCAAGGGATGATGAAGGTGGCTGAGAGATCTGGTGCATACCAGTCATTGAGCACGACAGACCTGTCCAAGTCTTTGACGCAGGCCTCTGACTACTATGATGTTGTCGTCTGCGTCGGTACGATGACTGAGGGCCATGTGGGACCCGGAGCTTTTGACGAGTTTGTGAGGATCGTCCGCCCTGGCGGGTTCGTTGTCGCAACGGTGTACGAGACTGTATGGGAGAAGAAAGGCTACAAGGAAAAGGTGATTTCACTTGACAAGCTTGAAAAAGTCAAACTCTTGAGCGACCAGTTGGAAGACTATAGACGTGGAGCGCGTGCGGTCATGGTTACTCTCCAAGTAAAGTGACGAATGTCAAGTGATAGTTAGCAGATGTTCGCCAAAGACCTTTGAAAAAGTACCTCAGAGGAGGTTACGGCTATGCGGAATCGGCAGTTATCGTTGCTAAGGAACATTTCAGTCAGATAGGTCTTCATTCCATCATACCTACACAAACGCAGGAAATTGAGAGTAGATTATTTAGAAACCTGGGCACTAGCCCTCAACCCAATCAACCCAGGTTGACCGTTTCTGAAACGACTGAAATCTTTTCCGTTTCGCTCCCGAAATTTGAAGCCTCGACATTCATTGCAGCTTTTTATCGCTGAGGTACCTTACCCAACGAGATGCTGATGTACAATACCAGAGCAAAGACCGGGGCAGTTAACCAGCAGACTAGCCGTCTTGAAAGCGACCCCACTGTCAGTCGAGAGACGCCCAAGGTGGCGGTTTGCCCTCCGGTCCTTTCGATGCGAAGGAGTCCTCTCTCCGGGCTTGCCGCCGCGGCACGACCTAGCCCCCTCGGCGCGGGGCAAAGAAGAGCGGAGCTTTCGACGGGGATCTGTCGCCGGCGCGGCTTGGGCAGCCCGGACACTAAACTACTCAGGCCCTCAGCTCGAGGGAAATTTCAACAAATTCACAAGACCCGCCTTGCTAGCTCAATCGGTAGAGCGTGAGACTCTTAATCTCAAGGTTGCGGGTTCGACCCCCGCGTGAGGCTCAAATCCTCACCGCGATTGGCAAAGCCACTCTTCGGGTTCTTCTTTTTTCGTTTTTTCTTTCTCAAAGAGATTCTCTTCCTTGACGCTGTTCCTTTTGTTCCCACAGAACAGCGTTCAAAAAGGGAAAGAAATATACCTTGACCCGGTCGATTACATAATGAAATGATGAATTCGTAAAATTCAGAAGATAATTCAGCTCGATCGCAGAGTAACAACTGTCGTCGCCATCGGGTACACGCGAAGACGCGCGAAACCCACAAGCATGCTTCAGGAATGATCACTGACACGAGCACGCGATCACCAGAACATCGGTCCACAGTGTCGACATCATACGAGCATAATACAGATTTGATGTCTCTGCGACACGGTGAGACCATCCAGTCACGATGACAAAAAACAAAAACTCTTGGTCTAGCCTAGGTGAAGTGGGCAAGGTAGACTGACTGTAACCATCACCATCTCTTACACGCTTCGCCACGCGCAGAACTAATCCGCGGGCAAATACATCTCGCAACACTCTTACAAGAGTTTTTGTAAACCCCTAACCCCTCTCTCTAGTCTCCAATCCCCATCCAACCTCCCCACACACGCACATTAGCACCACAACACCGCAATCGACCTAAGCGACCTAGTAAAACAACAATCATCACTAAAACCCCCAAAGGTCAGAGCGTAGATATCGACGATCAAGGGTCCAGGCTACCTACGAAATAAGCGAGACAATCACCGAAATCTGACAAAAGGCACGCTAGGATAGCCGGGATAGTTGATGACGATCATCCCGGGACGCAAATCCTCTAGCATCAACCCCGTCACGATCATCGCCGGCCCGGGCTCCCGGGGATCACCAAGTTTAAACTAGCGGGTCCTCCCCTCCCCTTCTCTAGTGTAGACTCTACCCGGTCCCGCGAGCAAGGGGTGGGAGTCAGTGAATGGGCGGGGGAGAGAGAGAGAGATCTGAGCGAGTGGGAAAAATGGAAGGTGGAGGGGTTCAAGGGACCGTGAGGTTCGTTCTCGTTTATCGGACAGTTTCCGCCCCCAAAGACGGGCGGAGGATGACAGCCGAGCCAAAGGACCTTGAAGATTGGTCGGTGTAAGTAATGTAAAGCACATGGCACCGGGGAATTCCCGTCCAAAGAAGAAGAAAAAACCGGGACTCTTCATCTCGACACTGTTCGCGTTGGAAAGACATGTGGTGGAGGATATGCAACTTTCAAGATGGACCGCTGCGGAAGGTTGAGCCGGACTAACAAAGTCTTGAGGCTATGTAGAACACAGGCAACCCCCCTCCTCCCCCCAAGCCCGGGCAACATCACCCATCCTTAACCAGCAAGACTTGGCTTTGGACGCCAAAAGGGAAGGGAAGAAAAGAAGGTTTCCCCATGCCATCCTTGTGTCAAGTATGACACGCATCTGCCTCCGGTTCCCGCAACGACCGTGAGACTTGGCTCACTAGTCAGGGCACCACCATCACACATTGCAGGCGAGGGATCAGTAAAGTAAAGTAGGGTGATGCTTACTACCTTCCATCGCTCGCTCGCGGGCCCCTCGTGGTGCTAGAGTGTCACAGTGGTCACGTAGCATCACCGAGCCTCCCATCCCAGCGACGCCTAGAGAAGACGATACCACCCTTCCCGAGCCCCTCCCTCCCTCTCCTCCGTCTGTAAATTCTCCTCCGGTGTACTCCCCGGCTCTCTAGTCCCCAATTCCCTTACAGTCTCAGCAGTAACCCCTCTCCTCCGCTTCAGCTCCCCCTCCTATGTACGCTGTAGATCGTGCTACGGGATAGACCTGTCACCGACGTCAAACTCAAGAAACACGCGATGAAGCTTTCCGCCCTGAGGTCGGTGCGGACAGATTCTCTTCACGACGCAGAGGCAAGAGAGGCGCAGCAGCACCACGATTCAAGAGCTCAAGACACCAACCCACCCAGTGTAACCAACTAACGTAGGATCCATCTCCACGATCCGTAAACTGTCACTTTGGTCCCTGGTGTAACAACACACGTGTCACCAGCTCTCGTCAGAAGCGCGAGATCACCCTTCTCCCAAGACCCCTCCAAAGTGAAGCCCCAAACTCAAGCCCCCCGCCTGCGCCTCTCCTTGTCTCCCAGGGGAGGGCCGGGATGTGAAAGACAACCCGACGATCACATGGGTGTGGAAGAACCTCGTTTCCACAGGTGGCGAGGAGTACCTAGACAGCATGATTTGAGTTATCAATGGCGGCTAGAGAAGGGGAGAAACTTGGGAAGAGGGGAATAAACGAGCCGGCAGAGCGGTCGCCAAGCCGGCATGCTGCCAAGAGAATTGGGACGGAGTCGCTGCCGAGAAAGCTCGTTGTTCATGTCTGCGAAGCCAAGCCTGCCTTGTCAGTGGTGTTGCGATCCTGACGGTTTTTGGTGCTCTGACGAAAGTTCGTAGGGGCGGTCTCCAAAGCTGCGACTCAGGGAGAGATTCCTTCTTCCCGGTCTCTTTTGTCAGTAGCCAAATCTTCAACGCTGAACTCCCATGACCTCACGGAGACCATCCTGAGGCTGTCCGCCATCTTTCGAAACCTTACCAACGTAGCCAGCCACCTAGACGACTCGAACTGCAAAATTGTGTAGCCCGCGAAGTAGCTGTAACCAGGTATTGGAAATCCCTCGCGATGAGTCCAGAGTTGCTCGCCTCCAACATTGCAAACCATGAATCGCATCCAACTTCTCCAAATATCAACACATTCCTCACGATCCAGTAACGGCCCCAGGGGAAGAAGGAATTGTTCATCATGGCCTGTAGTAAAAGGAGATCTCGCGAGTACCATGCCTCTGCGAGTCCCCCTAGGCTCATTTCTTGCTTCATTTGTACATAAAAAAGTGTCCTTTGTGCAAGAAAAAAAGGTTTCAGGTGCAATTGCACTTTCGTCTTTTTTCCCCCAAACTCTCCGTGCAACAACAACATAAACCCCCGTTTTGCAAGCCTGTGGTACAGTAACAAACAAAAAAAGGGTAAAAAGAAATGATGAACAAGTAGCGATATGCCATATAGACAAAAAAAGACACCCAATTCAGACCGATTCCAGCCCCAATTCATCCTCTCTGCTGGGTATTGCACCAAAAGGAAAAAAAGGCCCGGCCTCTTCCCCATCCCCTCCTTCGCCTCCTCGCTGTGCCGCGTCCATTACGAAAAACCATCCCTATGCCATAGCCCTCTTCTTCTCGAAGTGTTTGCAACTCCCTTTTTTTTTTTTTTTACCCAGGCGCGGTCATCCAGCGAACCGGGCCGTGAACAAAGAGGAAAAAAAGAAAAAGCAACCGGGAATAGGCTTCTGGCCTACTTCCGTACCTCCGCCCTTCTCGCCTCTTGCTGTTAAGATGGTGCAGACATTAAGGTGTTAACGAATGGTTTGAGGGGGCCTGTATGGCTACTCCCGCTCAGGGTTTGTTGAGATCCAAAGAATGGAAGGAAAAAAGAGAGAGAAAAAGGAATGATCGGATCAAAGTAACTCTTGTAATAGAGAAAAGTAGATGAGAGAGAAGTCGAGTGAAGAAGACGTTGTAAGCCCCTTGCGACAACACATTATCGTACATCGGAGTTCTTTCCTTGAATCCGGCTTACTGTCATGGGACCATCATGACAGAGACCCCTTTGTAGGGGCCTGACATGGTCTACATGGCTTCATTTCCGTGACGTTCGTAAACAGTCATGATTTGTTGCCTAGTGTTTGTTGTGATGTAATGGAACACCAAGAAGTGGTTGTTATGCAGCTTTTGGGGACCCCTATCGATAGGGGCTCCGATCCACCGGCCTGCCCCGTGCTATGCAAGATTGAGCCGCTTCAGGAAGAGAGCATGAGGTTCGATTCCGAACCCCTGACTCTCTCTAAATGATGTTTGCGATGCTCAACCTGTCCTGGGGCCGGCCCTTGGTGCTCGTTGTTGGGCTGTTGGTGCTGCTGCCTTCGCCGGGGCCCGGGATTATGCTCGGTAACGTCGGCGTGCCTTCGGTCTTGATCCCGGCCGGTAGAGCAGACGTCCAAGTCGCGGATGTCGGCGTGGGCGTAGTGTTACCTGAGGCCAGCCCTCGCAAGGCTGCCTCAAGGCGTTCCCACCCTCCCCACTCCTTGACTTCCTCCTCGCTCAAGCCAGTTCTTTGCTCAGCGCTGAAGAGCCCGCTGCTGGCACCGCCAGAAGCTGTGATGGATCCGGGGGAGGTCGGGGAGAGGATGGCCTCGCGCTCGCCGCCGGCCCAGACCCAGGCCGAGTCTGGCGCCGCCTGCAGATCAGCGCTGACATATGCCAGGAGCTCCTCGTCCTGCATCAGAGCCTCCTGCAGCGGGGTAGGTCCGGAACGGCCATGTGGTGGAGGAGGCGGGGCGAATGGTTTCGGAGGCGTCGTGCGGGCAACAAATGCCGCATACTCGGTGCGCTTCGTGCCTAGTGTAGATACGAAGAAGGCGAGGAATCGTCCACAGGGGATGGCAACATCGCGTTTCGAGTCTATGGTCGCTAGAGCACGCAGACACGTCGTTGCATGGTCCCAGTATCCTGCCAGAAGGAGGAAGAGGGCACAGCGGAACGTGTGGGTGGTGAGGAGGGCAGTAGCGCCGTCGGCAAGGGTCGGGGTTGCACGCGAGAGGAGCGACGCTGTTTCAAGAGCAATGTGAGTGCACTGCTCCATGGCAGCAAGGCGTACATCGGACGGGCAAGTCGGAGCCAGGTTGTGGCGGTGTAACGCGAGACGAGCGTGGAGAAGGTAGGTGTAGGGCGTCAGGAGGTGAGGCGATATTTGCCCTGTGCTGGCTGTGTCGCACACTTGAGGGAATTGTGCATGGCAGGCGTTGAAGTGCGTCTCGAAGGTTGCGAGCCTGGTGGGCACCACGATTGGGGCAGCCAGTGTCTTGATCAAAGAAGAATATGACCTGACGACGTTGATAACAGCCAAGAGAGAGTGATTCAGGGGCTCGCGGCCAGGAGGAACCATAATGCCTCCCTCGTGAATATAATGATCGTCCACCGGGGCAGGCAGCGAGACGTCGCAGTCAGTGTCGTCGATCAGCACTGGTCGTCCAAGGTCGAGAGCCAAACTCCTGTCCAGGATGTAGATCGTCCACCATACCCGCCGTCGCGTTTCGCCTTCAATCACAGGCCACGGTCCGGATTCCGAGTACAATCCCAAGTCTTGTCCAGCTCGTACTGCCGTGCCTAGCCATGTCCAGGCAGCAGACTTCTGGTTCATCTCGTTGAGACAGAGAGTAACGAGAAGCAGTGCGCGTACGTTGTCAAGGACGTAGTCGTTGTTCCAAGGGTCGATCATACCCCTGGCAACTTCCAGTAGTTCCGCCGCCCGGAACGCGCGATGGGGATCCTGGGTGAATAGGCTGCCGAGTGCCAGAGCCGCGAAGAACGTCGATAACCATGCCGGCTGCACGGATTTCGTGTTGCCAATTCTGTAGAGGTCTTCGACTCCCATCTGGAATGTTGGCCAATGAAGGATGGGGAACATGGTGTGCGCGGAGCCGTAATACGTGTGCAGGAGCTGGTCAGTCGTCTGCCTGGGAGGCAAGTCTGGTCTCTGAGGATCAAACAAAGGCGTCGAAGGTGCCTGGCGGTACTGAGCAGGTGCTTTCCAGATGCCTCTGGAGAAAATGCGCATATTCGATCTTGCCCGCGCCAAGTCGTGAATAGGGGCTGGCCGCTTCCTTCGCTTGATCTCGACACCTAGCTCCGGTAGCTGAAGGGGCAATTGCTCGAGACCATCCGGATCCACGTCCATCGCACCGTCTCGCTCCTGGAGCGCTCTCTTCAAGTTGAGATTGTCCCGCCTGAGGCGTTCCATCTGCTTCTCTAGGTCCTGCACCTGCTTGATCGAGGACATCCGTCGGTTAGTCTCTTTTGTAAATTGGCACTTGACATTGCGGCTTGAACACTCTGAACAACTCGTTGTCTCTGTAGCGTCGCATTTGACCTTTCTCTCACGGCATGCATCGCAGCTCGGGTCCTTCCTTCTCTGCCTGTACGCCCTCTTCTGAGCTTGGGAAATTGGGGGTAGTGAAGCTGTTGACGGGCCAGGTGTGCTTGCCACGGAATCGGCCGATGGCAGAGAGTCGCGGCCCATCATTGAGCCAGCAGTCACTGGTGTGTAGGGCGTAAAGGCGTTTTGGTTCATCGGCGGTAGAGGTGGGATCCCAATGGGCTGAGGAGGTGGTGCCGCAGTTGTTCTCGCCCCAGTGTTCATCAGACCTCGCGGGATGTACTGGGCAGGTTGTCTCGGAGATGTGGCAGAGGAGACTGAAGATGAGTCGTACGACCTGGTGGAGGGATTAGGAGATCGTGGATATGGGTTGTGCGACGACGCAGCCATGGCGGAGCGCGGTTCAACGGACCAGTGCTCGTGAGTCTGGTTCAAAGAAGACTCCACAGGCTCCCCAAGTCGGTGGACGGTATGCAAACGGCGCTCCACGAACATACAGACGGTTTGTCGAGTCCTGCGGTTGGAAGGTTGCCGTACTGGACCAAACACACGGTTAAGTATTCCGAGAAAACTCTTTGGTGTGCAATATGATATCCTCCGGGAGAGCGAGTGCCGTGTTCTGCAGGTTGAGCTTTTCCACTATTCGTATCTCTTCGCGTCCGGGCAACGAGGGCACAACGATTATCTTTGGCGACGTTGAAGCGTATCCGTTGTGCTGTAGCTCTGTGTGACCCAAAGCCGGCTAGATTCCTAACGCCCAATGACTTGCTTGTCTGAGCTCCGCCTTCCGAGTACAGGACTGCAGAGCAGACAAGAAAGAGGCACGGCTGCCTTGCTGTCTGATCAACTGTCGAAGATGCTGACACCAAGTGGCATCTGTTACGCAACAGCTTGATTAGCGGGTAGACTCTCCGTGATCCGTCGAGAGGATGCCAGCTTGTATGATATACGCAAGCAGCGAGCAAGATGCTAAGCAAGCGTAGTCAAAACGAAAGAGGGCGGCGTGGGGTCGTGGAGGATGGAAACCGGTAGGGGAGACAAGCACCAGATGTAGGTTGCGCGGAGGGTAGAGAGATGTAAAGAATGACAAGCTGTGTGGCTCTGCGGGATGGTGGCAGAAATGTGAAAGACTAATAGCAAGCGGCGTCTAGTCGGAGCAACGAGGAAGCGGGTAAGAAAAGACGGACAAGGGAGGCTAGGCAAGGCAAGGTATGGTGGTCTTGGGCCGTCATGTCACTCGACGGGTACAACACCGCCGGAGGTTTTAGTGACGATGGTTTGCGGTGCCCTCGAGGCTTTAGTTCTGGACTGGATCCGGGGCTCTCCGCGCCATGAAAGCAGAATCGGAAATATTATCTCTGGAGAGTGGTGGAGGGCTGGACGGGATCCTTGCTGCCGCTGGACCCAGGAAGCAAGGAGGAAGAACAGGGCTGTGGAAGATGCTCATCAACCAAAGTAACTAACGTGTTTCGACCGGAGAGTGGGCGCTGCTGGGATGCCAGGGTCCCGGTTCAACAGAGCAGGGGGTCCAGGAACCTCGGACAAGTCACCAGGAAACCCCATGATCCCTGCCTTTAAGCGTCGACACCAAGGATTGGTGATGGCGAATCGGCAACAGCTTCGAAAATAAGGTCGCTGTGCCGCGACTCAATGGCATTTCCCGTCGAACAAGCCCACTTGGACTCGGCTGGGGTGCTTTTCTCAACCTCTTGCGCAGGAGGCAGGGGGGGCCAATGTGAACCGTGAACGTTGATGGTCCCCAAGACAAGGATTCGGGTTCAAAGGGGGCTAATAAGTCGATATGGCTTGACTTGTATGATCGTGGGTACCACGCGTCGAGCTCCCTCGTCGGGAATTTTGCAACAGGTGGGCCGTACCAAGACAGGAGAAGCCGCTATAGATCCTGATCCAAAAGAAAACGGGCTCTGGGATGGAGGAGGCACGTACGTATGTAGGTGAAATTTGCCCTTATGCAACCTTCACCCACGCTTAGAGGGGGGGGAACTTGGGAAGAGGAGAGAGGGCTTCGAGGTAAGATGCAAAGGGTGTTGGGGTACAATGTGGATGGGTGTAAAGAGCCCGTCGTTGGTTCGGTTGGCTTGCTAAGGTAAAATCTGCAGGAAACTCTTCCGCTTCTGCACTCGGTTGCAGGAGACTTATTGTTGGAGGCTTGGAGCTGTTGAGAGTCGACCGGCATTCTTTCGGGTTGTACCACTGACACTTTGGTGCTGTGGGCTGAGGGCGACTATTTTGGGACATGATGTGCATCGAAAAATCCTCCCAGCAATCTTTGCAGCAGCGTGCAGATGGGCCAACTTGGTCCAGGTCCTGTTCATTCTCCTCTTTGCATATGTCCCTCGTCTCGCCATCATCTTGTCTGTTCTATGAGGCCGGGCTGGAAGCAGCGCCGCAACAGAACAGCCGACAAACGAGCCGACCATAACCAGCCCGGGCGATGGACGTGCGCTTGATGAGAAAGGGGCCGCTAAGCCGTTCGTCGGGAGCTATCGAACAATGATCATCGGGGGTTTTCGCTGCTACTGGCCGCGATGAGACTACGAGTCGATTGGGTGTTTGGGCAGGCATGGCCTTGGCCACGCAACCGCGTCCCGATCTTGTCATAAAATCTGGCATAAGGTAATGTCCGTGGCTGTGCTAACTAACGGTCGAGGTTCAGGGCGGGCGACTAGCCGATACCCGGGCCGGGTGAAGATGGGGTGCTGGCGATATGGACAGGAACAAGGACATATTCCGGCTCCAGACGGGGGAAGAAACGAGACAAATGAAACATGTGGCATACGCACCAAACTTAACGGTTGACTTTGAGGCGAGCTTCTGTGTTCCAGACCGTTTTGCTAAGCTGCTATTGATGAACGTCGGAATGTTTGCGGGCTACGAGGTGGTGTTCCGTGTCGACGTAGCGGCTTGTCCGCGGTTTTCTGCAACGGCCAAGCACGTGGTGCATCTATTACTGACACCAAGAGGCAATAAGCATATCTCAGTGACAGAACCAAATCCCCGACTGACGTTTGATCTCTCCGAACAACGTCGATGGACTGGCGCAGACAAGGTAAGAGTAGGGTACAACCAACCGGTCGCTGCTCAGTGCTGGCGGGTTTCTCAAACGCGAGGCGTTGGAAGGCTTCGAAAGCCCTGTGTCAAGGGAAAGGCTTGGTATCCGAACTGGGGTCCTCGCACTGCCTTGTGGTCCTGGTCGTGCTTGTCGTGCTTGTCGAACGCCTGTCGACCAATTCGAGACTCTTCTCCGGGCTGTTGGCTAGGGGCTGAGATTGGCCGGGGGGGCTTTGTAGGAGCGGGAATCTGCACGTTGCCGCAAGAGAATACGGCCGGCTGTGCCCACCGGCCACGCAACAGGCGTGATGTTGCAAGGGTCTGGTGAGCTCGTTGCTGCTAGTGGCAGGGTGGAATGTGACGGATTTGACAGGCCCAAAGCCGACGGAACCGCTATGCGGCAACAAATGGGCTTCCTTCCAAAAATCTATTCGCCCACGTTCCTTTCCCAGGGCAAGATCGACCAGCCAGCACCGGAACTGGAGGAGATGTATTGCAGTCTGTTCAAGGTTGTCTTGACTCTGGATCCTGTACGTAGTAAAGAGAGAGCTGGGATCCAGATTTGAGCTGCGAAAGCGGCCCAGTATGTCTCGGCGTGTTAGTCAATGTCGGGTCCTTTCAGGGGAGCGCTTTTCCTGAGCTGACTGGAGGGGTCTTGAGTTAGAATTTGGGGCCACCGAAGTAGGACGTGTCAGGATTCCGGGAGTCCCAGGACTGAAGGAGAATTGAACCTGACGACAAGGCCCAGAGGGACGACAACAGCTGCTGTGGAAATTTTGCAGAGTATTGTCCCTGCTGCTGTTGATGTGCGAAGGCAGCAAGGCTTGGCCAATCCGGCCTGCTGGTGCTGTAGGCCTGGATGTTGCTTGGCGACGTCAAGTGAGGAACCTTCAGAGAATGACAAGAATCGGGACCAGTGTGATAATGCGTAAGGGTCAGGGGTGATAGAGGCTGACGGGGAGAAGCATGAAGATGCTCGTGATATGATGGTCGTCGTAAGATGGGTAGCGGCAATAATGATCCCCAATTCCAGGAGAGAAGGTATAGCTGGTGAAATATGATTTTCTGGAAGGTAATGCAAAACAAGTCTGATGGGCTTGTAACGCATCTAAGCCTTGATCCTCGACTAAGAGACGCGAAGCTGAGAGACTCGAGACTCGGGGGGTAGGCCAGTGAGAAAGTACCATCCCCGTGATATTAAGGCCAACGTTCGACAAATAAGCTCTACACTTTTCTTTGCCTGCATTGTAAGCCAACGAGGGGAGGCAAAATACAGATACATCAAAGCAGTGACCGCCTGGTGCAAGAGACGCAACTGACCGGCCAGCGATCCCACGCACCAACGCGCCGGGGCCGGGACGGATCAGCATCTGCTGTGGTTGAGTCATCCCTGCACCGGGGTGTGGGTGAGCTTCTGTGCACCTGGCCAGCGTCTGTGTCTTGTCGTCCTGTCTTCTTTCTATCAAGGAGCCGATCAAACGCCGGCGGAAAGGGGAAGGTCAAAAGTAACGGACGGTACTAAGAATAAGCCATTGCTGGCGAGGGGAACGCTGAAAGTTGAGCTGGTACACCTCACACTACATCGTTCATCCTGCCGCAAGTGACAAGTGGCAGATGGAGATCAATGTTGGTCGAAAACCCCGCAAGCTCAAGGTGTTAGCTTGGACGTGAAAGTTGGAGCGGCCATACGCGCCAGGGCCTCTCGAGGTTCTTTCCTGGGCCAGCATCTCGGACACCGTCCGTTGTGTGAGGCACGAGGCAAAGACATGGCTTGCCGCTTGTCAATAACTGCGAGTCTGCGGCGGCGCGACGGCGGTGGCTTGCCTGTGCGCCATAGAGGGCGTGGATGTCTTGGTTGAGCGGGACGGGTGGTTCCCCAGGGCCTAAAAGCAACTGCGGTTTTGAGCATCAAAGTCTTGTACAGTAAGTGCCTGTGGCCCTGTGCCCGGCAGGACGTGGTCGACAATGGCGTCAAGAAATCTGCGAGATTGGAATGACGCTAGCTCGTTCTCTCCCCTCCCCGCTACGTGGTGGCCTGGCCCACATGCTTGGGAAGTTGGGGCCGTGGAGCAAGGCGGTGCTAGGAGTTTGAGGAGATGGACTCGAGTCAAGGTTGGAACTGTATTGTCTAGGGTCAGGGTCCTTATCCTTGGCCGGTCTGTTCCTGTCCCCGTCTGTTCCTAAAGGGAAAACATCGGCGGGGAATCGGGACGGCCAGGATCCCGGGCAGGGATGTGAAGAGTAGTGAGAAGCTCAAGGCCCGTCAAACTCCAGAAGCCTGTGGCCTTCGTATGCGTCTTGATGTAATGATATTTGATGACAACGTCTGTGCCGAAACTACCATCACAGTTTTGAGTTGCCAATGTGGCGCCGCATTAGCCTCGTGCAAGCAAGTAACGGGCAATGTGAACAGATGCGAAAGAGGCATGCGAAAGATGGGATGAGACAATGCTCATGGATTACTCTCAGTACTTGTAGCTTTGCACAGTCGCTTCATGTTCGTGTGATATCGGCCGCATTTGGTCAGGTCGAGTTCTGCTACATGCCCCTCGCCTCTCAAGTAATGTCTCGAGAGGTAGGTATCGGATAACAAGGTATCTGAGTGCAAAACAAATTACGGCATTATTCTAGATTGTGATTGTGATTCGAACTAAAGTGCTGGTAGCATCTAGGGTGCCAGGCAAGTTCCGGGCCGTGAGACATTCTTTTTCATGTCTGATAAAAAGGATGGGCGGCAGCAATCCAAGGCGGGAGGGAGAAACTCAGCCGTTCTACCGGCGGCGTCGGCCGGGGAGAGGGCGGCAGACCAAACGGACCTCCACAGCGGGCTGGTTGAGTTCCGCCCACAGTTGTGTGGGGCAACGACCGGGATACGCAAACTCGCTTGGAGAAAATTGGTGAGTCGTGACGAGGTAACCGAAGCTAGACTTGGGCATCAACCGTTCGAGTTCAAGCTTCTTTCCTAGCGGCATCACCTTGATGCCGAAGCTGTACGGACTATGGTTGGCTTGACGGATGGACGGTGCTTAGTCGTTGACGAAAAGTGATGGGCACGGTGACGTGACAGCCCGATGTCATTGGAGAGACACCAAGGGTGGGAGCCTGGGAGGCGAGCGAGAGACGAGCCCCAAAGCCACCGGGCGCTGGGGTAAAGACTGTCTGCACTAAAGTTAGTTGTATTCCGTACACAACTTGGTACGGACGCCATAGTGCCACTGCCATGGCATGTGCAGCTCATCGCATCGTCAGTAACAGAATCAGGGGTTATGGCGGTTGCCAGGACCAGGCCTCAACTCCGAGTTCCGAGCTGTTGCACGGGAGGGTGTTGAGCCGTGGCACCGTCCCTGTTTGTGTATGGATGTCGCGTGTACAATGGAGATGGCGCGCTGTGTCTCGCGGGAAGGGGGCGGCACTCTCCCTGCAGAGGCGCTAGATAGGTATTGGCCAGCTCTATTCTGTGTGGCTGACGATGGAACAGAGAGAAAGAGAGAGCGTGTGTGAGAGGCTTCGACGGTCAACGTAGAGCATACGCTCCAGAGTAAGGTTGGTTGGTGGCACCCTGGCAGTTCTCAACTTGTGTGAAAGGTCTTGCCATGGAGCTTGTCTTGTGCTACCTAGTTAGTTCGAGCTCGTTAGTTCATTCACGGCAGTTTCAAGAGCGTCT